CACCATTCAATTGTCCATCTCCGACAAATGGCTCGGGAAATCGTGGGAATTCACCACATTGTCCTTTGCAGGTGTCTAACAAGTAACAAGCCTGGGACCACGCCTTTACATATCTTTATAATTTAACAAGCTCCTTATCATTAGGAAATTTCGTGTTCTGATGACAGCTTGAGCAATTTTCAGTGGAGAAATCGAGTTATTTGTAAACCTGCCGGCATTGTACGATAAATCGAAGCCTTTTGAGATTTCCATAAATCAGGAGTTTACATAATTAAGCGAGGATGTAATAAAGTTCAATTTGTAATGGCTGTTTATCTGATTGAATGCCAATACTTATAAAGGTTTCTATTAGAAATTCGTAATATTGAACCACGTTTACAATTAATAAATTATTAGTGATTAGGTAGAAAATTGAATTTATATATGGTAGGTACTAGTGGACCCCACAGACGTTGTCCTGCATGATATTTAAAGCGATTAGGATATTAAGCAAAGTATGAAAGTACCGACTGCAGTGCCATCTGCCGGGCTGATTTGTGAATCTAAACCATTCCCAGATCCCCTTGAACACACACCAAAAATTTCATCAAAATCGGTCCAGTCGTTTGAGAGGAGTTCAGTCACATACACACGCACAGAAGAAATATATATATTAGGGTGGTCCTTATTCCTAAGAAAAAAATTTTTTTCTTTAATGTCGCGGGGCACCACGTAATTTGGATATATACCATAAAAAAGGGTTTCAGTATTTTTTTGAAATTTTTAAATGATATTTAGAGGTCGCTACCAAGGTTTGAATTTTAAATAAAAATTGAAAATCTGTATTTGTTAGAATTCTTTATTTTTATACCCAGGTCTTAAAAATGTTACGAAATTATTGTTATTGTTATTAATTAAGATATTATATAGATATCTGATTTGTTTATTTTAAAGATATAAGGGTTGAATTGTTAGTATTAGGGTACTTTATCCTATACTCTTTTACCATTAAAAGCAAATATTGCTTTTGTTCTTCATTTGTGGTAATTATTTTTTTATATTCTTCCATTCCTCTCAGCTATGTCGTTCACTACTCGCAATGAATGAACGATATTTTTGGCAGCTATATAATCAGCGTTTTCGTTCCAGGTTTCGACGTCTTTTAAAAAAAACACCATGAGAAATCTAGGGTCTGGAAGAATCTTAAGGAATGACTACTCACGAAGTTTTCTATTTTTTTGTCGATATGTGCGATGCCAAGGTTTATTCGTTTTAAGCAATCTTCTGTGCCTTAAATTTTGAGTACTTCTACTATATTTTTCTTTTCTTGAACTAAAACGTCGTCATCGAAAAACGCAAGCGAAACTATGTCTTCTGACAAATTACAAATTATTTAAAATCTTTATCAGCGCATCAGTAGCTATATTTTTGTTGAAGACCTTAAGTCTATTAATAATTGTAAGTCGTTTCTTGGTGCTGACTGACTCTACAACTACTGAAAATACATATTTTTCTCACAGCTTTTTCGTCCTTCTTCGTTAGCTTAAACTGATGCTTAAATAAATACATTTTTAAACTGTACAAGGCTCTTGCCATCCACCTAGCTCGATGAAGACCAGCAGGTCTCTGAAATGAAACGCTTTTGTCAGGAACACCTCCTAAGGAAATGATAGTAAGATTCAACAGTTCTCTTTAGTCATCTCGAGGTTCATGTACTTGAAGTTGCTTTTATGCAAACGAAATCCTGTCTGCGGCCACTTCTGCAAGAATATTTGCCTCAGCGTCATCAGCTGTTATTGATTTGAAGTCGCTTTGGTCAATAGTGTTACAATTGTTCTTAAATCTTTTGAATTATTGTATATCAGGAGCACTAGATGGGGCAAGTGATCCACTACAGCTGACAACATAATTTCCATTATGTGGTGACAACAAGCAAACCAAAGCTTATTTTTATTCATATTGCGCTCCAGAAGGACGAATACTCCACGCCTTAAGCCGGTATTTACAGCAGTAGAGTCAAAACATTGTCTAACATTTTACTTTATAGCTCAAATTCCATGACTTTATAGCTTCATAGACAGCTGGACGGACAAGCTTCGCTTGTTCCACGTTCCAATTTTGGAACAGCGAGTAGTTGATAAACTCCATATCCTGATGTCAAAATTGGCAGCCGATCTTTAGTTTTGTGTCCAGTAATATCTTCTAGAAGTTTACCCTACCAATGGATTGTTAATGACGAATTAGGTTTAAACTCGCTTTTGAGCGAATCTGCACAGCTTTGCGATTTTGGACCCATTACCGACGCATAGTAGATCTATTGACATTAAATTCTGATGGACCACAGCCTGCACATTTCAAAGTAGATGTCACGACCATAGTTGCTTGTCTGTCACTCAATTTAGAGACATCAAGACTGGTATCTAATTGACTGTTAATAATATAAAAAATATTTTATTTGTAAAAATTTTGACAGCTGGTAGCGACCTCTAAATCTTAACAAAAACAAAAACAAAAAAACACGTATTTCATATTTAGAGGTATATAATCAAATGAGAAAGTGCCCCGAGGATAATTCAAAAGTCGAAAAATAAGGACCACCCTAATATATATATGGTATAATGCTTCTACTACCTCTGCTATTCCGCTGGCGTAGCGACCGCGAGCCTTGGTTTTCGAAACTAGTGACCGCCACCTTTTCTGATCGTGCCAATCGGGAACTTGGTGCTCGCGTAGGACCTTCTCCACGTCTTTTCCGTGATATCTGGGCCTGCCGTCTTTCAAGATGACTAGTCTAACGGAGTCTTTGCGGTTAATCTTCATCAGTTATGTAATTGCTTTTAGATAATACTCAATCAATAATAAAGGACGTATGCTTAAAGGCGGGAGAGTTTAGTCTGATGTCATATCTCTATGTTCTAGTATATGCTGATAATTTTAGAGTTTGCTAATCAAAACTTGACATAAACATGTATACTTTTATTCGCTTTCGTGTTTATCAATAGGAACATCAAAGTCTCAAAAAACACTATCGCCTAATTACTTTAAATACACTTAATCGCTTGATTTCCGTTAAACGTGATTTTGTTGACAGTCAATTTGGTATCATATCCGCAAACCTATCCGGATATTTCGACCTTGTCAAACTCGCTCAGCAAGTGTTAATGAAGAATTGCTAATGATACTAGAGCTAATTATAGGTCGTACAGGAAGTAACTGTTCAGTGTAAACTTAAATTGTTAGCTGAACAGCCAATTTTACTGACGAAACAGAAATTGTATAAATAATGTTTAAGTAGAAGCTACATGCCATGAACTTTTCTTAAGACCTTATTGCATGACAAGAAAATACACTGCAAAAAATAAATTAAATTCATGATGATGAAACCATTGGCGCTACAAGCTTTTTAGGTCTGTGCCTCAGATTTCTGTATCTGTTTCATGATCATTTGTCAATCTAATAGGCAAGTAGGTGTCCATCAGCCACCTGTACCTACGGCAAGCCGGTTTCCTCACGATGTTTCACTGTTCGATTTTTTATTATGAAAGCTATTCAGGGATCAAGTAGTTATAATAAAATTTTCGTAAAAGCTTTTTGTTGAAACTAAGATTACTAAATTATAAGATGCGTTAATTGTATATTTATGAATTCAATTATGTAAATGATGGCTTTATAAATCATCTTCATTTACGTATTTTATTATCTCGGAGCGTTTAAGATAATGAATCAATTGATTCATCATTTGATAAGATACGTATCGTTATCAGCTGTTTAATATACAGCGTCAATCTCGTGTCCCCAACCCTAATACACTACGGGTTTATAATAGGGCTGGCGCAGAATAATAATTAAATAAAAAAAATATATATGAAAAGTAGTATAAGAATAATTATTTTTATTAATTCATGCCTTTTTCCCGAAGGGGTAGTCTCTAACACGGATCTCCACTTTATGCGGTCCTGACATTCACCATGCATGCTCGTCGGTTATGGGAACTACAATAAATACCGACTACAAATTATGTTGTATTTAACTTATCAAGAATTACACAAAATTTCTAAGGGTAGATTTACTTATCAACCGATTACAAACATCAAGCAAGTATTGAATCTTTTAACCTCTTGGGTGTAGTGTAACTCTACTGTTTATATTTCGTATCTGTGTGTGTGTATAAATGTGGTGGAACTGTCACTCTAATTACTTAGGCACACTAAAAATCTGCTAAATTTAAGTTCTTTGTGTTGCTTTCAATATAGCTCAACGTGACATAACGGGCATAATTTCTTTTAAAATATGATTTTTTTTTTCAACAACACATGATTCGATGTTTGAGTGCTCGTTTCAGTCCAATATCGTTCCTTCCTGTTTTAATTTTGACAACCCTTATGATTAGTCATTACAGACCTTGATGTTAGGTAATGACAAGTGTTATCGCGTGATGATTAGCTGGATTAAAACATCGCTACTGTACCGTATTTCGAATTTATTTAATGAATAATACTTTATTTAACCCCTTTAATGACAAATCAATATATAAGATATGTACATAGGTAATTTTTTCAATATGTGTTACATTTTTATCTCTTCATTATATACGAGTGACGCAGACCCACTATTATTGTTTCGCTGGGGTCGAACTACAAAACCCCGAGTTACGCCTTGCGTTCCTAATATAAAGGTGTATTTATAGACTGAAGAAGATCCTTAATTATAGGTAGCTTTTTCAGATAAGCACGATAAAAATAGTTGTACTTTCAAGTACCGTTTGTCTATGGAATGCTTATCAATTACAAACATTTCACCTCTAGAGCCAGCTAGAAGCCTTTATCTGAGACAGGTGGAACAGGCCAGATAAGTTGGCGTCGCTCCAACGCCCCGATCGATTAGTTTCGACCCAATTCACTATTGTCTTCATTCACTAGTAATTAATTCGCGTATAAAATTATACGGTTTATGGTTGTAATTTTTTAGAGAACATTTTAGCACACAGCTCTCTTACTAAGTGTATAACGGTGATATTCGCCATGAGTGTAATGGATACTGTTCACGATCTGCTCTGGGATAGTGGAGATAAGTACCAGTCGGACCTCGTCCTCTGTATATTAAACTTTCAGAATACTAATCGTTACTCAGCTGCGTTTTTAAGGGTACGGTATGTCTAATAAAATATGAACCGTATACAAACCAAATTACATTGATTTCAATGTATGCCCTTCGTAACGTTATTGCTACAGTTAGACACTTTACAGCTGAAATAAGTAGCTACATTTTGTATGTAACAGTTGTTACGAATTTTAGTACATTTGCGACATTTGAAGTGATCTAAATCCGATTTTTGCACTCGTTTCGTGACATGATATATACTTTCTTCAATTTTAAATTATTGCTATGAGTACATGTAATATTGGCAAAAGTGAGATTGTTGTCTAAAGTACTCTTTCGTCGCTTTTTATCGAATTGTGTTTACGCTGTGATGAAAAGAGACTGATTTATTTTTTATGAATAACGACTTAAATCGAAAGTTAATCGTAAGTTTTTGTATAGGTAAAAAAACATAAAACAAAAATTAATAATGCCTACATTCGAGTACCATAATAATTACATACTACATCAGTTTATGTTATTATTGTATTTAATATTAGTACACGAGCTCCGAAGGAGAAAAAAGCCTCCTCCAAATTCTTCTTTTGTCTCTTAAATTCACAATTTTTTCAATCTCTACCCGGTATTATTTGTTATTTTACCTTCGCAAGTTTTAACATTATGGACATTTAAATAATCAGTTTTATGATATTGTCATGTCTACCTTCATAACTCGCATAAAACGTCAACTAAATTACATGAGAAAGCTGATAGTCGAGTCACGTTGCAATTATATTTGAAGGTAAAAGTTCGGCGTCCGCTGAAAGGAAACCTAGAATCACTAACAATTTCTAAAGCGCTAACTAGCTGTGAAGATAAGTGCTAATGGCGTTAGTTGAAACTGAACGTGATACAGCTGTGATAGATAGATATGTTTATCGGTTAATAGGATAGTTTGTACATGTTATCTAGATACATTAGGGGCATAAGATGATGTTGCTCTAAACTTAAGCGCTGAGACAGAATTATAAAACTAAGTAATACTTCAGTAGTTTACAACAGAACTTGTTAGTACTGGTTTTACTTATAATAGAAAAATAAATAAGTTTTTGAAGTTATTGTCTTATAAACTTATAGCAAAATAATATCTTTGAAGTATAATATGTTAACCTACTTATTATTGTTACTTTTATGTCAATAAATTAATAATAAGATATTCGCCAGAGCGAAGTCTGTCTTTCTTACTACCAAAATATGTCACCGAGACGCTTAGTCAAAGTATATATATTTCAAAGGTAATTTAGAATAATAAAGTATACACAATAACAAGTACATAATTGATGTAAATTGCAGAAACAATTAGACCAAATAAAGAAAATTAATATCCGTTCACGTCTCGAAGCAATAAGCTGTGATTAACGATTGCACTGGCACTGCTTAACCACCCCGTGATCCGATACTAACATTAGCAAGGTCTTGCACGTTTGTACCACAGTTTACTGGGCAATAGTGATAAAGAATCCTACAAACATGGCGATGGCATTCATAAGCCTCTAACTGATTGATGATGGAAGATTCAAACTAAAGAAGAAGAAAAAGAGACACATTAGTCTCTTCAGTCAAAGTCAAAATCATTTATTCATATAGGTAAAGCAATGTACACTTATGAACGTCAAAAAAAAATATGTATGAAATGATTCCAATTTTACATTAACTGCCAGTTCTCAAATCAAGGGCGTAGAACGGAAGAGAAGAACTGGCAATAAACTCTCCGCTACTCTTTTTAATCGCCACGCACAGCGTAATCACAATTTGAAAGTACCAGGAGAAATGACACCTTTTATGTTGGGTATCTGTATTTACTGAAATAAAAAACATCTTAAAAATTATATTTTATATAAATATTTTTATACCATATATTTTATTCTTATTTCAAAAGTCGAACGACTTGTAAGGCATTTACAGTGGCAATCGTTCTGTTTGACTCTTTCTGAGCATAATCATTTCGGCATCATATGAGAGATTTCCGTCTTTGAGTCGTAATTCTTGTCTGAATCAGGTCTCTATGAATTCTTTACCATTTACCATTTTCCACGGTAAACTAGTATCGATGTACTATGTTTAAACGTCAGCACACGACTTTAATGGCCGGCCATTTTGGTAGGGAGCCCAAGAGGGGATTTCGGGATTTACTAAAGCGCGGCAGATTACTATATAGGGGGATACCTTGTACCCGGTTAAGTACCTCCACAAAATATGAGGCCCATATATAAGGCCGCGCGTGAAGGAGACAGGATCAGATTAGTAAAAAAAATTGACCATCAGAAATTCCCGAGCGCGTCAGATTAAGGTAGGGTGAGTTAATTACATCCTAAAAAGTGTATATTCCACTAATCTGACAATTTGAGAGTGACGGAAAAAAGGGGAGGGCAACAAAGTTGTAAAAAAAACGTCATCTCGACATTCTCGAGCGTAGCTAATTTTTCTTTTATTTTGAAGGAAATAATTCCAGAATAATGAAAATATATAATCTGACGATTTCCGCAAGCCGAAATAACAAAAATTCGTCGATAAAGTTAAATGCGTGCAGCTGCGTGATGCCTACATTTCCTTAAACCGATCGGAATCTACTAAACGGCGTTCAAAATATTTCCCTCAAAATTACATTTCCTGTGAATTTGAACCGATTCGGACCGATAGATTTTGAGAAATTTTGAAAAATCTTAAAAAATAAGAAATATTTTTTTTTTAAGTGGTTTCTTTATCGATCAACTTCAAAAACTAATCCGCCTTTGAGCTTGAAAAACCACGTCGATCGCCACCAAGCTGGTCAAAAGCGGTTGATTCGTTCGAGAGATATCGTACATGAAAGAAACCCGAAAAGTGTTTTTTCGGGATTACTCGAAATTTGTGGTTCGATCAATTAAAATTGCAAAATTACTTATGAGAATGATAAAACTGCGTCGAATGCCGCCAACCGCGTGAAAATTGCTTGATCCATTCAAAAGTTATTGCGGTTTGAAAATTCCAAAAATAGTGTTCTATGAAACTTCTATCAGACTTTCGAGCTGGGAGAGCTCAAATGCATAGAAATGTTATTTCTTTGAACTCAGCGAGCTCAAAATATCAATTTTAAGCGCCCAGGAATGGAATTAGCGGGAAGTTGCAGGGATGGCCTTTTAGGTGAACCGTTTTTCTATTTTTTTTTTGTCAGATCAGGCGAATCCCTCTAGATAATCGTCAGATTATGAGACAGTACGTTTAGAACATAAAGATGAACCACATATATCTTAATCTGACGCGCTTGAGTATTTCAAAATTGCGATTTTTTTTGCAAATTAAGAAAATGGCTGTGGGTTTGCGTCCCATCGAAATCGTCAGATTAGTGAATGAGAGATTTTTTTTGGTGCACTTAACACTCCCTTAGAAAATCTGACGCGCTCGATAAATTTTTTTTTTTTTTAATTTTCAACCCTTAAATACAACCACCCGCATCATGCAAACGATCAGATTAACATACGTACATTATTAAAAATACGTAGGGCATAGATGCTATCAATATCTGACGCGCTCGAGGATGTCCATGCAACAGTTTTTTTTTACATATTTAACTATCTATAGCCGCTTCCCCCACCGATGAAAAGGAATTTATCATATAACATTTTTTTCTTCTTTTTATCTAAGCTTTGTATCCCAATAGGTCTCTACGACGCTCGAGTAAATCCCCATTTAGCATCGTGGGCTCCCCCTACCATTTGTTACCATAACGGCATTAGGCCCAGAACACGGTTATCCAGTGTAGTTATAATTTATTTATGGCGACGTGTTTTATGACCTTAATTTGCGGCGATTCGCCTAACGAGATCTTGTCAAGTGTCGATTATAGCTATCTTGACGCGTATTAAATGATTGACTGTAATTTTCTGTTTACTGTGTCGAATGGATCGGCGGTAATGCGAGGTGATTTTTCATATGTTCTTGATGGTTTAATGTTTAATAATGATGTATGTAGTGTGGACTCGGAATCCAAGTTCGCACTTGCGACAAGGGCAAGGGATGTAATGATGTTTATGCTGCTTACAAATATTTCTAACTATTGGTTGCTCTTGAATTGTGGGCCCCGCTATACTAAGGGTACGTATGAAGTATTTATAAAAATAAACGTCTAATATCTTGTTAACGTATCACGAAATGTCTTAGTGATAAGTGGAATAAAAGTAGGGAATTCGAAATTCAAATTTTGGTCGTCGCTAATATTGCCAAGTTAAACAATCGATAAACGTTATATTGATACGTCTAATTATAAGTGTAGGACGCGATATAATTGAGACACGCTGGCATTTTCCCAGTGACCACCTAATAACTCTTTGATGTGCTTTAAGCCCCGACAGACGATCGTTTGGCATCCGTTTGGTGAAACCACAGCGTGTATATTGTTGTTTTGTTGGTTTATATTGACAACTATTGTTCAGGTTAAACAGGATCGATTTCGCTGGGTCAAAAGAAGTGTTCATTCCGTACATGGAAGGAAAAATTCGTTAAAGTGTCACTGTGTCTTAGAAATTATCGTGTTTAGTGTACCCGAAAATCGGCAAACAAAATACACATTTAAAAATTTTTAATGTGTGTTCTGACCGGGAATTAAAACCTATATCCCAGCCGTTAAAACTAGACTAGACGAGTACTAAACCGACTATATTTAGCTAGACGCCCTCGTCTTTTACTTACTAGATAATATGCACAAAAACCTAGTGTCACATTGAACTACTGTATTGTACATATACTATAGCAGTTTGTGAACGTGACAGATATTTGGAATACACGTGTGCGAGTAAGCACTGTGGTTAACTATTGGAGAAGCGCCAGAAACAAAATTGGATGTGGCTAAAGTTACCAAAAAATACGAGGAAAATGCTATGAATGAAAACATATAAGGGAAGTCAAAAGCCTGATAGTCCCTCGTAAAAAGACGTTCCTCAATGTCATTTTAAAGTCAATAAATTCCTTGTGCTCATTTCACAGTCGACACTTTTGTCATAACCAAATTTTTTAAGTTATACTTTTGGCGCGTTAGGGAAAAATTATGAGAGTAACTTTTTACGATGCGCGCGCACACCGTTACAAAAAACCGACACCCGTACACCGTCACAAAAACCGACACCCTGAAGTAAACATTTTAGTTTTTATGTAATATTTAAATAAACTTTGTTTAACTAGATAAAGCGATATAATAAAACTTTCAATATATTAAATACCGTTTTTCTATTGTTAGTGTCGATTTTTCTACAAACGTAGAATAACATTTTTGAATTTTTTTTTTAACTTATTACGCCAAAGAAGTATAACTTCTAACGCGTGTACATAAATACACACGCGTTTTTTTTACAATAATGTGTAATTAAAGTGTTTCCGTGTAATGAATAATTTTTGTATCCTTACTTGTTTCAATTAAAAAAGTCCATTTAACCACGCCTCGTAGTTAATGCGCCTTATATTGTAGAAGTTAGTTCGTCACAAACCATAGAAGCCTTTTTAAAACCTTGACCAAAGATGCCGTGCATGTTACCTTGGTTACGATTTTATTTATCTGGTAAAAACATTGTAAATAAAACTTTAGTCCGCGTTTCATAATAAAGCCATGATTTGTACAATATGCTGTAATCTTGATATATATAAATTACGTGTCACGTTGTTTGTCCGCTATGGACTCCTAAACTACTTAACCGATTTCAATCAAATTTGCATACCGTGTGCAGTTTGAACTAACTTAAAAGATAGGATAGCTTACATCTTCATTTATACCCGTAATATTATTTTATTGCAAATTATTTGTTTATTATTTGAAAGTCACAATTCTAGCCGATGGCGCTGTGTTGAATGTTACCAACATTTCACATAAGCTACAATTTAATGGCATTACCAACAAAAAAGCATGGTGGTCTCCTTGACTGGTATTCTGCTAGTATTTTATATGTAGTAGTTTCGAGATAACATACATCGTATTTATTATATACCAATTACAATTGTATGATATGTATAGGCTATATAGAGTTTTCAATAAACCCATTCATTGTAAATGTACTCTCGTGTTCTCATGTCGTCCTACAAACTTTCACGTGCCCAATAAATTACGTGAAACAGTTTAATTTGTCTTTGTAAACTCCTCCAGTGTTTAATGTCACAAATCTCTGACGCCTACTTACACCTTATTACACAGATTCCCGTTCATCACTCGGTTTCTTGTTATTCAAATTTTGGTATAATTTATGAGCTTTATTGGTTTGATTCGGCTGTTTTAGCGTCACAATAAGACGTGTTTTTTGTAGATTATACGCTGTACACTAATAACCATTTTTTGATTATATTGTTTTATATTTGCATTTATTGTTTCTCTTTTTCGTAACCTATTGGTTATCCTTATTTATATTTTTGACTATACTGTACTATATGCCACTTTGTTTTTCATTCTTGTAAATTGTATTGTGTGCAATAAAGTGTCACTAATTACTAAGTTTTAAGAAATTAGCGTTTTAAATATTACTTTTTTCTTTAACCATATTTAATTATATGTCGTTCCTTACTTAACATGTTCTTGCCTAGATTTTTTATCTAGTCGAAAAATAAGTTGGAACTGCTGCAGTTAAGGTTTTTTCCTTTCTTATATAGCATATTTTTTTCCATGGCACTAAACCAAAACTTTGAATCGGAAAGGGTATGACAGGTTGAATTCTGAAATAAGTATCAATCATATTACATCTAATGTCAGCATCCGTCTGAACATTCACTAACTGTCACTGTCAAAAATGTCAAACCGTACAATGTTAGTGAACATGCTCTAGATTATGACCTGACATCATGAAATACGGTTGTTGTTAAATATATAATAGACACATTTCTTTGTTCATTCGATTTTTGAATTAATTTAACATAGGTGATAAGGAAACACAATGATTTTTACGATAGCGCTGACAAAACATTAGGATATTTGTTTCCCTAACAAGAATGATTGTAATCGCATAAGAAGAAGTTTGAAGCAACGGAGACGCGTACTGTACATTTAATTATGTTGGGTAAAATCCAGAATACACGGCATATCGGTAGAAGGAAAAAATCATGCCTGTGGAGTGGACGGGTTATGTGACTGCGGAAGAGGTGCTGTATCTGTCACAGGACAAGATACGCTACACCAGACTGACGCCCAACTTCCAGTAATAAAGAGGCACGTAGAAAATAAGATATCGCAGAAATTCTATTGGTACAATAGGGTTTATTGCCCTGCCCCGCGTTGAGAATCACACACTTACCTACTCGGTAAATCCTTAAATAACTTTGTAATACGGTAAGCGCCATTAAACATATCGTATTTTTACTAATATACAAATGTTTCTACAATAGGGACTTTAAAGCTGTCTGAAGCAGATTTATTGCGGTCCCCATGTAGCTCCGATTACAAACGAAAGTTAAAAGTGCGTGATGTACGCGATCGTGGTACACGATCGGGTAACAGAAAAAACTTGTCATTGCATTTGTAAAGGTTTATCGTATGGACAAAAGACAATTGAATTTACACTATAATAATAAAAGCCTTCGATATCATATACTTTACATACATATATATTTCTATCATGTCATTCTTCCTCTAAATCCCGCTATTTCTGTCTGCACTGAGCCACTCTCTGCCATGTACCACCTGCTGACTTTAATCTGGTCTATCCACCTTCTAAATTGTCTTCCTCTTTTCCGTTTATTGTACCTTGGGCACCACTTTAATACTTTGTTGCTCCACTTTTCTGTTGTCATCATCTGTGAAATAATTTATTAAACAAAGCAAGGACAGTGTTGGTGGTTTGGCGTGAGACTTTAACGGTCCTGCATTCGAATTCAGTGCAACAATTTTTCTTATTACGTGCTTAAGTACACTTGCTTCTGAGGAAACCGACAAGTCTAAGATCCAAAAATGTCAGGCATAGACTATGTGGCTATAGAGCTGTGTTCATTTCGTTTATTAGCAAGGACAATCCATAGCTAATAGAGGTATATAGTACTGTTTCTTAAGACGAAAAGAATGTGAGTTAAAATTGTCTCCGTGCTAATTAAAACAGTGATTTATAAACGTATTATAAATTTAAAAAGATATCGTATATTTAAAAGATCTTAATGGTCATCGGGATTGATTTAAAGCTAATATCAGGTGTTATTTCGTAATTTCAAAGTATCTTAATGGACTTTACTCTCCCAAATTAAATTTAATCGTAATTAGGGAGTTAATGGTGGCTTTGATTGCGTATCGACACACATATGTTTACATTACAGTATCAAGTGAGGTACGCGTTAATGCTTTAAGAAGTCAGAGAGCGTTTTTAAAATGAATCTAGGGCCTGGGTAAAGTTATCTAAGTTATTTCCGCATATGTATTTGTATTTAGTTTGATAATATCACTTGTGTGTCAGTTGATATGTTTGTGTGCCCGCAACCCCTCTATAGAGTAGTTACATTCTATCCGTTTTATTGATTGTTTATGCATTCGTTGGTAAGGCGTAGTTATAAACGGTAACAATTTGACTTTGCCGGGAAGCGAATGTTCTGCCTCCAGTGCCACACTAAGCCTTGGTAACACTCAGTTTAATTATTCACTTTAATTCTTTATAATTATTATTAATAACGTTTCAAATCTGGAGTGTAGAAAGCCTTATGGTGTATCATTAAAACTAAACAATTTCTCTCAAGACATCTTCGACTTTCATTATTATCAATAGGCTCTTTCAATGAGCTATATAAAATCTCAATACAAAATATATAGCACGATGTCAATACATTTATATGTAAGAGAAATTAATCATATCTTAGTCCAACTTTCCGCTATTCATTTTCAATTGCAGGCAATATTACCTGCCCTGGTTGGCGCAATCAGACATTTATTTATTTCAGTTTAAAAGGAATAAATAAATGTTAAATAAAATTAAACTATGAAAGCCCTTGGCTACCGGTATGAACAATATGATTAACTATTATGATAATACAAACATTTTGTTTTTTATTATACGTATAAGATATATCAAATTATAAGTTATAATTTTATTAGGAATCCCCTACACAAGCCACCTGAAGCCAGTATGTTGAGACGTCAGAAGAGTCAGGGACGATTCCTTATTATTCCGACTTACTCCAAAAGAAATATTAACAAATTACTATAATAACAGGTTCTAAAACCTGTATTAATAGCTATCTTCGTTAATCGGTTGTCTCCAATTTTGTTTTATTAAAACTATAGTATCAGGGATCGATTCTCAGAAATTACCTACAGATTGTGACTACATCGTGAAGACAACGGCACGTCTTAAACATGTCATAGAAGTCTGTTAGAGAAAACTTGTTAATGAAACGAATACAGATAGTTTCTTTTATCCCAATATGTTTTACAGGGCTGTACACACAGACGCCCGTAAATATTCTGTATAGGTAGCATTACGCAAACAATTTATATCCTACTTGTTGCGATGAAGTCGTCTCGTGTCCTGTCTTTATGAAATACTGACAGTATTCAATGTGCTTGAATGCCGGTTGACGAATAAAGAATCTAAACTTGTTTAAATGCCTTAATACATACGAATTTAGTATCGACTAAATTTTTTATATTTTTTTCCTATTACAATGTAGGTGTAGACAATTTCCTATTACATACAGAGAGTTGGCTTACTGGCTTGAAGTTGGCGTATGACTCTCCGTTGCACCATGTAACACCTTGTGTAATCCTGGTCGCGCAGACGCTTCAGCGGGGGAACAGGGGTTCATGCTTTCAAAAGAGGGGATGCTGACGACCTCCCCCAGATTTACAAATCAGGGCGAATTGGCTGATGTGAATGGCCCTTGTGTGAAGGTCCATTCCACATCATTCGTGGACATAGAGGACCGTGATTTCAACGCTGATCGCGTGGCGGGATGCGGACAAGGCTACGTTGTTACCGTGTCCTGTCTCGAGCGATTGCTGGTGGAGTCGTGGGGTTTTAGTGGAGGCAACGTGCGGCGGGAGGGCATGCGTAACGCCTTTCCCCACGAAAAAAAAAATTACTCATTCGAGGTCATAGGTTCGATCACCGACTGAGTACCATTTTTTATTATATTAGCAATTACAGAGCAAAGAACGCTATTATCTATATTTGAAGCCAAGAACAAGGGTTGTAGTGCCACTTTATCCTATTAGAGATTATTATTCTGGTTGAAATTATTCTACATATTAATATACACATCTCTCATGTAAAAGAAACGCTTAATTGTATAACTTTATTATATTATTATTATACGCTTAATTAATTTTCTTTAAATCGAAAATAATGAAAAGGCTTTCTTAGGCGTTCCACTAACATAACAAAACACTACATAGTGTGATATCTATAAACATGTTAGTTATCAAAATGTCTCCATTTATTATGTACATTTAAATTGTAATTAACCTTCAAAACTTTCCAATTTGGACACGGTTATAATGAACATTCCCGACATTACAACAACACCGGTAGCAATAAACGGGTGTAGATAAATGTCCGGGTGCTCATGATGTATGGACGCCGATCGGCGATTATCGTAATTCATAAATGTGAGAAAATTATTTAATGAAACCTGCTCGAGTACTTAGATTAATTATGCAAGAGTGATGGATTTTAATGGGACTTACAGTTTTTAAAATTATCTTACATAGCCGGGTCATTGCGCGTACCACATGGAATTTGTTGTCCAATACACTTTATTGGAGTGTATTTTGAGTTTACCTAAAATGTTATAAGCTCCCGGCCTCGTTTATGACATTACCAAACCTATTCCCGTCCCCTTCTAGGTAGGATAGCCATATACGAATTAACATTTAAAATTATAATTATTTTCTAAATGCTGTATTGACTAATACAGCATTTAGAAAATAATTAAAATAACCTAAATTATGTGCCTAGGATAGTGAACTTGTGAATCCTACTACCCTTTACCATATAATTATATATTAATGCTATAGGAGGCAAACGGGCAGGAGGCTCATCTGATGTTAAGTGATACCGCCGCCCATAGACACACACATTGCCAGAGGGCTTGCAAGTGCGTTGCCAAAGAAATAGTAACCCAAAAATATAGCTTTGTATATTTGTAAATGGTATCTCCATGGATTATTATTAAGTGATACACGACTAAATTATTTATACAGCTTTCACCATTAAAAATAAAGTTTTTTTAATTATTAGCCAAAATATCATATGAGACATAACAAACCCCTAAAATTTATTACTTATATATATATTCGAAAAATGTCTCGGCATTCGAGAAACTTCTCCCGTGCCATCTCCCTCCAATTGCTAGATATTTTTGGGCCTGGGCCAGCGGTGGGAGTGACTATATTATATTCAAAAATTTTCCATCTGTGTCAACGGGGCTCGAACGCCACTAAAAGCTGTATATTTTTTATACGTGGGTAATAGAAGATAGCCATAAAACATTCACAATTAATTACCACGTGTGCCACGGCGGCTAATTAAATGAAACCTTTTTAAATTTATCACCTACCCTCAGGGTGGCTTATTTATCGCTATATTTGTGACAAAACGCCTGTTCGGCCGCACTGTTCAAACGCGATTTTATTACGCTGATTTAGTGTCGTGATAATGTTTTTTGTAAGATTGATGGAATTCTGTGGTAGGAACAATGATTCCTACTTAGAAATTTGTTAAGTGTTTTATAGCAGTAGGACAGAGATCTTCCGTTTATATCTCATTATCGTAAAAATATGCATTTTGAAAGAGGTTTTTGCTTATAAAAACATATAGCATATGCTAATTATATACTAAAATATGTGCTAACAAGTGATTAGCTATTTAACAACCTCTCTAGATATAGTTAACTCGTAGAATATAAGTCTGGGTTAGTTTTCCGACGAAACGGATTTTTTTAATAACTTTTAATTTTTAACTTTTAACTTTTAATAAATTTAATAAATTTAATAAACGGAATAAAACTAATCAGAAACCGATACATTTCTGTTTGGAGTAACAAACGGGACTTATCAATGTGATAAATTTATTGAATATATTATTTTCAAATGTATTACAACACATATAGTGCATTTTAGTTTTTATTATAATATAATCTGTTTTAATCACATCGGAAACGACAAATGGTTGCAAGTAATGCGATACGCGGAACCGCAGTCTGCGTTCCGTAGCTAAAATAAAATTCGGAAGGAAAGTCATTATGGTTGGCTATTTGTAGAGTTTTGCGGTCACGCTAAATATGTGTCGGTTTTGATAAAGCTTTAACCTATTTATAAAAAAACAATGGCGTTACAACTCCCCAGTACCAGCTCCTTCCGCTTGACCGTATTCAAGGATGAGCGATGCGAATCGTCAACGACCAGTCACTTTCCGTGCGGCTTGATCCCTTGGCGTTGTGTAGAGATATTGGGTCTCTCTGCAATCTCTACCGCATTTACCATGAAGAGTGTTCAGAGGAGTTGTTCGGACTGCCTAATACCTTGAATAATACCTGCAGCTGAGTTTCATTATAGCACGTCCAGGCAGAATACAAAATACCATCCGTATCACCTCGACGTCCGTCGTTCCACAACTGAGGGTTTTTAAGACAGTTTTTGCCACGCACCACCATTATGTGGAACCGGCTGCCCACTGAAGTATTTCCGAACCAATTCGACTTTGGGTCCTTCAAGAAAAGAGCGTACCAATTCTTGAAAGGCCGGCAACGTTAGGAAATGGAATATTATTTCGTATTATTAAATGTAACTATAGTTATAAGAAGCAACAAGGCATAATATTCAATTATAAGGTTTTCTTAATGCCCAGTTAACTGTATTGACGCCCAATTATAAACCAAATAACGTATACGAATTTCATAACAATCTTGGGATGTTTAATGTTAATCACTGGGTCCGTATATAGGATATTATAATAATAGTTGACGCCTTCCGGGTGCAGACGTGTTATTTAATTAGTTTACGAGTAACTCGATCGGTTATTGGCTTAGTGTCTATGCGTCTTTGTATCGGTCAGGTATATTGTAATAAGGAAAACTGAGCGCCAAGCTTAGACCATGATAGTTAATGTATATTATAATTAAAAATCACTATTTGACGCAAAAACAATGTTGTACTTACATTCTAAACCTTGTAAACATACATGGCAACGAATCGTTGAGATATACTATTCTTTTTGGTTAACCTTATATGTACATAATATACTTGTATGAACACTAGCGTTCAATCTAGGCCTAGCCTGCATCTTAAACGCTAGTTCCTTCCAGTGTCATTAACAAATTGGTTGTTTGTCTTAGTTGCAAGTTGTTTGTCATTAAATGTTTATTGTATTTTACTTAAAGAAGGTACAATCTAAACATATATATATATATATATAAACATATATATATATATATCGATCCGTAGACTTAAAATAAATCTCCTAAAACTACAGAAATTGGAGGCTAAATTACTTTTCGTTTACGGAAGATCTATTTCCGTTTTAAGATCTGACAAACATGTCTATGAAGTTTGATCTTTTTGGCGCTGTAATTAAATGTCACTTGAGATATCTTAAGTAGTGTATGCTGGGGTTTTAGACAAAAATAGTCAGTGGTCATGCCTGTCATAAATTGCTTATAAGGCTACATAGATAGATATATTTTGTAGCACCACATACATCCACTGAACTTAATAATATGATATTTAATCCATCAATTTAATAATTTCAGCAACCCGACGAACTGGTTAAATCGGTGAAATTGACGTCTCGGGAACGACGGTTCATCAAATTTGCGAGTGTGGAGTACGGAGGACAGCTATATATGACCCCTCAGGATTTCTTGGAGTCGGTGGTCGAGCAGGAACCTCGCCGTAAGTACTTACATATAAGAAAATTAAGTCTCTTGGTCGTGTCGGTCTACCTGTATTAGGGCGACTCTCAAAAACCTTCGAACGGATTTGTGCGGAGTTTCCACGGTTAGTGGGATTCCTGAGGAAGGCTTGATTGTATAATTCATCATAGTTGTAGGTAAATTGACTAAGATAAAACGACTACTATTGAAGAAAGCAATACACACAGACGAAGCTACAAGCGGTAGCTAATAATAATAATCCAGTGGCGCTACAACATTTTTAGGTCTTGGCCTCAAATTGCATCCATTTCATAATTTCATAGACAAGTACGTGATCTGCCTTCTGTCTGAAGGGCGGGCGGATATTTTTAAAAATTAGTACGTGTCTTTTAAACATATCGAAGATTTATTCAAACATTTACGACTTGAAATAAGAATCTCATACAATTTCTTTGAAAAACTCTCTCGCAAAGAAAGCATTGATAAACATGAACCGTTTATTTTATACAAATTATATTAAATTGAATTTGCGAGTCATCAGTATTAAATATATACGTTCTCAGTATTCTCAAACTCACCTTCCAAGTATTCCCTATTAGTAACCCGTATGAGTACTTAGAACCCTGTTACCTGTCGACAGCTCGCCTAAAACGACGCGTGCTCAGCGCTAAAGAGATTGAACAGCTGCGCGACTCAACACCGCAACTGAAACGTGGCTCTTCACAAATGTTTCGCAATATGAGAGATAAAGGTACTTATAATAGTAAAGAAATCTATAGGCAAAAACGTATACTCTTACCGCCTCTATGGCTTAGTATAGGACATGGCGCCCTCGGGTTGCCCTTTGTGAGGTTAGTATGGTAATGGTAGGTATCAATGGCCTGTTAAAGATCTCAATGAGACGGGAATATGTTAATACGGAAAAATATTAATGAAACAAACTCAAAACTGGACTTGACTCGTACTTCCCTAGTAAGAGCCGAGCGTGCGGGGAGCCCTAACAGTATGCTGGCTGTAATAGGGGAAAGGCTGGATTGCCCTAACATGGGTCATTGCAATGTGCCATTTTTAATTTTATGATTTAATAGACTTTAAAGTTAACCTACTAATATAATATTTAGTAAAATATTGTAACTAACACAATAATAACCATATGGTCTTATAGTTGTCTGCTTGAAGAAATAATTAAATAATAATTATTATTATAAGATATCGTTATAAAATTCACACGTAACATTGAGCTTTTAGGTAAGTTTTGTACCTTCTTGTGGAAAGTGAATTACCATTTGGAAAATTCAAAACCAATTTTATTCACCATTTTTATCTAAGATGTAAACTTAATAAAACCAGTATGTTTAATTTTCTAGTAGTAGTTTTACTAAAACCCTATTTAAATATTTCAGGAATAATTTCGTACACGGAATACCTGTTTCTACTCTCGATTTTGACAAGTAAGTTTCAGTTGTATTTAATTAACTGGCGATTTTTAATTATAATGATATACAATATATCAATATATGCTAAAACAAATAATATAATGTATTATATATATAATCAAAGGTTTATAATAAAGGGTTATTATATATACAGGGTGGCCAAAAAGTCGTGGATCAAACGCAAATAGGGGGTAGATGAGGTCATCAGCGGCAAAAAATTGTTCCACGGGGGTCCTAAGGTCAACCCCTGCAGAGTTATGATTTATTTTGGTTTTTATATGAAAATTGACTTTTTTAACTAAGTATTAGTAAAATTCAAAATATCTTCATTCTATATCTTTTCCATAATATCCACTAGATTGGTACTGATGAGTTCTTGCGTTTGACATACTATTTGTAGTTGTTTATTGAGTGTATCGAAGATAATATTAAGTTAAACGATATAACATTTTTTCAAATCATAACTTTTTGTTTACTTCGGACCCCACTGTGAAAAAAAATTACTCTACCGAAAAGTGACCCTGTATTACAAGTTTTGGCGCATTTTATAGGGATTCTGAAAAGGTATTACACATGGCCATGAGTCGCCCTAATATCTTTCTAGGAAGAATTACAACAACAACAAGTGTGAAATAATTGTATTAAAACAATTATTTCTCAAAGGTTGTTCGTAGGAAACAAAACATTTTACAATAAATGCTCAAAATTCCTGCCTCTGACCATAATAATTAATCTGCACCGTCTAATTAAATTCCTACATAACCCTCCAGCCATCTGTCCAATTTTTTGAATCTAGTCCGATTCACACAGCACTGGTCACAGGTAGGTAAATAATGTATCATAAGACCGAATCGTTGTTGTTTTTTCGACCTAGAAAGATATTTGAGCCACTCATTGCCATGTGTAATACCTTTTCAGAATCCCTATGAAATGCGCCAAAACTTGTAATACAGGGTCACTTTTCGGTAGAGAAATTTTTTTTCACAGTGGGGTCCGAAGTAAAGAAAAATTTATGATTTGAAAAAATGTTATATTGTATCACTTAATATTATCTTGAATACACTCAGTAAACAACTATAAATAGTATGTCTAACGCAAGAACTGATCAGTACCAATCTAGTGGATATTATGAGAAAGGTACAGGATGTAGATATTTTCGAATTTTAAGAAGAATTAGTAAAAAAAAGTCAATTTTCATATAAAAACCAAAATAAATCATAACTCTGCAGGGGTTGACCTTAGAGACCTCCCGTAGAACAATTTTTTGCCGCTGATGACCTCATCTATCCCCTATTTGCGTTTGATCCACGACTTTTTGGCCACCCTGTATATATAATGTTTTGCTAAAACAAATATATTTTCTAATATAGTGTATTAATTTTCATAAACTTGTATTTCAGAGCCAGCATCGGGTTTCCAGATCGCCTTTAATATGTTCGATACTGATGGTAACCAAAGGGTGGATAAGAATGAGTTTCTAGTCGTAAGTTCATTTATTCATACATTTTCCAAACATTGTATTGATTTTTATATCAACGAAAAAGAATATTTGTCATTAATTCGTCAGGTAGGAGATAAATACCTCGAACATAAAAAAATAACTAAACATATTTATTTAGGTAATTCCAAGTTTAATATTATATGTGGCATGATGTTATATAGGTGTATGAATCCTTATTGATTTTTCGGATACTAAATGGATTTTGGTGAATTCTAATTCTATATATTTTACAAAGGAAACAATGGTAAATTTTATTTATTTACAATAAGTTACAAATGAAAGAAATAACTGTTTGACCGGATTGAAGTTATGTATTATTATAAATTTACAACTATTTAACATAATTTTAAATTTATCCGACGTTTCGCGTGCTTTACAGCGTGCGTGGTCGGCGTCGACGGCGTCACCGTGACCACGCACGCTGTAAATGTGTAAAGGTTATGTAAATCAAAGACAATACTAAGTTACAAATGATTTTACTTTTCTGTTTAATATAATGTAAACGGAAGGTCATAATGAAATACTCGCAATTCTTATTATTAAATAAAAATACCTCTAATATTTTCGTTGTTATAATAATGGTATCTTGCATTTCTGTAGTTTAAAAATTTGGACAGACTATAGAGTAGTGACTAGTGAGCACTTTCTTTTCTATTTTATTTGTTGTTAGGGCAAAGATTTTTTTTTAAATATTTTACGTTGTTGGACTAGATTTCAGTTTAACGTTTTTGAATTCGGAACTAAGATAACAATTAATCTTTAAAAATCTTTGCCTTAATAAAATTGCACTTAGTTTGATTTATATTTAATGAAGGTGCCGGAACCTCTTTATATAGCTGGGGTGACCATTTCATAGGAATTTATGTATTTCCCATGTTGCATGGTATTTAGATTCAACGGCTGCTCGGTGGTTCAGTGAAGGAGAGAAAAGATTTGGACATGTACACTCAACGGGCAGTGAGTTCGATATCGTGTGAAAATATTTATTGTGGATCGATTTTGTTAAAAATTACAAAAAAAAACTAAACTAAAAACGCGATCCATGATAATAATATTTGTTTGAGTTAAAATTGTGTCTTAACCACATCGTCGAATTACTGCTCTTAACATTACGACTTACAACAAATTTATAAATTTACATTTTTAGACGACGATTTTTTTGACGGTTCAAGTTATTAGCAATTGTAAAAAAATCTAGAGATCGCATCAAAGACTTCAAGTCTGACCCTAAATCTTACCCTTGGAGTATTTCATCCTAAGGCCGTTTCTCCACTGCTCCGGTCCGGCAAACGTTAATTACCGATCCGATTTAGAAACTCACGACAGTACTTACGTACTTCTCCACTACTCCGGCATCCGGTTTTTATCGATCCGATAACTTGCTAGATCGGAACGCGGTGTTTTATCGGTCCAAGTATATCCAAGTATCCAAGAGGTTATAAATTACTATTCACAGGTTTATTTATAGTTTCTTTAATTTGAAAGAATCTGGATAACCTGGACCAAACCAAATATGTTGCTATTTATTTATATTTTTATACCATAGTATTATTGAATTATTTATTAAGTAGATTATAATATTTTAAGATAGACAATATAAAAAAAGTAATAAACTTGCCACGGCAATAAAATATTCAGAATTTAGAACGTTTTATTAATAAAATAAAGTATATGGGTTTTAGTTAATATAAGTGTTGCATGATAAATATACAAGTATCGATTATTGTCGGATCGGATATAGTGGAGAAGCGCAATCCGGCCTTCCGATATTTCTCTCATGACTCATTCCGGTATCCGACGCCGGACCGGAGCAGCGGAGAAAGGGCCTAAGGGTAAGATTCAAAATTCAGTGCTAAGTTGAATTTTCGTATGTTCAATACGTTTTTGACAAAACGGGTTCGACATTGAATCGTGCCCTATTCAGAGACGTACCGTCAAAATCCAATGAATAATTGATGATTCGAAGTGTGACTATCTTTATATATAAACAACGCTATGTACATAACAGCTTTATTTTTAATTCATAATTGTGTAATTTATAAATATATAACTTATATACGATATATTTACATATGATGTATGGCTTTGTAGCTGCTTTCTCTAGTTTCTGCGAACTCGCTCAAGAATAGAGAAGAGACGAAACCGGCCAAGCCTTCGATCGTAAGTTATAAGGAGTGTATACGTGTTTGCTTTTAAAATAAATAAGAAGAGGAAAACAAAGATATAAGAAAAATATATATCAAAATATATTCTGGCTTTAATGTGCAAGTGACCATTGCATTATTCATATAATGTAGGTATAGGAACTGAATAGTGGTTAAAGCGTGCGACCCTCATCCCTGTGGTGGTCTCAATGCGCATTTAACTTAGCGCACAAGTCGACGGCGTCTGTCAGGCATAGTAGGCACTAAATTGCCTATAAGAAAATGATCACGAAACGGCTACAGCAATTTATGGCCCAGACCACTGTTTTTTTTTTTAATAATTATACTAGCGGACCCGACACACGTTGTCCTACATGATATTTCAAGCGATTAGGATATTAAACTAAGTATTAGAGTAAAGACTGCAGCGCCATCTGCCGGCCTGATTTGTGAATCTAAACCATCTAGGGCGCCACCCAAATCGGTCCAGCCGTTTAAGAGGAGTTCAGTGACATATAAGCGTAAAGTAGAAATATATATATATATATATAAAGATATTTCAGAAGCGATGGAAATTGCTCTCTATTGAACAGTTAATAAACATATAAATATTAAATCGATAATAAATATTATATTGTCTAGCAAATATGGACTTTGTTTTGATATTAGGAAAATTGGGAAGAATATTAGGAAAATTTTCACTCACGCTATTTTGATAATAAATGCAATATATCAAAGGTCTATCGAGACAAAATTAGTTTTCCTGTCCTTATTTTTGTCCCAGAATTTTTGTGGTGATTGGCAATTGTGAATACAACTAATCATTCATTTAATAACTTATAAACTCAGCTGTCAACTTTTGGTAACAACGATTTATAAACCGCAATTAGAATAATGCTGAATTAAAAGAACATACTAATGCAATAACGAGTTGTTGCTATTGTTTAAATACAGTTTTGCCTGTGTTTTGTTTAAATTTTGCTAACCCTTAATTTCTAAGGAATATAAAAAAATTTCGCAAACCATCAATTAATAAATTATTTCTATTACCAAATATCTAGTTTAACTCCTTATTTTATATGAATTCTAACTTAGATAATTATTATGAATAAGGATTGTAAATGTACGATAGACCTCGTCATGTAATTCTTGTTTTTTTTTCGTTCGAACCATGTTTTAATAATATTTACGATCTTGCTCATTAAAAATATATATTCCTTGTATGTTATAAAGGTTATTAATTTTACTAATTTATAGATTAACTAAAGTTTTGTAAACCTTCATCAGCTTTCTTCGTCTAACAAACCAATTTGTTTCCCCGTAAGGGAACTCGCGCTGAATTCAAAGCATAGACGCAACGCGTGACTTCTCCAAAAATTTTATGTACTCATAAATTTTTTAAAATTCCAGATGGAAAAGATATTTAGTTTCGCCTGGCGAGACAAACGCGGGATTAACGAGGAGGACAAAGTGGAGAAGAACGGAGTAGAGAAGGGGAAAGTGGGCAAGGAGCCCCAAGACAATTACATCAATGACGATCAGGGACTTCAGAGGAGACACAATGTGGACACGATGCTTCAGGTTTGTAGCTTATAATATTCCCTCAATAGATAAACCTAGTAATAAATTTACTTAAAAGGAATGACTTAGCTAATTATTATGGCTCTCGAAACGTAATAGTAAATGAACGAGCAGCGATTCTGATTATTAAAAGAACCACACTATTCAACTCTAGATTGACCTTGACCTTATTCTCTTGTAAATTACGTACGTATCTACTACGTACTACGTACTAATCTTAAAATTAACTTTTGATGCATTTTCTGATGCTAATGTCCACAGGCAGGGTTTTGGTAATTACACATAATTCTACAAAAATACAGCTTTCTGGTAAGTAAGTAGGAAAGAAAGGAACAAATGAGTGGCGTGACAATGTTTTCCTTCACCGAACGAGTGATAAATGTAAAAGTCTATTGGTATTGCCTTGTTTCAAACGCACGACCACGTCGGAGTGAAGAAAGAAGGAACTATATGTTTAAATACATTTCGAATATTTCAGGTGCATTTCTTCGGTAAGAAAGGCAACAACGATCTGAAGTTTGAAGGTTTCCGCCAGTTTATGGAGAATTTGCAGACGGAAGTGCTAGAACTTGAATTCCACGAGTTCGCTAAAGGTATGCATGCTTGCATTCAGGTAAAGACTGAATCGTAAACATGGTCTATCTGACGCAGTAAAGTAGTTAAATCAGAGTGTTAATTGAATCTCTAGACAGTTAATTAAATATCGATATTCAATCAAGTCGCTAGCATTTTGGTTTAAATAAAGCAGCGTCGAAAACGTTTAACTATCTGTCGGACCGAAAGCCAGCGTGTTAATTAATTATGTAAAACAAGATGGCGGTCACGACAACAGCTGATTACTTTTAGAGTATTTCTTTTGGCAAACGTTGGTCTGTTGTGATTGTGGTTTTGTTTCATTAAAATAAGTATTTTTTTAAAACTTGAATCCAAGAACTCGTATAAAAGTACGAGCAAGTGCTAAATGCGCACATAGACAGAAAGTCTATTGGTACACAGCTGGGGAGCAAACCCAGAAATGAGAGTCGCACTTTGAAATCACGAGGCAAACACTGCTCCCATTGTAACAAATACCATACTAATTTTAGTCAACATTTCATCAAGTTAAAGTGGTTGTCTGGTTGATATTTTTCAGAACTAGTGCCATAATAAACGAATACCTAGTAAAATAAATAATAAAATTAATTAAAATAATTGTAATATTTGTTTCTTTTAGGCCACGAAACAATATCAGAAGTGGATTTTGCGAAAATCCTCCTCCGTTACACGTATTTAGATACAGATGAATACGACATGTATCTCGATCGATTATTGGACCGAGTGAAGTACGGGCAAGGGATCACCTTTCACGAGTTCAAAACGTTTTGTCAGTTTCTGAATAATTTGGAAGATTTCACCATTGCCATGAGGATGTATACGCTGGCTGATCATCCGATATCTAAAGGTTTACCACACTTTTATATTTCACTGACATTATTGTTAATATTCTATTTTTTTTACATTTCAAAGAGCAAGATCAGTGTGATATAAATATTATTTTATAACAAGCTGATCCGGCAAACGTTGTTTTGCCATGTATATCATTAATAATAAAAAGGGGTTGATCGTAGAGGGGTGAAAATTAGGGGTTGTATGTATTTTTTTATGCTGTATCATAAAAAAATAAAGAATAAAATTTTTATCTAAAATTTAAAAAAAAATTAGGGGTGGACTACCCTTAACATTTAGGGGGATGAAAAATTGATGTTGTCCGATTCTCAGACATACCCAATATGCACACAAAATTTCATGAGAATCGGTCGAGCCGTTTCGGAGGAGTTTAACCACAAACACCGCGACACGAGAATTTTATCTATTATATATATAATCTGCTTGTACCATATACGATTTTATATATTTACTACAAATGCCAACAAAATACATTCAAGCACAAACTAACTTCTTCTAATTAAAATAAACTATCTCAGTAGCTAACGCATAATTTAGTTAAATAAAATTTCTCACTAACACAACAAAGTTCTGTTATTTTATTTAAAAAAAAGAAAAACCAGCACCCTCAACGTCGGATCGGATATGCAACGGGTAAAACTATAGATTTTTCGAGATCAAATGTATTTGATCTCTAGGGAGCGTTCAAGTATTACGTGACGCAATTTGGGGGGAAGGGGGTTATTTAAACAACGCGTTACGTAAAAATTTTAATTTTATAAAAAAAACTATGGGATTCATTGGCAACACTTTTCGTTTATGTTGTACGGGGAATCCCTTTATTGTATTGTACGTTACTTTTGTACCGAAAAACATTATGGTGCGTTACATGGGGGGGGGGAGGGAGCTTCTAAATTCTTTAAAAATTGCGTTACGTAAGAATTGAACGCTCCCCTAGCTGTTGCTGTCTTAAAAACTAAGCTAATCTATTTGCCGAACTGTGTTTACACTCTCATAGAAAGAGGTGAATAGTTTAGTTAAAATAGTGTTATAGTAGTTCACAATTATGTAATCTCTCTCTCTCTCTCTCTCTCTCTCTCTGCATGAGTAGTCTGGTGTAACGTTATAAGTTTAGTTAGTTATTAGTTATTACTCTACATCACAGACTACACAAAAACCATTAAATTGAAAGTTTAAGTTACTCAAATTCACAATTTAACTATGATTATAGATAGAGATATTTACAATATTCAATAATCATATAATATAATTGAGATATTATTTTTCAGATGAATTTCACCGAGCCGTAAAAATATGTACTGGAATCGCTCAATCGGAACACTTAGTGAGTACAGTGTTCGCGATTTTCGATGCGGACGGAGACGGGTTATTGAGCTATAAGGAGTTCATCGCTATCATGAAGGATAGACTTCATCGGGGATTTAAGGTATTTTCAATTTGATTCATATGATATGTTAGAGCAAAAATAATTGTTTCGGGTCGCAACTTATTTAAAAAAATAAACCAACTTTAAATACCTGTCAAATGTAAAGTAACGCTTATACTAAGTGGTGTATTACACATGTCTAGAATCACGCAGATCTCCAAAACTACTAAACCGATGTTGATAAAACTTGAACTTGATTAAAATTATAATACTACTAGCTGACCGGGCAAACGTCGTATTGCCATATATATCATTTATAATAAAAAAATAGGGGTTGATCGTAGAGGGGTAAAAGTTAGGGGTTTGTATGTATTTTTTAATGCTGTATCATAAAAAAATATTTAAAAATAAAAAAAAAATATTTAGGGGTGGACTACCCTTAACATTTAAGGGGATGAAAAATAGATGTTGTCCGATTCTCAGACATACCCAATATGCACACAAAATTTCATGAGAATCGGTCGAGCCGTTTTGGAGGAGTATGGCAACGAAAACTGTGACACGAGAATTTTATATATTAGATACTGATTCCACAAATCTTTTATGGTTGATTTTTTTTATCAGCTCCAAAAAAGAGATTTTGTCTTAATATTTTAATAAGATTTCAACTACTAAGACAGTGTTTTTTTTTTAATTTGCATGTATGTCCACAAATTTCATCAGCTAATACTAATATTGATACTTTATTTAAATCAAATATATTCCGAATTAAGAGTCCATGTTCATCAAAATTGTTTCAGTCATTATTGGGGTATCCACACATTTCTTGCAACATGTTATAAATACTTACAGGAAGTGCTCTTATTTTTTTATTTAATTACCAGATGTAAGTATCATTTTATTCCAGTCTTCAGCGAAAAATGAAGGTTGGGAGGCCTTCAAGTCGTGCGTCAAACAGGAAATGAAAAGCGCAGTTTAATTTATTATTTATATGCTAACTTAATTATTTATATGACAACCAAAGTGTAGAAAAATACATTTTATAATTTATTAATTTTCATAAGTTGAAGCAATCCTGTGAAACAGGCTAATAGCGTAATTTATTTATATGCACAGAAATGAGTTACCGTCTTTATTTATTGTTATGTTATCTAAGAGATTAACAAAATATTACTTAATTATTTAAATATATTTATAAAAATAATCTTTGACGTAATTTCTCAAGATCTCTTAATATGAGTCTCCTATACTTAAATATAATTAGACTGGCTTGCCTCTATTCTTTATCCCCCTTATCGATAAATGCTTCTCAACTTTGAAACAGTATTTAAATTTTTTACCGATAAACGTAAATCTATGTTGATATTTTAAACAAGACTCAATATAAACAACCTCAAAACCTATTGACAGATGAGATGGCGGATAAGTGAGTGTTATTTGTTAATTAAATGACTTTAATTTTTAACAATTTAAAAATACAGTTATTAAACTGTAATTGTATGTGAACGGACGTCCGCAATTGGTATATTTAGTTGAATTAAATGTGTTAATTATCAGCATACGATTTTATCGGTAAGATATTTTCTAACGTTTAGAGTTCGAGTGCGATTCAGTTGAAAGGTTAACATCATGATCGTAGAACAATGTCGGATTTGAGAAAAATCCAAAATCTACTTTTTATCATATTTGGATACTAGTGACTAAATATTACGGCTACATTTTAAAAAAATCCATGTGTTTTAAATTTCAAATTAATCAGTCGGTAAAGTGACGGATTTGATAGAAGCATGTGATTTTACTAGAAAACTGTGTAATTTAATGTTATAATTTTGAACCCTTTTGTTTGCTTGTATGCCAATTTTCATAATAACTGAATATGAATTAAAATAGTTATGACAAAAACTAAACATGATTATTTTGAAATGGCTGCCCTGTAAAGTTTACTATTTGTCAGATCCGTCACTATTCTACGACTATGACGATTTTATCGGTAAGGAGTACTTTATGGTTCTTAATGCTCTAAGGTCACAACAACTGTTTAGTTATATTTTATGAAAGTGATTTTAGGAAATACGAAAGGATTTCAATAGATTATAAAAGCTTTTATTTTGTGTATTTTACTAATATAAATTAACTTCAGTAAGTTTGAAACTTGTTTTTGTTTTGTGGAATATTCATTTTAGTACATCCATGAGTTTGCCAAAGTAAAAAACGCGAGTTTAATGCGCCAAATATTTGTATAAACAATATTTTACAAACTCATGGTAGAACACCACGAACAATACATGAAAGTGAATCTCGTAACAATTTTGTATGGAAAGCTAGGTCTGATTGACACATAGATCCATAGTTTTTCTAATCATCAGAAAGATCACCGGTACTTTTTAATGTCCAATTTTGATATAGTTATCTCGATATCCGTAGCGCTGATGTTACAATTACGCTTTACAAAAACTTACCAAACGCAGTCGCTATTGGGAGTTATTTAGCACCGGGGCAAATATGATTGTGTTTACATTGACGAAACTATCGTAAAGTTCGTGCTATGGGCACTATATATTTATTAAATCAAAGTTACCAATAAGTGAATATTATAGTGAATTGTAACGCTTGTTTAGAAATAAATAGAATGCTTAAGAATAATTTAAAAGTATTTAATCTGCTTAAACTAGCTTTTAACAAATTTTAACACTTCAATATATAAGCACAAAATAATAGGATATTTAAGAATGCTTTATGTGCAGTGAGATTTTTATCGTATTTTTTTTGTCGGGTTGTTGCTTTATAAATTATGATCATGGCTAGTAAGTTTTGTGTTACCGTATTTCTTGTGTTATTGTAGACGTCTAAAGCTGTTTCTATATCCAATATACGAACCGTGATTACTACGAATCGTCGAAATATATGTCTTATGTGTCTAAATGTGCTTATTTCATTAAAATTTACTTAGATTTGTAAAACAATAATTTAAATTGTGCATTTGGATTGTGACCATTACTGACATGATTAAAATAAAATCCAGTGATGTAGTAATCTTGCTTATTGGTTATGATAAGGGCTTTTGGTAATATAAGCCTGTTATCTACAGATCATTTTTTATTTATTCACAACATTATTTTATCTTAACAGTCACATCTAATGCGATACAGTACTTAGTATAGTCCTGCTCCTATATACATTTACAGACCTCTGTAAAAATTACTAGGTTTGGCTGTAACATAGTAAAAATCGTGATCAAGCTCAATTTCTAAGTCATACTTTTAATATAGCGCTGAAGCGCAGTCTTAATATTAAAATAGATCACGATATGATCAGGACTCATAATAATTATTAACCTACTGGCCATGAAAATATTGTTTACTGTGTACTTAATTCTGGTTGTTAATAACAGTATTAATTATGAAAATGTTACCATTATTATTTGCTAGTCATATTGTAATTCAGTGAATAAAAAGTAACTTCAAACTTCATGCTTTTTTGAATTTAAAGCAACCTCTACTAAAATTTGGCAAAATGCTCTTCGCTTAATTCTTCAGATTAATAGTTCATTCAAAAATCACGAAGTTTGGAGATGTTTATGCAAATATTTGGTGTTTTATTTATTTGCCCTAGGGAGCTTTCAAGTATTACGTAACGAATTTGGGGGGGGACCTTTTGTGAAACGTTACGATTCGGGGCGGGGATTGAATTACGCGTTATTGTTAATATTATTTTCGAGTTTCCAGTAGTTTACACCACATAATGATAACTTTTAGGTATAAAGAGTCACTTGGTGGTCACGAAACGTTTTACTATACTTGGGTACAGAAAAACGTTACGGCGCGTTACATGGGGGGGTCAATAATCTCCAAAAATTCCGTGATGTAATACCTGAACGCTCCCCTATAAGTCAATAGATCTTTATACCTTAACTAGTGGACCCCACAGACGTTGTCCTGCATGATATTTAAAGCGATTAGGATATTAAGCAAAGTATGAAAGTACCGACTGCAGTGCCATCTGCCGGGCTGATTTGTGAATCTAAACCATTCCCAGATCCCCTTGAACACACACAAAAAATTTCATCAAAATTGGTCCAGTCGTTTAGGAGGAGTTCAGTCACATACACACGCACAGAAGAAATATATATATTAAGATATATTTGCAGTTTAGACGTATTACATTTCACACCGAGCAGAGTTCGTTACCAGTGGTATCTATTAACCGGTAGGATGTAATTAGCGATTTCGAAATCAGTCTGCTTATACGTTCCTAACCGTACAAACGCAAGACAACGTTCTATCACCTAGAGTGCGTAATATAGAAAAATTGTTCCACGCGTAACCGCGGGCGCTGCTTGGCTTGATCTAGGGTGTGGAGATAAAGGCAGAATAGAAGTCTATCGGAGACCTCTTCCGCATCCGAAACGCACATAATAAGTTTTTTTATTGCGTGCGAGATGTATGTAAGATAAATAAAACAATAAATGTTCGCAATACTTTAATCACAACATTTTTAATCAATAAGATCACAAATAATACTATCTTTACAAAGTATGATACATCTATAGCTTGACTACAATATTTTGAAAGTTAAGAACCAGGTCTATTTAGGTATAATCAAATTTCTTTAGAAACACAAAGAAATAAAGCACTGGACGGCATATAACTAAACAAATGTGATTTTTAATAATTAAAATGTACCGCTTCGTAAGCACAGAGATCCAACATTATGATACCAAAAAAATTAAACTTACTTTCATAAATATAACATTAAAATACCTCGATTTTGTTTTAAAAAAATATTGGTCTATTCTGCCGCACAAATGATGAAATAAAAATACCAACAAAAATTAAAAGTTTATACAACTGCATTAACACCCGGGTGTAGAACCTAGTTGCATATTTTCTCCTTCGTCCGTCGCTGACGTCAGCCGATGCCGGAGTAAAAATGACGCTAGAACTCTCGCCACCTAGAAAACAATTTACATATAAAAAGCTCTGCACGCGTTTATTTCCTCATTAGCTGTAAGCCCCAAAAACGTCAATGTACACTTATGCACGTCAAAAAAAGAAATATACATTAAATGCTTCTAATTTTACATTTACTGCCAGTTCTCAAATCAAGGGCGTAGAACGGAAGAGAAGAACTGGCTATAAACTCTCCGCCACTCTTTATAATCGCCGAGTTTTTTGTTTTACACAACGTTTGTAAGGAGCTGTAACCATTACACCATGTTCCACATGACATCTAAAGTAATAAATAATAATAAAATAAATTAAAAACAAAGATTTGTCCTCTATCAGCAGGAGGCATGGTGAAATAGGAGCACGCAATTACATTCTGTGGAACAATACGCAAACACATAGTCGAAATAACTTACATCACCGCATACACGAATTCAAGTACGACCAGTTTTTTTATTTAAAACATTTAGAATTAAAATTACCTCAGCGGGTGAATCTTCGTGCACGGCGTGACCGCATCTCGTAAGGACTTGCATTTGAAATTTTCCTGAAATTTATACCAATTTAAGCGAAATAAAAGGACCAGGAGTAAAATTCAACATGTATTTTTTTACAGATTTCGCCAGTAGATCGATTCTACTATCTACTATCGATAACTGAATTTTAGGAATTCTTCACTTGACCTTGCTATAGCGATTGGCCAAGGACACGTAATCGACTAATCACTACGTCGCGCGTCGGTCCAATTTGCAACTCAACGTGTTAATAATAGAATAAGGTTTATTATCGTGGTTACATTACCATTTCGCCCATATCGGTCCCTTAAAAATCCTAATTTAAAAACTAGCGAAAAAATAATCAGAAATTACTCATTCTTAGACTTAAAAAAAATTGACTGCCGTAACCTAGAATGATAGGAAGTACATAATATTTCAAAACTTATGTTATGTTAAAAAAAAAACAAACAAACAATAATATCATATTATGCAGGCGTTTAATAATGTGACATTGGAGATGCAGAAAATGCTGAAATCTTTAACAAAAACAACTTTTATAAGCCTACCTTGCATCTGTCCAACAGTCAATTCTCTGTCAAGTCCATCCACAGAAGCGAGTAGCAATAGCCTTGGCGCACGCGTCGTTAGGAACGAGTTCGATAACCCAGAAAACCATCCCGACCAATGTTGTTCTGTTTTTGACAAATCCACTCGCCAACGATATCTGAAATGCATCATTATGAATATATACTTTTTTAATATGTGCGCATTATGTGAATCGCTCGTATGTGAAGGATAACATTGTGAGGAAAGCGACATGCCTATTGCCTAAGGCGCGAAACACATAGAAAAGGGGTAAGGTGAAGGCGCGGTGCAGGCATCTTGCCGCTTCAAAACGCGTCAATACAAAATGTACGTTAAGCTGTCTACACACCGCAGCCGCCGGCCCGCCGGCACGAACCCGGCGGGCAAGGCCGGCGGCCTTAGTTTTAACGATGTTGCCGGCGGCTTGCGCCCGCGCGATCTTCCCCGCCGCACGCCCCTCTCCGCTCTTCACCACCGGTTGCCCACCGGCTTTTAAGAAATAGTGACGCGTCAGTGTTTTTATCGACCAAACATTATGGAATCCGTTAATGAAGTGGAGAGAAAAATAAAAAATTTAACAAGTCACTAGCAAGCACTTGGCAATCACTAATTGTGAACACTGCATGCCGCGACTGTATGTCGTGCCGCCGGGAAAATTGTCAGGCTCGCAACTTCTAAAGCCGCCGGGTTCGTGCCGGCTAGCCGGCGGCTGCGGTGTGTAGACAGCTTAAGCGGCACGTTGTTAATTATACTCAAACGGCGTGGCACAGGCACGTGTTCCGCGTCGCTAGCAGTCGCGACTAGAGTGGAATTTCGCATCTTCGTCATCTGAAGAGGAAGACATGCTATCACGATAAAGTCAGCCTGCGTAATGACCGTCTCTTCGCCTATTTGATATAATTTAAGTCGCATCCGTGCCTTATCTGTTCCACGCCGGCTCTGCGCCTGCGCGCCTTATAAAAGTCGACGGCGTGTGTCAGGTACAAAGCTGATAAAATATTTGCCTATTAAAGAACGAACTACCACGAAACAGAGAAATGTGAGGATGTAACATCACTGGTTTTGTTGGTCAGAAGTTTGCAACAATAAAATTTCGTCTCAGATCTCAAAAGCACTTTAGGTTGACAGCATCGGTATAATGACTGCGTAGAAGTCATGATACTAACTTCTAACTCAAATGATTATTAAATACAATCTCTGTCGATTTTTTAGAAAGGTTTCGAATTTATTTCCGAGGGAGAATAGTTTTAAAATATATATAAAATTGAATTGCTGATCGTTTGTCTCGCTAAAACTCCAGAATGACTGGACCTATTTGGATAATTATTCAATTGAATAATTTGTCGAAGTTTCGGGAAGGTTTAATACATAAATAATAAGTAAAGAAAAATACTAAAAACAATTGAATTTTTTAATAAAAACTGTTCTTAGCTGGGAAATATTTGATGTCTTGTTTTTTTTTAATAACAAAAAATGGTTGTCAAGTATTTATAGATGCCTTCTAGGTAGCTTAAAATTGTATTTTATCTTTTATTTGGCAAGCATAAAAAAAGTCCTTATTTTGTTATATGTTTCCTATTTGTTATATAATGTTTATGTATTCAGTTTTAACTAATATTATAAATAACTAGACTTAAATATGTAGTCATAACCTTACTTCTGGAATATATTTACACGGACAGGTTGGAATCAGACATAGGCTACTTTTCATATCCATAAAATATGGGATATGAACACATACACATGAAACTAGTAGCCCAGTAGATATATATATATAAATATTAAAAGGTAGTAGGTACTTCATAGCTCCTCCAGTAACGGGAGTAGGACTGACGAATCCGTCCCCCTCACCCTCTCCTTCTCCCTCCTCAAGTATGACGTCAGCGCGTGTACAAGTCGCCACTTCATCCGTGACGTCATCACTGACGTACGTGTCAACCTCGTTTATTGCCAGCTGATTGGTTGTGCAGCTGTCATTTGTGTAAGAATCATATAAGTTTACAATAATTAAAACAAGTTTCTTCAACTAATGTATACTATACTTTTACATAAAAAAATAAGATCTCGTTATCTACATTTAACACTAAAGCAAAATTTATACAATAAACGTGAAAATATTGCTAAATTCTAAACAATACCTTTAAACGGTAAATAGCTGAAGTTTAATGGTCTGTGTTACAAATTCAATTGTTACTTTTTAAAATTATTATACATTTTTGAGAATGTGTTTTAATTGCTTTCTGTGTAATTTAAAATGCACTATTCTCTTCCAAGAATGAATCTTCATAAAATTATTATCAGTCAGCAGTTTAAATAGTATAGTAACAATTCAATTAATCAATCATGTATATTGTATATCCATCATATATTTTATTAAATATAATAGTAATTAAGTGATTATTTATCTATTACTTACTTGACAATTTGGCTAGGCATTGAAACCCTGGCTGATTCAACATTCCGTACTTGACCACTTCTTACACTGAAAACACAAATAAATCTTAGAGAAATCTGGCATTGTCAGATATCTATAAATCTCCTTTTAGTCCAATTTTGATACTCAACTTTGCTTTTTATATATAATGTAGTTTTATATAGAAAAAAAATTTATTTCAATAATCTTATATATAAATTACGCGTCACGTTGTTTGTCCGCTATAGACTCCTAAACTACTTAACCGATTTCAATCAAATTTGCACACCGTGTGCAGTTTGATCTAACTCAAAAGATAGGATAGTTTACATCTCAATTTATACCCGCAATATTATTTTATTGCAAAATATTTGTTTATTATTTGATAGTCACAATTCTAACACATGGCGCAGTGTTGAAAGTACCAACGTTTCTCATAAGCTACAATTTAATGTCATAACCACCAAAAAAGCATGGTGGTCCCCATGACTGGTGTTCTCCTACCGTTACCCTTGAATACTTTACTACCATGTAATATAACAAAAACCTCAGCCACAACAACGCTTGGCAGGTCTGCTAGTAAGTTATATTTTAAAACTCACCACCACTCTATAGCATGCTCTAGACTCTTGAAATGTGTTGGTCTGCCACGGAGGAAACTTTGCATACTGGCCAGGGCATCCATAGCTGTACCTATAAAGATAATGTCAATATATTTAAAATATCTGAGCTATAGATATCACCTAAATGTTAAGCTTTCATTCAAACATTTAACCATAGCTTCGAATTATAAAACTGCTCTATATACAATGGTTCAAATTTTATTTCACTTCTTTTGGAATCACAAAAAATCTTTTTTAGCATCAAAAACTACTTTTATTGGAAAGTGTTTCGTTAGCCCTTTGTTGACGAATCCTTCAAGAGAAGAAATACTTATTGTTGTGTTACATTGTTATAAGATCATTATTTTAGGATTGGTTGTAAGATGTATTTTCAATAATCATATTTCAAGTACTGTAAGTATCAAGATATGATATGAAAACCTAGAATTGATTACTGATCTTTTTATGTCTTGAAAATAATAAATTACTATAGGTAGGTTAGTGAATAAGAAAAAGGTGTACAATTTTCAAACTTACCCTCAACAACATCTATAACAGCTACCCCATATATATAGGGCTCTATGCCAGGCAAATGTGCCGCTCTCACAGCAATAGCACCGCCCATTGAATGTCCGAGTAGGATCAAAGGTGGTAACTCATCATCACCATATAACTTATGAATCACTTGTTCTACATCTCTGTAACATACCAGTAATAATTTATATTACGCTATAATATCTCACCTCCCAACTAGAATTACAATTGCAGGATTATATGATATAAATCAAATAAACTACAAAAGTTTTTTTTTGTTTTTAAGCTAACAATTATGAGAGATTGTTTAATTATTGTTTTTAATGTTAATTGACTCTTTATCGCTTTATCCTAAGGAGTAGTTTACAATATTCCATTCATTATGGTAACCATTTGCATGGGTAGGCAAAAAAATATGTTTATATAGAAACTTTATTGAGCATTTATTATGTTTACTTTTTACTACTTACTTAATTAATGTTTCAATGCTTAAATCGTTAGGGTTTTTAGCTTGTGTCTCTCCATGACCACGAATATCCAGTGACACAACTTGACAATGAATCATGTTTGTAATTTCCTCCTAAAATAAGTAATGTTGAAGAAATAAAATATACCGTTGAATTGATAACCTCCACCACAGATTTGTCCTAGTTAAATATGAATAAGTGATTTTGAATGAGACCAGTATAACCTCAGGCTGTGAATTACGAAATTGTAGGCACACCACAAGAATACACAAAATAAGTCTTCAAGACAGTGTTATTTAATAAAAAAACACAAGAAATTAGTCACAAATTCTTCAAACAATCTTATGTAAAAGTAAATGTTATACCTACTGTGAAAAGAGCCCAGCTGAGTCCTGAATATCCTCCACCATGTAATGTTATTATTCTCGGCCTTTGTGGGTGATCAGGTTCAGGTGATAAATAAACTCTGAAAGATCCACTCTCTGTTTCCAAATCAACAGATTTTTGAAAGTATTGATTCCATGACACTGGAGCATAATTTCGCTTTCGCCCGCCACTATATGGAGCAAGCCTAAAATATAAGCAGAATTTGTGTCTTAGTGAAAACTACGTTCCACTAGTTAATTAAATAATTGTATTATTTTAAATAATCATATAGTATAAGGGACAATATTATAAATTTACTTTGTTTCTCCTGATGTTCGTGGCATTTTTGGTGGGAGATTACTTTTCATGATATTCTTTTGAAGTGCAGACATTTTAAGTTATTTTTATTCAAAGAATTTACGACCCGGTTTCGCTTTTTTATAAACTTTATTAATGTGTTTACAATTTACTGTAAAAGTACATATTTTTCAGATGAATATTTATAGTATTTTTTTTATGGATAGTGGATACAAGTAGTACAATGAACAATCGCACAGCTACAACAGTGTTCACATTTCACAATCACAAGTCACAACCTGAAGCCAGGCAGTTATCGTACCAGGGCCGTAAAATTATCGTATATGTGATTCATATACGATAAATTATCGTACAGTTAGGAAAATGGCTAAAAATACTTTAAAAAATCATATGAAACGTGAAAATAAAATGTTGCAAACGATTTATAGTTTAAATCTTGTAAACTTGTGTTTTTCAAATTGATAATTCAATTTAAATGTTCGAATGGCACAGACCCGAGCTGGGCCCTCGTCCACTTCGAGTGTGATTAAGGCGCCAACATTTCAAATTTATACAAAAAATGTGTGCGTGTACTAGGTGTACACACGTAAGAAGTGAAACTTATATAAAACCTTTGTTGTACGCAGAGCCATAATTGGTTTGTTTTAAGTTTAGAGGTCCGAAACTATTTCTTTAAACACAGTAAATTTTGATACACTGCCTAGCATACAATTTACAAATTAATGGCTACAAATTGCGATTAGCAAATTTCAAGTCGAAAATGTAATCCGTTGTCAAACTTCAAAGTCAAAATCATACTATATGTCATTTTAACGCCGATAAAGAAGTTTGAATTCAAAAAGCAACATGGCGCGTAACGGAAAAATGTGACGCGTAACGCAAAAATGTTACACTAAATTTTTTTCCAACCCCGATAAAGAAGTTTCACTTCAAAAACAAAATAATGTTAAAGGATAGAGACACATGCATATTTTTAAAAGTTTAACTGAATATATTTGCGAGAACAGAATACGCAAATATTAATGAAACTTAACGTTTTAAATACAACTTTTAATCTCTTCCGTCAAAAATACGCAATATTTTCTCGTTGAACAATATGGTGTTCGCTCTAAGTGATATACCTATTGTCCGTAAACATCGTATATTATTTTTATCATTTAAAATTCGTTAGGTATTAAAATTATATCGAAAACTTCCGAATCTGCGTCACCATACAAATCGCGAATTTTTTGGCTGTGCATTCTGATGCGTTTTTGTGTTTGTACATTAATGCTTTGTTCGTCCGCTGTAGTCGCCTTGTGACTACTTGTTCCTAATACATAGAAAAATAAGCCAAACTGTAATTGTTATTGGACTATCTGTGTAATCATCAAATTTTTTATCAGAATGGAAATTATCGTACAATCTGCGTACGATAGTCGTGTACCATCGTACATCGTACGTAGTTATGAGATTATCGCACATGTACGATAATTATCGTACGATTGTGAACACTGCTACAATCGGAATTTGAATAATGGATTTGTACCACAGATAACAGATTCCGTATTTGTACTTGTAGTAACTAGTTAAGTACCAACTTTTCTACATTTGTTGACTGTTGCATGTCGGCATTGAGAATTGTCAATTTAGTGATGATAGAAATCCAAATAATAGCAAAATCAACATTTAAATATAATTATAAGACATTAAAAAAAACAAATAAAACGGGGATGAGTGTTAAATATCGGTTTATTATTTAGATATACAAAAAACTTAAGTTCCAGATGACCAAAACACTATGTATTTGTCGCGATCCGATATTTGAAGATATAATACTATTAGAATCGGCCCGTTCGGATTTATGCTAAGATCGGATTGCGTCACGTCACTAACTGTCATTAAATTACTACAGTATATTGTAATTTGATCATTGATGTATTGTATTTTGTAAATAATAAATAGTAATTGGCACATTAGCCGAAAAACTTAACTTGTAATTGTAACAAACCTAATATAACTGGGATTACAAATACTGAATAAAATCGGAAACATTGTAAGACACAACTGTTAAACACAAACAATATGAAAATTAATGTGACAGATTTTAAGGACAGTTGCAGAGCTTGCCTCCAACAGAACAAAATATTTTACAATATTTTTACTTGTTATTATGTTAAACGCAATATTTCATGTGTCGAAATGCTAACCAACTATACCAAAATTAAGGTAAATCATATCTTAATAAGAATCATAGTTTCTTTGTTGGAGTTTTTTAAAGATTGATCACAGTTAATGTTTACAGCCTATTAAACAGGATGGTTTACCACAACTTATTTGCAAGGATTGCTTCAGGCAGTTAAAAAGAACATATGACTTTTGTATACAGTGTGAAAGCAGTGAGATAAGGTTAAATAATCTTTTGTCGAACCTAAAAAGTCCTGATAACAGTGAAACTATTAATGAAGTTAAAGAAGAAAATAATATCAAGCTCGAACCTAGTGAAGATAAAATTAATCTAATATCAGAAGCAGTTGAGTTAAAATTAGGTGGGTAAATATAGATTTAGTCATTAGCCGCGTACTGACTGAGCGAGCAGCCTCGCGAGGCTGCCTCGCGAGGCAAATCCTCGGTCGGTCAAGACGTGCCTCGCCCGAGGCAAACGCACGCGCTGCCTCGCCCGAGCGTGCCGCGGCCCGAGCCGAACGTTGTCGGTTTTTGTCGATGTTCAAAGGCGCCTCAGTACGTTTGCCGCGCTCACTCAAGACGGTAGTGTTTTGCCTCGCTTATTCGTTGCGTGTTAGTTGTGCGTCATGGATAAAGAACAGTGTCTTAAATTAATACGACTATATGGTGAATATAGACGACTTTGGGATGCGCAATGTCCTGATTACACAAATAGAGGACTAAGGGAAGATGCATGGAGAAAAATAAGCCAGGAAATGAACCTTCCAATAGCTGAATTAAAGAAAAAAATGGACTCTTTACTAGGGTCTTACAGGAGGGAAAAGTCGAGAGAAAAAAAAAGCCGAATCACAGGATCAGGTATTTATTATTTAATGTTTATGATTAGGGTTAACAACATTCATTTTATTATATTCAAAGTTACATCGGTTTTTATATTATTTCTAATATTTTTTTTTTTATTTTATACTGCAGGTCGTGGTGAAATATATGTTTCGAATTGGTATGCCTATGAAGCCTTCAGTTTTCTAGGAGATAGAAATCACCCAGGAAATACACAAGATACTTTAGGTGAAGAAGTGAGTACCTATTATTTACTGATAATTATTCTGCCAAGAAATTGCTCCGTTTGTTATGAAATGTCTCCCTAAATGTGAACGTATTTCTTTTATATTTGTTGATCCTCGCCGTGGTATGGCTCTACGCAAGTAGTTATATAAGCATATGGTAGTCAATACGACTTTCGTAGCTTTTTCTGGTTCTAATAGTAGCGGCTTCCATAGTACTCTAAAAACGGAGCTTAAAATGCCAAAGGCATTCTCCACAACTCTTCTTGCTCTGGACAGCCTGTAATTGAAAATCCTTTCCATTGAACCTCTTTCTGGAGTACCTTCATAAGGTTTCAATGTGTAATCATTGAGAGCAAAAGCTTTATCGCCTAGAATAAAATAGGGCACTGCAATTTTATACGGTATTTGTAATATTTCTGGTGAAGGAATGTTCAATTCCTTCTTTTCGACCTTTTATATAAATTGGTATTTTTAAACACACCGCCATCTGATATACGTCCTTTGCTGCCAACGTCTACGTACAGAAATTTATAGTTAGCGTCAACTAAAGCAAACAGCACTATACTTGGAAACATTTTGTAACAGTCATAATCATTGCCACTATTTATCGGCGACTGTAATATAACATGCTTCCCATCCATTGCTCCTATGACATGTGGGAAATTCCATTTGCTCTCAAACTCTTTCGCTATGGTAAGCCACTCTTCTTCGGATGATGGTATCTGTAAATAAAATTAAGTAATAATTTCTATCTTTACAGAATGCAAGTCTGGATAATACTCGAAATGATGACGGTTATAACGAAGAAAAAAATGAAACTTCAAACTCGACGACAACGGAAGGACCTAAACAAAAGTCAACTAGACCTAAAAAGAGATCCAAAATGAACGAAAGTGATGATCTTACTGATAACGCCATATCTGAAGCATTAACACTCTTACAACAGTGTGCAAGCGATAATATATCAGAAAAAAATGATCCCTATAATGTGTATGGCCAATATATAGGAAATGAGTTGAGAAAGTATGATAAAATTACATTAGCATACGTAAAAAATGCAATAAATAAAATTATCTTTGATGCAGACATGGGAGCATACAGTGGTTATAGTTATTATACTCAATCATATGGTGAACACGATAATTTAAGATATATGTCTCATCCCTCTTCCTCATCGACGCCATCTACATATTCGATGCCTGCTGCCTCACCAATGCCTTCTACCTCACCGATGCCTCCTACTTCACCGATGCCTCCTACTTCACCGATGCCTCCTACTTCACCGATGCCTCCTGCCTCATCGATGCCTTCTACTTCACCGATGCCTGCTGCCTCACCAATGCCTCCTATCTCACCAATTTCGATGCCTCCCCCTCCTCCTTCTCCAGCTCCTCATCATTAAATATTTGTTTGTTTAATTTTCTTATATTATTTGTCCAATTTTCTAATCAGATTAATAAAAAATAATAAAAATATGTAATTTTATTTTACCTTAACATAATCCTTTAACACCTCAATTATAGCATCACAGACTTCAGGAACTATAACCGATATCCTTTGTTTTGATATACGAAATAGATACTGTAGACTGGTATAAGAATCTCCTGTGGCCAAAAATCTCAACGTCACTAATAATCTTTCCCTAGCGGATATTGCTTCTCGAAAATTTGTGTCCTTCTTGCTTATTTTGGCGTTTATGAGAGAATACACATTGTCAAATTAGATTTTACTCATTCGAGTGAAATTTTTTTCTTCGTCATCGAAGCACAACTCTTCAAATAATCTGTTCCCAGCCTGTAATCTATTTTTGTATAAGAGTTTAATCCAAAAACGTTTAGTTTTCTGTTTTCTTTTTTGCAAGCCTTAGAATTATTAAAAGGCAGTGGTAGCGACAGCTTTCCGAATGTGCGGCCTCATGGTGGTCTCGGGCAAACTATACGGGCACGCGCGGTCTCTATTCGACTTCAAGTTAAACTGAGCGTCGATGCTCACGATGGCTCGGACTTGCCGCGCGAGGCAGCCTCGGATTAGAAAACTTACAGACCGAGGCTGCCTCGCGCGGCAAACGTTGCGAAGCAAACGTCCGAGGCTGCTTCATGAGGCTGCTCGCTCAGTCAGTACGCGGCTATTGATTTCTTAGTATTAAGTTACATGTATATATTATAAAAGTATATAATAATGTTCTTGGATATATAGAACATTTAGAAAAGTGTTATTTACAAAAAAGTTATGAAAGTGCATTGATTGAATTATTGCTTTCTGCTACCAAAATTTTTCTTTTTCTTTCTCTTTAGAAGCTAACAAAATCTACCTAAGGACATCTAAATTATTTTATCATTTTCAGAGCCCATTCGTGAGATTAATGATGAGAATGAAAACTGGAATGCTGATGATGATAATTTACTTATTGAATTTAAACAAATTGGTATGTTTTTTAATTTCTTTAAATGCTTAGGTTAAATGAAATAACAATAAATTTCTTGTTTAAAAATGTATACTAGCTGACAATAATAATTTTTTGTGTCGTTTGTATGTAAATGTCTTTAAAGTAACACAAAATTATTCTTACCAAATGAAAGTTTATTTTCAGATCCAAAGGACGAGACAATTATTAAGAAGAAAAAAGGGAAGAAGAAAAAATGTAATTATGTTCAAAGTTATTCTTAACAAGAGACATGATTTATGAGAGTTAGGTATAGAAATTTAGGTTTGTGCCATGTGATGGCAGCTTATTGAATAGTACCTCCCCATCTATACCCATGGGTGTTGTAAAAGGCGACTAAGGGTTATTAAGGCGTAGGGAAGTGACGACCCCATTGCCCTCTGGAGGAATAATTGAGCAACATCTATTTCTCCATCATCACACGTCCCTGGGTGTGCTCACTCAGGCTGGCACGAGAGGACAAAATACTGCTCAACTTCAGATGTAAAACAAGGAATAAACTCATGACAGCACAATTAAACACAGACTTCACTAACAATAGGGGGCTTCAGTCTAATATAAATCCCATCCATTTTCTCAATTTGAAGGCGCTCTCCTGACATTTATTGTAGAGACATTGGGTCTCTAAATGTATTCTGCAAAGAGTACTGAAGAGTTGTTTGGGTTGATCCCTTCTGCCTCGTTTCATCACCGTTCGTGTCGTATTATCTCATAATTTCATCCGCATCACCCTGATGGCTGGAAATCTTGTAAGATCCAATTCACTAGACATTTTCTTTTGCAAGTAGTGAACTGTGGAATCAATTCCCGGTGGGAGTCATCCCTGGGAGATACGACCTCCAACTGTTTAAAAAAATAGGATACTCCTCCCTCATAGGCCAGCAACACACCCAATAAAATATGTAAGGGTTGCGATGACTGGCCATTTTGGGCCTCCCGTAGGCTCGTTAGCCCCCCTATTAATAATATAAAAAAAAACAACATAGCAATAATGTTTGTATCTAACTTATACCTATATTCTTTTCAGTTCCACATTTGGACGACGAAGAATTGGCTAAACCAACTAGTAAGTTACCACACCAATGTGATGTCTGTGGTAAAATATTAAGTTCGAAAAGTAACCTCAACTCTCACAAAATAATACATACAGATCAAAGGCCTTTTAAATGTAAAGAGTGTCCAGCATCTTTTAAGTGAGTATTGTTATATTTTTTAAATAAATATTGAAGTAGGATAAAAGTATAATAAACTTTGGTTAAGCACATCTTGTAAAATTATCCAATACATAAATTAATAAAAAAACTCTTAATGGACAGGAATGAATTACATATTATTTGCCTGTTCTTGTTCTTTAACGTGTTCTTGAACCGTTTGTCTTAAACGAAATTTGTAACCAACTTTGTTAATAATAATCCACGGGGTAAGGAGTAAGATTTTCGGCGAAACAATTATTATTTTGGTTTGCTATGTGTAAAAGCCTACAAGCCTTTAAGGTGATCTCTCCTATGTCAAATTCCTTGGTCCTTTGAGTTTTATATAATTTAAAAGATACTCAGAAATGTGGTCTTTGGCGAAAAATCCCCATACTACGTGTTTCTAAAAGCATAAACAAATATTAATGATATATCCACCTCTTTCAGAGGCCACAGCGGTTTATTTCAGCACAAGAGGCTACACACAGGTGAAACTCCATATCATTGTGAATATTGCCCCAAGCAGTTTAGAAAGAAAACTACACTTATATATCATATACGTACTCATACTGGTAAGTACATGTTTCAAGCCACAAAGGAACCAATAATATAAGAATTCGTAAACGCGGTGATATTATTAAATTTATCTGTGACCTGGATGTAATATATTTGCGTGTCGCTTAACGTTTTTTTTTTTTAATATAGAATCAAATTCATTCCACGTTATGTGGAGCGAAGTGTAATTGTAGCAGCTCTTCACAAACATCTTGAAAAACAAAATACTAGGCAATTAAAAAGAGTGTCTTGCCAGTTTTTCTTGTCTGGTCTATTATTTACCAGTTCTTAGTATTTGGTGTGTGCTTGAACTGAGTCTTAAATGAAATTTATAAGAAACTGTTAAATACATGACAAAGTGTATTCTATGCCTTTGTTTTGAGAACTGGCAATAAATGCAAATTTATAGTGGAACTAGCTGACCTGGCAAACCTCGTTTTGCCATGTATTATGTATGTCATTTATAATAAAAAATAGGGGTTGATCGTAGAGGGGTGAAAATTAGGGGTTGTATGTATTTTATAATGCTGTATCATAAAATAAATTAACTAAAATTTAAAAAATAAAATTTAGGGGTGGACTACCCTTGAAATTTAGGGGGATGAAAAATCGATGTTGTCCGATTCTCAGACATACCGAATATGCACACAAAATTTCATGAGAATCGGTCAAGCCGTTTCGGAGGAGTTTTACTACAAACACCGCGACACAAGAATTTTATATATTAGATTACAAATTGGTACTGCCACTACAGTGATTATCAGATATCTTCCTTTTAAAGAAAAAACTGTTTGACCGGATTGAAGTTATGTATTATTATAAATATACAACTATTTAACATAATTGTAAATTTATCCGACGTTTCGCGTGCTTTACAGCGTGCGTGGTCACCGTGACCAAAACTAAAATAATATAAGTTGTAAATTTATAATAATACATAACTTCAATCCGGTCAAACAGTTTTTTCTTTAAATGTGTAAAGGTTATGTAAATCAAAGACAATACTATCTTCCTTTTATTTAATAATATGTTTCTGCAGATAATATTTAATACTTAAAAGGATATTTAACATAAAGTCTTTAATAACAAGTTTCTATTAAGAGGAAGGCACTCAGTTCTTGTGTACTATTTTTCCAACTAACGTGTACTCACATTAATTCGATTTCTTACTTAGCTTTGTAAAATGATGAACATTAATACTTCTAGGTGAAAAGGAATACGATTGCAAAATTTGTCTAAAGAGTTTTGTTCAGAGCGCGCAACTCGCGATACATATGAAACGGCATAGTGGGGATAAGACGTACCTCTGTCAGGACTGTGGAAAAGGTACTCTCATGTAATTTTATATTTTGCTTGCTCATCATTACTGGGGCCTTAGTAGTAGAAAGTAGAAAACTAATTTTGTCGACACGTACTGTCATTTTCATACAAATTTCGTTTTCGACTATGTACTGTTAAGGCATCTTGACTAAGCCCCCTGTGTTTGTAAATTGCCTTCTTTGTTATATTGCCATGTAGGGAATGCATAAAATAATGGTTTACAGTTAATGGGCGGGTATAGCTAAATTCGAATACGGGCCGGGCTTGTATCTATTTTTCTGCTGTAAATAAATGTTAATGCTTGAACATATAGATTTCTACAACATTACAAAAACTTTTGTGTGAATAGAAACATCTGCTTCGTTCGGATCAAGGGATTCAAGTATTACGTAACGAATTTGGGGGGGGGGTTTCCTTTTGTAAAACGTTACGATGCGGGGCGGGGATTGAATTACGCGTTATTGTTAATATTATTTTCTACTTACACCACATAATAGTAACTAAAGAGTCACTAGGTGGTCACGAAACGTTTTACTAGACTTGGATACAGGACTGTACTTGGGTACTGAAAAACGTTACGGCGAGTTCATGGTGGGGGGAGGGGTCAATAATCTCCAAAAATTGCGTTACGTAATACTTGAACACTCCCCAAGTCACCTGCAGCTTTTCAACATCGGACGTGAAAACAGAATAGCGTTGTCGAAATCAGTTTTTGTCGTGCACCACCACTATTTGGAACTAGTTGCCCACTGAAGTATTTCGCACTTGCGAGCCTTCTGGCAATGTGAGTGTGTATGGGCAATGGTATCACAAAATCATAAAATCAGGTGAGCCTCCTGCCCGTTTGCCCCTTGTTTTATAAAAAAATAAACATGTGAAAATCGTTATGGGGCATAGGGAAAATAAATTCGTGTTTTATGGGCTTTCTATACAATCTTAAAGATTTATATATTCCTGGTTAAATAAATGCCCAAAGTGAGCCACAGCGTTAAAAGAAATAATATATCTTCAATTTTCTATTTCAGCATTTATAATAAAAGCCGACCTTAAAGTTCACCAACGAATTCATAACGGAGAAAAGCCATACTCATGCCATTTATGTGAGAAAACGTTTGCGACGTCTGGAAATTTGTCAATACACGTTCGGATACATAACAGGGAGTTTAGGTAAGGGAGCTTAGGGTCCTTCAAGAAAAAAACGTCCCATTCCCTGATGGGTCCGCAACACACCCGCTAGGCGTTTCAGGTGTCAATGGACGGCGGTTATCACTTTATTCAAAGTGACCCTGCTCGTTTGCCTCCGGTCCCATAAAAAAGGGGGATTTTTTAAATAAAATTTAACGGTATTATTATAATTACATTACTATATTATATTCTTTAAATAGCTTTAATATTTCTTGAACTATTCATCTTTCCACTTCCGTGAAGAAGCACGTGTTACGCTTATGATTTTCCTTTGCCTTTATGTAAATTGATTTACCACATAACTCATCAAGCGAAGTTGATAGTGAAAATATTAATTATTTACGTAGGTAACATATTGGGAATTAATTAACGAATCATCGTTTTAATTGATATAAGTACCGTGTAAGGTTTATATGTCAGGTCATACAAGTTGGTTAAGGACCCTAATTACAGCATAAAAAAAAAATGTTTTCAAAAAATTTAAACGCAATAAAACATATATTGTCATGAAACCCGTAGCTAATTTGCCGTTATTGATTAATGTTTATTCTTTCAAAGGTGCTAATATAAAATTGTAGCCAGTCTTCTGCTGTATCTACTTTATAAAATCAAAAACTTCAAATTCATAGAGAAAAGTCGTCTTTATAGAAATATGTATCATAATTGTAAAATAATACTCTTAATTCACAGATACACATGCAAATACTGCAGTCGTGGCTTCATAACATGCAGTTCATACAATGTTCATTTAAAGAGACATCGCGGGCAGAGAGACTATTCATGCGAATGTGGAAAGAAATTTTACACATCTTCAGCACTAAAACAGCATAAAGTTGTTCACACCGGCGAAAAACGTTATCAGTGCAAAATTTGCGACCGGAAATTCACACAGACGAGCCACTTGAGTCGTCATTTCCGGAAGGATCATGCGAAACCGGATGATCCGTTGCCGAACTCGGATCAATACAAAATTGTTTTACCCGCAGAAAACGAAACGAGTGTGTTTAATTTAAAAATGGACGACGGTGACCTTAAATGTGAAGCGTAAAATTATGTTTTAATCGGTCGAGATAATATCTAGCGTTGATTGAAGGTTTTTGAAAATACACATTAGAAAACCAAAGAGTAATCACAATATAAAGCGCTTAAGATCTTAAATACTATCGTGGGAAAAGTGACTGCGAAAAAATAATCATTGTAATTGCGTCATTGAACGAATGGAACATTAAGTATGTACAACAATAAGTTGAATTAAAATGTACCAATATTTATCATGTTTGGTACAATGTGTAATAATGAAATTATATTAAATGTTAGGACTTATTTATTGTAAATTATCGAAAAAAATATAATATAATTTTGCAAAAAATCAAGTTTTATTAATTACTATTCAATTACTTTCGCGACTTTGCATGCATTTCAAGTATGTTTTAAATAGTACAACGTTATAGATATGGCATACTACCTACAGTTTTATTCCAGTAGAAGCAACTTACCTATTCAGCAAGCTATATTATAGCTTTATAAAAAGCTTTCTCTATCCATCAACATCTTGTCATACATTTTTTGAATGGGCTGATTAGTTCGTTGTTATGGATGAGTTCGCAACTTACAACGGAGTGTAAAAAAAAGGAGAAATACTTTTGAATCATATATTTTACAAAACTGTTGTCAAATTAAATCTTTTATAACTAAATAATCTTTTCTGTTGAACTTCGAAACTTTGACGTAGTTACAACAATATAACAAATATGGAACATTGAACTAATAAAATAAACTAAGGACATAAAAATAATTAAAGCGCAGTGAGCGAAATAAATACATTTAGAAGATATACAGAATTATACAGTCGCCAATGTATAAATTGACATACGAAATATTTCATATATTAAAAACTTTCCGGATACAATTTTCTATATTATCATGAATTTTAAGCGACTCTTATTCATAATAAGATAGCTTCATTCACTTTGTGAAAATTGCAAATTTAGACAGGAACAAAGGTGTTCGATTGTAGCAAAGGATATGAAACCATGTTTCCTAGTTACTCACGTCAACTTGTACTAGTACACAAATTAAAATCACATCAAAAATACAAAAGGTATATATATGGTTTGCTATACATTTATTATTTACAATGTTAGTTAATTCTGGCTTATAAGTAATATTGTCTAGGAAAATTATTAAGAAACCTAAAAAATTTGAACTATCAAATTATAGCTAGATAATATTTCAAAATTAATAATTGTATGATAGGAAGCCATGAATTAAGTTGTTGCTTGTTTTAATTAAGTTAATATCTAAAGTGAGTAAGGGATCGTTCAAGTATTACGTCACGCAATTTTTGGAGATTATTGCCCCCCCGACCCGCATCGTAACGTTTTATAAAATTCGTTACGTAATACTTGAAGGCAAAAATAATATTTACAGAAGAATATAGTTCTTGCAGTGCAAACTTATTCTAATATGATAGGACTGATTGTATTATTATTATTAATAATTAGGACTGATTGTATATTTGATCATAAATTTTTCAACAACAGCCTAAATTTTAGTTTGTATGATGTCATTGTCATGTGATGTGGAAATAGTAATTAAATAAAATCTAGATATATTTTTGATCTACCATAATAGCAGACATTGGTATTGGATAAGAATATGATGTCAACAGATGTTAGTCAAAACTGACTTTATTCATGAAAATTATTGATTTTATGTAAAAACTAAACCATATTGTGAAATTACACTATATTATAACTTGATAGCTATAAAGAATCCTAATCGACCTGCAATCTTTTATGGGAACAGCTTTCCAATTATGTGATTCCGTAGACGCTTAAAATCTAATACAATATGTGGTAATTAAAGAAACGACTCCCTGTCACATTTTGGTTAAAACCTAACTGCATAAAAATGAGTCCTATAGTAAATATTATAAATCTTCTTAAATTGTAAAACTATATATCTATTTTGGGCCTATACTGTAAGCGAAGTGGTGGATCTCGGAACCTCCACCTAGTGACGTAAACAAATTTCAATGTGTGGTCCTTACCTAGTAATTCGTCATTACATAAAATGTCAATCTGGAAAGAATATGTTTAAAAAATTAACAAATATATTTTTTAAGTACATATTGACCTGACAGAGGAAATATGTTTTTACTTGTCGTTCGAAACACTTCTGATATGTTATTTAATTTATAAAACATGGATTTTTAATAGAAAAACTAATATAATTGTTAACTAATCTAGCACAAATTTGAATTGATTGTGATGCTCTTAAAAGAATATAGAACAATTCTATAAGTTATTATTGGTAAATAATATTTGCTTTATATTATTGAGAGAAAAATACACCATTATTATAAAATATAGTTTCATAAAAAAAGATACAATACTTACTTCTCTATATTTCTCAATACCGTTTAGTATTTTCTTAGCTATGAATTTCTTAAGGTGTGTGATAGTTGCCTGCGCTGAACATCTGATAAAACCACGCTTTAGTGTTCTCAGTGATGTTGATATGCACTCCAAACATACATTCACCTGCACAACAAAGATTTCTTTAATAACAAATCTTTAATTTTATAACTAATTGTATTACAGGTTATTAACATATAAAAACATAATATTGCAACTATATAAAAATAAGCCACAAGAAGTTATAAATTATATGATAACAAGCAATAGGCTTTAATATATTCAGTTTACTTCACTACAATAATTCACCGCAACCAAGAATTAGTCTAAATGGCATCAACTAGTGCTTGAACAACTCGCCTCGGTTGGTAAAGACATGAAACTAAGAGAAACTCAACTTGACTAACCTGTTCATCTTTCCTGTGGCAATCACTATTATCTTGCTGTTCTGGCTCATCTCCTGCACCAGGTTTGTCTGCAGCTAGAGCAGCATCCTTAGGACATGGTAAACCTCTTGCACGGTAAAAGTCTCGCTCTCTCTTAATTTCATCTAGTTAGAAATTTTATGATTAGAATGTAAGATAGTTTATAAGGATAATCTACTATAATGTACATGGAGGTTAATTTTTTTACAGCAGATTTTCTAGATCTTTTATTTATGGTAATAAAGGTCAAACCAGCTTGTAAATCTGATGGTAGCATGATTTTTTTAATACAGTACAAGAGTCTTGTCAATAAATCATTAACATCTAGGACAGTTGGCTTTTACCAAAGCATATTTTAAAATGTAATATTTATGTAACAAGAAGAGAGTTTTAATACATTATTTTTTTGATGGGGTACTCACTATCCTGTAGGTCTGGTACTAGTTTGTATACAATGTCCTGCATGGTGCGATCGAAACTGATGTACTGAAGTGGATGTGATTGGTGTATCACTATGTTGCATGTTGGACATGTATTATTTTCCTCTAGATGCTTCACAAGGCAGCTTTTACAAACTGGAAAATATTAATTGCGATTAAGTCCTGAGGCCTAAAATTAAGTAATAGAATTTTTTACATATTGAAATAGTATCCTATTATGCCTATAATGTGAATCATATTGCAGTGTTGCCAAGAAGCATTATATTATATATAATGGCTTTAAAGATGTTAGAAGCATATATTAACTTAATGTTTAATAAAGTCGCATAGGAATCACACATGTAATAGTCTGTGAAACATATAGATTATATTTATTATAAAAAATTTATTCATTAATGTCACATCTGAAAGCCTTTTTAGTTAAAATAAGTGAAGTTATTCATTAAAGTTTGCATAAAATATTTTGATATTGGTATAATTTTTTAGAGGACAAATTATAGTCATTTTTCATTTATTGTTAGAAATAATACTATTAGCCAATGTATCATTATCATCATCAATGGCTGTTTAGTTAGCCAATTATAGCGAATGTAAAGATACATATTCTAAGGAATTGTTAAGGTTATGCAAAAAACGAAGACTCCTTGAAGTTTTGTGAAATGGACATGGAAAAATTAGGGAATTTATTAAAGTTCAAACTCCTCTAAGCTAATAAAAGATTAAGAATGAAAACAGAATGAAACGACTTACACGTATGAAGACACTCGGTGACCGTAGTAGCATCGATGAAGTATCCGCGGCAAATCTTACAAGTAATGTGACTGTTTAAAGTTTTTAACTTTATCCTCCTTTCCATGGTCATCCTAATAATAAAGATCTTTGCAAACCATTCGTTTTGGATAGGAAATTATGAAAAAACAAAAAATAAAAGCAATACAAACGCAAAGTCAGCAGAGATCAAACACCAATGACAATTGACAACTAAGATTGATAACGCATAAATCGAAACACCAATGTCACATACAGTTAAAAGTTTAAAACATAGATACAGCACCGTGAAAAGCAAGTGATCAAAACTACTTTGTCTGTGGGTAATAAGTATTTAGTGATGTGCTCATAGTGATGATGATATTAATTATATACCGAAAATCGAAATTAAACGTGATACACTTAGTACACGACAACACATTAGAATTTAAAAAAAATATAAGTATGTAAAAACGTTTTCATAACATAAAACATTATAAAAGCCTCGTAGTTAGGATAATAATAGGTATTTGTCATTTTTATAAAGTTGTGTTAAAGGTGTGAAGTTACACAATTTGTAATTAATTTTTTAAACTCAACCAATATAATAGTATAATTATGTATATTGTGTGTACCAGAGAAATTATTATTGTTTCCCTAATATTGTTATTGAGTAGTGGTACATCACTATGTAAACTGTTTTTCTTCATTTTTCTTGTGTGATATTTTTACATGTGTTTGTGTTTGCGAAAAACTGAATATGGACGAATAGGTTTTAAAATTACCTAGCGCGTGTAGTGTACGTTTGTTTTAGATTATTATAAAACATACTTAGTCAAGCTGGGTGCCAAAACGGTGGAAAGGTTTTTGAACCTTGCCGACGACAATTTTATTGAGGATGTCAAAGAAGACCTAAAATGTTTTTTTGCGGAAAAAAGAGTTGACAGGTAAACAATTTATTATATTGTTTATGTATTCATTAAAATGGGAGATAATTGTATATGCTCAGTTTGAATGAAAATTTTCGATAGCTGCCTAAATTTCAAGTAAAATCTTTTGCCGACAAAGGCAGATGTATGTTTCAAGGTTATGAATCAGTGAACGTAGGACGTATTGAACAAACGCAAGTTAAATAGAGCATAACGAGATGACACCTTGAACAATAATAAACTCAATTGAAAAAAAAATAGCTCTCCTATGTTACAATAATTTTAAAAATTTAATTAATTGTTTCAGTTATATATTTACTTCCTTATAAATAGATTTAAATTAATCAGTATATTTTATTTCTTCATGTTTTTATTCCAATCTTACTATAATTTATGTTTTTTAAACATTACTGCAAGATATATAAAATATAAATTAGGAAGTTCAGTTTTCCTATTGTTCCAAACAATTATATAATAAAACCTAAAAAACAATATTATTTAATCATTTACTTTCTTAAGACTGAAATATGGATGTGTTACAGTGTTCTAGTATTTCCACCTGTGAGTAACTACCGCAGATTTCTCATTCATCGCTGTGTTGAGCAGTTGAGTCAACCAGATCTTGCCACCTTCTCTATAGGTGTCAGTGACGAGCGACGAACTGTTGTTTGTTACCGAGATAAATTATTGAGGTAATCCATAAAGTAATATAAATTTAATATGTTCTGTATTCATATGAATGTGTACAAATACTTAACTTTAATTTTACTTTTTAGTGATGAAGCTTGTGCAAGACCAACCATGGTCCTGACACAGACAGAAAAGCCGAATGCCACCCAAAATGGAGAGAGTGAGTTTCAGTAGATTTTCAATAAGTATTTTTATAATTAATATGTATCATTTTACGCTGTGGCTTAGTGGTGTATAACTGTATAACCTGGATATGAAGTGTAAAATGGAGGCTCATGGTAATAGTCAATGCAAAAAAATAATTGTTTTACATTGGTAGGCTTAGAAGAGTTATCACGAACACAAAAATGAATTTTTTCGTTAGTAATAACTACTACTAATACTTTGTAATACAAACATTTATGTTTTCACAATATAAAATTATAACCTTATCCTATCCTGATCAATCGTGACTTGTATAATTCTTATGTTTCCCTTTGCATCACTATTTGCTTTTCATGAATTTGTAAGATTAGCTTTTAAGTTTTTAGTCTGTTATTTATATTTTCTTTTGTATTACTTTAGATTAAGGTTCTATATATATATATATTTTATATAACATTTGGTTCTGCACTTCTCGCACGCATCATGTTTCTTTTTTTTTGTAGTTTTTCTCTTTAACTAGGGTTGCCTGGAAGAGATCGCTTATTAGCGATAAGGCCGCCCGTTGCATCCCTTATAATTTTTATTTATTGTGTTTCTTTAATTTGCAACGAAGTGTAAATAAATAAATAAAATTACAAATAAATCTTCATCACCAAATTCAAAAAGTCTATAAAAAGGCACAATGCACCAAATATTCTCAAAATTTATATTTCTAGTCATCCATATTTATATTTTGTTTTTGATATAATTTTGCGTTTCAAACAACTCCCGCGAAGGTTCGTATTGTTCATATGTAGTGTCAAACAATCTTATTAAAAGAAATTAGGTCATACAAAAATTTTAAATTGAAGAAAGAAAATCGGTTACATTTTAGTAGTTTAGTATTACTTGATGCACTTCTGTTTCTTTACTATAAAATGCAAGTAGTTTGTCACACGACTCTTTTAAACCTCTTTTTTGGTGATACATAATATAATAATATCTTGGAAATAATAAAAGTGTAGTCCCGTCACCCGTGTAGGCATATCGTAGTTGTTTTACACCGAAACAATTATTGCACATAAAACAATTTAAAAGTAGCAAAATACTATGTTGTGTAACTGGCGGCCTTATTGCTATTACGCTATCTCTGCCAGGTGAAATATACGCACTGTGTAGCAATCTAAACCACAGATACGGTACGGCAGAGAAGTACGCTGTTGCCTCTTGGTATTTCTACGGATGGGATCTCAATAATTATAATACCAAGCGCTGACACGTAGCACGGACTCGATGTCGATATTATTCTAAAATATAAGTTTCCTCACTGGCAATGTATGTCTTTGTAAGTTTGTCTCCAACTCGCACTTGGACTCTTAGCATTGCATTTTGCAACAAAAACAAAGTTTTATGTAGCATTTTATTATCCTTTATACGTATTTAATATAGATGTAACTCGATTGCCAGTGTACTATTCAAAAATGAACAACAGCATGTTTGAAATATGTTTGATACAGTACAGTATAGCCTTCAAGTAAGCGGCGATTGTGCAATTTTTTTGCAATATCCAACCGGTATACCAAATAAGTACACAAGTACTAGGATGTATGTAAGTAATTTCCCAAGCAATTCTATTTCTGTGTGTGTTTTATGAACACGAAATAATGGTTCATATTAAATAAGACATTGTGACAGATTAAACATCTATAAAACTGAAACATTTTATTTCTATTAATAGGTAATAGAAATTTGTAATAAATATATTAAAAGTCAATTCGTCGCCTGTTATATTTTTAATGCAGCGTTATTAGTGAAAGCGTTGGACATTCCTCGGTGATACGTGAAGCGATATTGTCTTCCTAGAAATAGGCCACGCCTATTAATTTTCTTTAAAAAATTATAACGTTATTGTTATTTGTATATTTTTGTTAATTTAGTTAAGCACGGCCATAGGCGTGGCCACTTCTTGCACTATTCCCTTATATTAATATATATTACATTTTCATACGATGATTGCGTGGAAGAGATCGTTTTTTTCCACATATGTTACCTATTTTTATACTATTCATGTAATAAAGCGTAAATAAATAATTAATGTTTAAAGGTCCAAAACTCTTTACTAAAACATGTTTTATGTTCCATTATTATTAAAATATTTAGTTGTTCTAGAATTTAGTTTCTCAAGTTACTGCTATGTAATAACGCGTTGCACAATAGAAAAGATTACGATGCTACATAAATGTCAGAAGTTAATTATTGTACGCATTTAAGACGCTGTTACGAATTATTAATTTCGAAATACTTAAAGAAGAATGTAAATCTTTGTATAATCCCCGCAAGATTTTAGACACATTCAAAGTTGAGACTTATTTCACCTTCACCGTACCAGCAAGTGATATTTTTGCACGTAGAATGAAAAGTCTGTGGTGAGATATCCCCATTCTAATATTTCCATAGAATTGATATAGCTTATTGATTTTATGAATTTAATATTAACCGTAACCGGAAAATTTATATTTAAATTCATATATATTCGCGTAAATTTTAATTTAAACACGCGTAACTAAGAGATTTGTAAATTGCTCTATGTTAATAGACATGTGGAAATAAAGTCCCGTAAATGAGTCAAAAGAGAGGGGATATTATTGTGTATTTATTTTTTATATAATGTTATGTATAAAATCTCCGTATATTTAATATATACCGTATAACCAACCAATAAAGGTGCGCTTACACGGGCAACTAAAATTGCTCAATTCCAGTCAATACTCGTCAACTATGACGTCACGACTACATCAAGCAATTTACGGCAACGGCAACAAGCATCAATACTGCGCAATACAATATTGAGCGATATGGCGCAACTTCATCAACTAGGCAATACTGTCCTACACGAGCAATTCAGTATTCGCTCGCTATAGACGACATTGTTCTTGCTGCGGCGGCTCGTAGCGCTTTTTATTATTAATCAAAAACAAAAAAGAAAGAAAAGGAATAGGCGTATCTGGGTGCGATCGTTTTTGGCCGCAATTTTCATTGTGTAATGAATTAGATGATATATTATTCAAAAACTTTACTAGAATGTCAGGAACAGAGTTTGAATTACTTTTGAATAAAGTAATTAGAAATTTTTATTATTTAGACCTCTCGCTCTCCCCGCGGAAGCAAGACGGCAAGCCGCAAAACAAACAAGTGCGAATGAGATATATACAAAAATTACTAGGAATTTCCAAGTCCATTGGATATTCGTCAATTCATATCTGCGACATTGAGCAATTAGGAGCAATATCGCCGAAATAATTTATTGAAATTTATTAAATTTATTGAAATTGCTCCATTAATTGCTCCAGATCGGTCCATTCGTGTCGCCGAGCAATTATTGCCCTCGTGTAAGCGCACCTTTATCATGATGCGTGGGCAATTGAGCAATTAGCTACCAAGGCGGATCTTTGTTACAAGTAGCTCGATTTCACAGCCTATTAACTATAACCACTTTAATAATGGCTTAAACCCAAGCACTGTATAACATTTAATTATCAAGAATAGTTACGTGATATCATATTAAAGGGAGTACACGATTGCATTATTCAAAATATATTATTTGTCCCTTTCTATCGCACCTTAAAGACAGAGATAGCCTTGTGTCGACGTTTGCTTGCGCCATTAATTTTCATTATAGCCGAGATTACTCATTACACATTTAATTCATATTGCTCATTTGGGTACCTACGCACTTTTGCATTATTCAAATATCTCGGAGATTGGAAGATCTAGAATGTGTATGTAAACTTTATCGGTGAAGCAGTGAACTTTTTTAAAGGATTGTCTGTTACCGAAGAAAACTTCACCTTTATAATTTAAGCACCATTTAAATTCTTTAAACAAACTGTATGTAACCTGAATTATAAGTGTATAAACTAGATTTAAAAATATGAAGCTATAATGAACAAGCCATTATGCAAGTCAAGATTGTAGATTTACGCTGCTGTGGGTGTTGTTTATTCTATTCTTAGATTTCATACGTCTAATCTTGTATTTTAAATCCGAAAGTTCCGTTTTAATCGGATAGGACTTTTTGTTTTGAGAAGAACTAATTTTTAGTATAAATTGAGGGCTAATTAATAGACCATGGTAGATTGCGTTTTCATTTTTTCCATAGGACTTAGTTTTGCCGGAAATCGAGATAAACTGTTTTTACCCTTAAAAACTCACCCCCTTCCCCTTCTCGACCTCAGATTTTTTCAGTAAATTATTTTTCCTTTCATTTTTATAATATTCTCCTCCTTTACCTCCTTTACCAATGGTTTTCATTCTACTATTATTATTTTTATGGTCTCAAAAATTATCCACCCTGGACTATAAGCCGTCTCGCTGGCTTCTAAGTTCGAGCTTAAAATGACGGGTTTCCACGCGTTTGTCTTGTGGTGCTGATTGATGATTGAATTTTTTGTAGCTAGAAGATATAAAAAAATGTTTAAGGCTATGTTCACATGTAACGCGCGTTAACGCGCGTCAACGCGCGATCAAATTTGAAGAGCGTTCAGATGATGAGCGCTAACGCGCGTTGCGAGAGTACTCGTCAGTCTAGTTCGGTAGAACGTAGAAAATGGACGTGGAAGAGGCTATTATTTTGTGGTTATATTATAAAGAAAAATATAGAAAAAGAAAACGTACACATTGGGTTTATCCAATTTTGAAAAAAAAATACAATTTATATTATATTTTTTATACAAATTTGCTATATTCCAACTTGCTGACCTTTTTTCTACTTCATCGATTAGTAAGTCGATGTCAATATCTTCAATTTCACTCATTTTAAAAGCGAGAACAAAATATAATTACGAAAATTAATAAAATTACATGCGATCGCGATGAAAGCGCGCGCTCATCTGAACAGCAAACGGACATTACATTAATATCAAAGCGCGCGTCAACGCGCGATCACCTGCGTCTAGAGACTTTTTCTCTGAGCGCCGCGTTGACGCGCGTTGACGCGCGTTAACGCGCGTACATGTGAACAGTTGTATGAAAAATACCATAATCTCTAGTCGCGCGATTTGAAAACGCGCGTCAAGTTTTTGCCATCTGAACATAGCCTAATTGACGACCCCGTATGCCAAACCAAGTTGAGTTTACATACGGAACTGTTGCTTAGCGCTAAGAGAAGAAAAAAATGAAAACAATCAAAAGGTCTCGATATATGAGGTATGGTCTTGCAACTACGCAACCAAAGATTTTCTATGGATATAAGGTAGTCCAGATTCCTCTGTTACATTTCCGTGCTACGTAAAACATCTAGCACTCGTTTCTTTATCGGATTACAAAGTGTGCGATAATTATTTACATTTTGTTTACGCTTCTATTTATTAACTAAAATATTTATATGTAACATAATTAACGTTAGGTTACATAACTCGGGCAAAAGCAAATAAGAATTACGAAACTCAATATTTAAATCGGCATAATCATAGTGGTGTACCACCAGAACGCTACAGAATCTGACTTATTTTAAGCGATCGTTTCGCAGAAGCGTTGCTTATTGCGACTCTTGATCGACCAATTACCGCATAAATGCATCATTGCACATTAGCCAAGATTCGTCCTTCACAATGCCGGTGATCGGTGACATAACATCTGTTGCAAGCAAATGACCAACGAACGGGGCCGTACAAGTAGGCCGCCGAGAGTGAAAGTAGCACGCTGCACAGAGCAGGGCATATCTGAACTTTGATTTTGTAATCTATGTTAATATTTTATCGCTGTTAATTTGTGTATTGTTCTGTGGGATTTTCTCATTGCCTTCCTTTTTTTTTAAATAATAAAGTTCTTTGAATCGAATTGCATTTTAAAATATTGTATTCCCTTTATTAAGATTTCTATTCGTTTTTGAATATTTTTAATGTATAATTAATCAATCTAAATCTTTAATTCTAATATAGGTATATCTATTGATTAAACGTGGCGTAGGCCTTGCCAGAAAGTTGAAGTTCCAAAGATGACTATTCATGATAATTTTTTCATTAATTGATTATGAAAATATCGTAGTAAGCATAATCAAAAATTTGCCTGCTCCTTGGAGCTCTGTAATATGTTACTTTCGAACGTAGGTTCGACTGTTCACATGGACAATACACTAAAATTTACGTATTATGTAAGTTATCAGATAAGATTATTTAACAAATAGCCGAACTTAACTTTTAACTGTAACAACTTTAAACTCAATCACGTGAATATACACTGTACGTAAGCTTTAACGTGCGAAATTTCTAACAGGGAATAATTAATTTTATCTACCTTGGCCTAAGCACAATACTCGCCCACTCGTCTGATTAAATTGTCACAAAAAACCATAAAATTATTACAGAAGTTAAAATTCGCAAAGAGTGCTATGTAATATTAGTAAATGTGTTTTGTTTGAGTTTAGATAGTTTTTAAAACCTATTTTTAATATATATTTTAGGCAGAATACACCAAGTATTTATAGTTTCTATTCAATAACGTTGTTCCGCGTCATAAAACACAACAATTATATAATAATTGACTATTTTTACTACACCCAACACATTAGTTATCGTTTTCAACCAGTTTTATTTCCTACATTATGACCGCTCTAATATATTATGTTTTCCTCGTAATAGTGAAAAGTGGTCGCTAGAATTTTCTCGCAATCTACACATTTTTTCCATTGACCCAAGGAGAGTGTTGCATAAACTGTTATAGATTTAAAACATGGATTTAGAATATATAAGAAATAATATATATTTAGTTCGTGTGATTTCAACACTTTTTGCTACAGTTTTCTCCAGTAAATATTATAAGCATTATAGTAATGTTATCTTAGTGTCTTAATAACTTTACAAGCATTTTATTTGCCTGTCTACTGAATTTAATTTTTCAAAATATAAATATTACAATATTAAAATGTTGTCAGTGTATAAATAATAAGGGTAAATTATATTTTTATATTCGCTGTTACTACTTATCGAAAGCTTCCAGTATAAGAAATAAGCTTTCAAGGACACCTGCCTTGCGATTCTGTAACACACTTTTCGAACTCGCACAGCAGTTTTCGCAGCGGCGGTCGTACTCAAATCAGTCGTGAAGCAGTCATTTTACGATTTGGCATTCTGATTAGGAGGGAGCTCGTAGTTTATTGTTTATCGTTTAGCTGTGCGAGTTCGAAAAGTGAGTTACAGAATCGCAGGGCTGCTGTAAAATGTAGTGTAAGCTACTGCTAAAAATATTTTACACAGCTAAAGTAAACTGTTGACTTGCGTCATCATTAAACAGGATATATTCTAGATTATAACTCTAAATAATTTGCAGCCGGCTTGACTCGCTAACATTTTGATTTATTTTAAAATCATATTTGATATTGTGGTCAAAATTTATCGAATACTAGCTGGCCTGGCGAACATCGTACCGCCTAACAGTCGATTCTTTATTTTTTTTAAATACTTATTCTGCTATTCGGGACACCGGTCTAGCTAGTAAGATAAAAAAAGAAAGTTGATAAGACAACAAATACATTATGTCAAAAAATAAAAATTTACCTTCCCGGAACCCCTCCACTAACACTTGAACTTTATGATATGGTATTAAAGTTCAAATTGACTTTTAAGTATTATTACGAATATTTTGTATGGGAATATAGAAAAGTGTTGTTATTAGACTTTTTCACTCAATTTTTTTTAATTTTTCTCTCCGTAAGAACCATCCTCGTACTTCAAGGAATATTATAAAAAAAGAATTGGCCAAATTGGTCCAGGCGTTGTTGAGTTATGCGCTTACCAACACATTTTGCGATTTATTTTTATATTAAAGATATATCGTAACCATTACAAACACGTAACTATCATTATTCAACGGTTTGAAAAGACTACCATGCTTTAGGCGACGAAATTATTCGCAAGTTCTGAAACTATCCCCGTCCCTCTAATCACGGGTCCCATATAATATTACGAAGGACCCGTAAGGATACCTCTAGTCAAGTCTTCCGTGCAGTAGTAAAACAGTCGTGACTTCAGTTACATGGGAACGGTGCACTGATGTAATTCTACGTAACATATCTTGATCGACGTTCTGATGGGTGTTTATGTTGCTTGCTACTTGCTAATCTTGTAAATATATATTACATATTACTCATATATCCATAAAACTACAAGTTTATTTTTTCTTGCTTTATAAGGATTTTGTATTAGAATAAAACATATTTTCAAATAAAAAATACGCCCATAACGTACAGTGGGTTCCCTACAGAAAAACGTTTTTTTTAAATATAGACCTAAAAGGTTATTTAACTGTTTATAAAAAAACGCAACGAAACAGTTGCAGCTATGCATCTGCCTCTGTGAGCATTGCGGGACCTCCACGCTAATTTATTTTATTTTAATTAATAGGTTTTTCTAAATAAAAAGTATTATGACGTCATGAAAGTGGTCTTCTATTTGCAACGACTTTAATCGTTTTTCCTCGTATATTATTCGTGAATATTATTTAAAAAAAATCTAGATTCTTTAAGTCTAAGTGAGATAATATTGTCTCTCAAAATCGATATGTCTACAATACTATATACAAATAAGACAATGATTAATCGTACTCTAGTGATTATTAAATTTTGTTGCGATTTTCCTTGATATTGTTTTTGTATCTGACACGTTGTTGACATTATGTAACATTGCAGATGCGGTGGGGAGCTCTGCGCGAGCGCAGCCTCAGGAGAAGCCAAGGTAAGAATATCTCCTCATTCCTTTATCAGACGTCGTGAAGGGCGAACGTATACGTACCTAGTGATTGTGCTATCAGTGTATTTGTGATTGTGCGTGGATTTGTGTGACCTTGGATTGTGCAGAGTATGTTAATGACAATTATTATTTATTTATACAGTTATGTGAAGTTAAATTAATTAGTTAGTAGCTGAGTTTAATGTATCTCAAAATGGCACAAAGGGCTTATAGATCATATTTGAAAATGACATGTTTAGGTTCTGTGCTATGATTGGGCTATACGTGGGATAAATATGCACAACAATGATTATTACATTTAACAGCTTAATAGATTGAAAATGTTCGATTAAATTCAAAATGGAATCCATGGCAATATCCTTTGTGTTTGTAAAGTTCAGCAAACGTCATGTCAGGTAGTTGGTCGGTCGAGGCTAAGAATCACTATCATGAAATAACAATGTTATTTGTCTTCCTGTTAAACAATGATGTCATAGTGCATTGTTAATTAGGCAATGGTGTGCTTTCCCGAAAGATTCAATACGAATTGATTAATCTATTACTGGTGTGCAGATTAAAAAACTTTGTCGATAGTTATTATATGACGTGTGTATAATAACCTCAAATGTGCTAGTATTTTTTAACAAAAAATATTTTTATATCAGGCAATTTGAGTAGGTATTTAGTGCTCACACCCTAAGTCAGGGAAGTCGTCAAATTCGTAATTTACTGTTTACATTATCTTTGCGTGTATGGCGTATTGCATACGTGACAATTTATTTTGCGTATTAAATGACTTGCGTCTTTGAAATTAGAAACGGTAGATTTTTGGAACTACGGGTATACTAAATTTATCGTTTAAACAATTACATTAGTTTATCTTGGGATTGGCAAAAAATTACCATTGTGGTTAATATTTGCATGCTTATGGTGCCTTTACATGAATCAATCAATTCCTTGTCTTAGTTTGTAATACATAAGGTGTACAATCCTGGGTTCGATTTAGGGGAACCAATAATTGTTACGGATATCAAAGCCTAAAAGTACTTGACTATGACAAAAAATGGTCAATAGAGGCGAAAATGTGTTATGACCAAGGTTTGAATTTACCCATACAAAGCTAAATAAACAATAAGATATAATTTCAATTTAATATTTCTAAGGTCTTTTCGTATCCGTAAAGGATTTATTTTTGCCTTTTACTTGGCCTTGTAAAGATGTATTAATGTCTTATTATGTACGTAAACCCCAGTTATTTAATTATACAGTACCTACTCATAAGTAGAATATGTAATCGCTGTACAATAATGTTAAGGAGTTTAAAAGTAAATGGATTTAAGTGTTTAAATCTGACGACGGTGACTACAATCTTATTAGTTATACATTGTGTTATTTTTGTTAAGACAAAGAAAAAAAATATTTGCTTAGTTGGCTAATGGCAGTTAATGGCTTAAAAAAACTGATGATACTTCTTTAAATTCTTATAATTCTCTGAAGCGACACATTATTTTGGGCATTTGATTATTAATACGTATTTATTATTAAAACCTTGTGTACAAATTTTAATAATTGATTAGATAATTTTTACAACTATAATAACCAACACAAGATAACAATATCGTTATTTTATCGTGGCAATACATTATGTTTATAGCTTAATCAATTACACCAGACTACAAACCATTTCATAACCTCAAAAAACCCAACGAATAAGCAAATAAACAAAGATTAGAATGCGCGCGGTGTATTGAAAGTATGTCGTAGTGAGAGGTTACATTCGGGCGACCTTGCCCCCGATTGTTACTTAACAGAGAGCAATGGACAGCCGCGGCCGGTGAAATGCTAAAGTAGGTTAAAGCGTGCCAAGAATTTGGCTAAGTTGTTGCGAATTGTGGGTAATACCTGACACGGTAGGTACCTACCTACCTTAATGTGATTTTTTTTATCTATACATAAGAAAAATGTTGATGTTGATTAAATATATTTCTCAAACTTGTTGATGTTGATTAAATATAATTTCAAAAGTTTTGATAATGCTCTTTTGTAGAACATGTATATAAGCTGTGAAAAAGATAGCTTTCCATATTTGATAAAATGCATGATATATGCTTTTGTTTGTGTATGTAACATAATTATACTGTCACAAATACTTCATGCGTAAGTTCTAAGTACTAACTAGTTTCTTTTGCTTTGTTCTCCGAAGTTATTCTCGAGGTTCATGGTGATGCTACGTTCTTGCGTTTGATGTGTCGTAAAGCAACGTAAATGTGCTATTGTGTTGATACAATAATTATTACAAGTCGGAAACCAATATTCTTAGAACCTACCGTTCCTTAATGCAATTTCATGTAACAATAGATGCGTTCACAATGCGACAGAGTTGTCAGTCTTGCGGAAGCGTAATTAGGTGAGAAATAAAACTAGGTTACAAAAACATAACCGCGCCTTTGTTTTCAGATCCGGTTCGTCGAAACCCAGACGACCAGATCGAGCGGTCTATGTTCCGAGGGCTTTGCGAGGAGGAGCAGACAACACCACAGATGAAAACAAACCTTTAGAAAACAAGCGGACCAGTCACAGCGCCGACGGAAAGTGTCCAAAATCTCCTGGGTCCAAAGAAAAGTCCGTTCACGGTACACCCAGAAAATCTCTAGACAAGAATTTCTGCAACGTTTACACACCGCCTCATCTCAGGAATCAAAGATCTCAGACAGCACACATCGATAGTGAGCCTCCTAGCGAAAACACAACCGTGCCTTTCGGCTGTCAAGTGCCAAATAATGATAGTGCAATATCAATTAGTGATAATAGTTATAAAGAGTTAGAAGGAGAGAGTTTCTATATAGGAGATTATTTTGCTAACGGACAGCTAGGTTTTTACTCACCTAATTTGTACCAATACAACGATATACAAAACGTCGAAGATTGGAGGACAAATGAAACTGAAGACTTGAATATGTCGCTTCAACAAAATCAAGGCAATATTATTGATAAGGATTATTTATATGACAAAGATGAAGACGTCGAGAAGAATGAATTGAAGCGAGCGTCACAAGAAATTAATAGGAGTAGTAAGAGAATTATCAAGCAGACTTTTGATTCGGATGTTTTAGTGATATCGGATCCGATAGAGGAGCCTGTTAGTCCACGATCGACAAGTCCACGAGAGAAAGACGAAAATGAAGTACCAAAAGAGCAGAAAAAGAAGACTAAACCGAAATTGGAAGCAAAGGTATCATTAAAACGCGAAGAAAACGATTGGGATGCAGTGTTTGATGATAGTGGTGAATGCCTGGACCCGTCTTTACTAGAAGAACTTACATCTACTGTTGGGAAAGTGCACATATCAAAAACTAAGAACAATTACGATCAGTATCAAACACGAGGTCAAGCTTTATTCAATGGGCCCTATGATGAGACGTTTGCGCATGTCGTGGAGGTGTATGATTTTCCAAATGAATTTAAAACGAATGATATATTGTCGTTGTTTAGTGAATATAAAGATACTGGATTCGAGATTAAGTGGGTGGATGATACGCATGCCTTAGTTGTATTCAGCAGCGCAAAAATTGGTAAGTTGTATGTTTGTTACTTTATTGTATCTTTGAACTAGTATAAGTTGCATTTAAAAACAACATATTTAACGAGTATTCTTGACTCGGGGAAGGTGCACTTACAAAGCGAATATCGAAATATTAAAAAACACTCAATTGTCACAATAATGTGGCAAATACGATATTATTATCACTACTATTGATTATGATAAGTAATTTTGTTTGTAACTCTTTCACAACTATTGTATTGGCCAGTTTTGATTTAATATAGAATTTATTAACATGTAAACAGTAACCACATCGCATGTTGCGATCTGGTCTGATCATCGTTCACGCCTCGACACATTTCTAGACCAGATTGTAGGTGTAATTAACCAGTCCATAAAAACATTTTATTAAGTCTTACTAATACTTATGTAAATGTTGGCGTGTTGTTATTCAATACGTGCATTTAAAAGATTAAATATGAAGCCAAGTAAGCGTTATTGTTGTGTTCAATGTGATGTTTCGCAACCTTGTCCATACATACTGCTAGGATAAATATTAATTTTTTTTAAAGTGTCGTAAGATCTCATTAATATGCTAACGAAGTGAATCCTAGTTATAGATATTATATTAGTGATTATAAAAACAAATTTAAGATTGTTAGTAACGTGTTTGCACCTATACTATACTATCCTATACTTATTTTATAAAAAAATAAATAAATCATTGGCGCTACAAGATCTTTAGGTCTGTATACGTAGCAAATAGTAATATAAAATCAGATTTCAGTTTGGATTCTGCACCATGTACCATAGTTACATGTGGTCATGACGGGTCTATTACACCAAGGGTTAATTTTTTGTTTATAGGTTATTAATTGTTTATAAAAATCTTCATAATTTTTTTTTTTCAACTCGTACACGCACGATTAATTGCTAAATAATTGTAGTATATTTTGAAATACCACTATTATATAACATAATACATAATTCGCATAATATTCAAGTTCAAGGCGTCATAGCGCGCGTTCTGAATAAATATCGTTTGTGAGAAAAAGTAGGACGACGAAACCGAAAGTTGTCGTTGTGAGAGTCGATATGTTTTTAACTTTATAATAAAGTTAAAATAAATAACAATATTTATTTTGCATTTTCCGTAGAAAACTGGTTCTTAGGCACCAGTTATACTTATTTAACAGCGACCTTATTTAGGAAGAAAAATCGTTATAGGAATGAGTAGAAGATTATTATTTAGTCACACTAATATTATACATACTAAATATCTTATTATACAATATATATTAAACGCTAATAATTATTTCTGTAACAATTGCCTCGAAAGTATGGTCGTGTTTCTTGTTGAATTAGGGGTGGTTATTGCGGTTTCAGTGGAAAATGACTTTTCTCAATTTTTCATAGGTAAATAAATTATGTTCACTATACATTTTTATATCTTTAATAGAGTTCACTTTTGAGCTTCGATTATTATTTTCGTAATTATTTTTACTTAAACATAAATTAAATGCAGCTTATACTAATATTGTATAGTTGATATGTCAGAGAAACATATAATACCACCAATCTTTCGTCTTGGGTTCACCCGATAATAAAGGTATATTAAGTCTTAAACACCGCTTGGGTATTTTTTAAATGTCCAAGTTAAAATAGAAAAAAATTAACAGCTCTTAAAAGCATATTTAAATTTGAATGACGTTCTAGAATACGGGCCTTAACTATCGAATATATTACTCGACTCGACGTTTAAAATATAGTTTGAATTTTTTATTAAATTATATATTCTCATAATATCAATGGGTTGGTGCAACAACACAAAAGTTTAGAAATTAATTGTGACACCGATATAACAGTTGTCCCACAACCTATCATTAACACACGAATATGAATATTAATTTAATCACAGCATACTGATTATGATAACGAGCAGTTAAATGTTACGATAAATAACGCAATACATTGCGTCAGTGTTACCAGCTATGACTTCACACCGTTTGCCGGTTTTTCGTTATCGGTTTAGGGAACATGAAAGAGATATTTAACGTTAAATCGTTTCAGGCCAAAAGTCTTAAGCCTTTAGCGGGAATCCAAATATAAACTAGCATTAATAATTACTGAAATGATCGTAAGTACACATAATGAGTATTAATTACATCATCTGCGTCAATTTGAAAAATTGGTCCTAGTTTGATTCATGTAAGTGGACCAACACAAAAATAATTATACAAGTCGCAACAGTATTGCCGCTTAAATACTATAAAGCTTGGCTCGAACGTTGATTAAATCGACGGCGACATCATTTGCCAGCCGCGTTTTTAGAATATACATACATATATTTAAATTTTGACAACTTTCGTTTACAACATTGATCGAATTTTCCAAATAAATCTTTAGTTATATTTATTGGCTAGTATAGTGACTTCAGTGTGCGAACCTCATCCCTGAGGTCGTAGGTTCGAAGCCCGGCTGTGCACGGATGGACTTTCTGTTTATGTGCGTACTTAACCGTGAGGAAACCAGCACGCCTCAGTAACCCAAACAGTTGACGGCGTGTGTCAGTCACAGAACGATGATAACCTACTTGCTTATTAGAAAAAACAAATGAAAAAGTTGTAGTTAGTAAAGCGTTTGCCTAACTAAGGATGGGCTGTTACGCTGTACACTGAGTGGAGCTTACTTTCAGTTAAGCAACAAAGCTTTTATACAATTCTAGCTTATGTAGGTAATAGGTATTGTGACATAAGCGGTCGTGCCCACTTTCCACTAGGTCGAGGAAGTTACTGTTCAGTAATGTGATGTAAGTGGGTTCGGGAAATGTCATAAGGATGGATTGAATAGGATTTGGTTGGAACGAATTTATTTGATATATCTTGAAGTTAATTGTCTTTAGAGTTAAGTCATGGTCTTTTTTTAAAAAGCCTATAGGTCTGCGGTAGTGAAGCTGTCACTCCCAAGATAGTATAGGCCCAGCGAAAAGCTATCATGAGGGCAGCAATTTAAATCTGCGTTGAACCCATTTTTTTATTAAAGGGCTTGTGTTTTTGTGTATGCTTTATTTTAATAAATATTTTCTTTTGATCTCATAATGGAAAGGAATATCTTAATGACACACTATTTTAAGCGAGTTTAAAAAAGATGCGTATATTTTTCTATAAGTATACAAACTTTAAATACCGATTTATTTAGCTAAAATTAACGTGTTGAGGTCAACATCCGATAGCCGGTGATTGCACTTTTATTACTTGTATCGAATACACACGCGATATTAAATTTTTTGTCGAAATGGAATAGAAAAATATATTCAGTATCGTTTTTCCTTTAGATTGAAACGATCATTTAATAATGCAATATCTATATATATCTATATATATAAAAATGAAACCCGTTTTCCGTTGTCACGACATAACATGAAAACGGCTTGACCGATTTGTCTGATTTTTTTCTGTTGTGTTTGTAATTGTCAGGAGAAGGTTCTTATAAATGAAAAAAAGAAACAAATTGCGCGGAAAATTAGAAAATTTAAGAATACTTAACCACCATACAATTTGAACTTTTTGATGTAACCTTATGGCGTTTGACATAACATTGACATGCGTGCTGCAAATATCGTCAAAGAGGATGTAAGAAAAATTAATATCGTTTAAAATAAATGCTTCGATCGGAGTTATTATATTGATAATATAATAATATGCGAGCCAGAAAAACAAACAAAGAATGTTGTATAACATAAAGCATTAGAATGATAAACACTTTGTTTCTGAAATATTTTTTAATTAATTATACCAATTTGAAATCAATATTCATAGTTAAGACAGGACAACGTCTGTCGGGTCCGCTAGTTATTAATATATTAAAAGCAAGATAAGATGGTCAAATAACTAAAAGAAAACTCTTGATGTTTACTGGTAATATCAATACTATGAGTGCCTCCAGACGAGGCCTACAACCTATATACCGTTCAATGACCGCAGTGACGCAAGAACGGGCAAGTAGGCCGGCGCGCGCGCACCTTGTCTTAACCGTTACTTATCCCGTCTAAATAGAACCTTTTATTTTAAAATGATGCTGTCATGTTTTACAAACATACTCGTATATTAAAAAAAACATATGAATATTAGAATAATAATCTTGAATGAAACCTATACCTTTTCCGTGTTTGTATTTGTACTGTTGTTTGTTATAATTTAATTTAAAAATCGTTTTCAACGGGTGATAGTTTATTTATATCTATCTAGCTTCATGTCGCATAGCGCCATCTATGAAGACGCATAGTAATTATCGCTTTTCGATATTAAACTCCATAAATTGTGTATGGTCTGATTGTTTTGCAGAAAGTCGTTAGGTAACACCCAATTTTTTTTAAATTTTAACAAATAATTATGCGGGTTAAAGCGGATTTTGATACTTTCTCCTCACATTTTCAGCTGCGGAAGTATTGTCTACTCAACGCTCGCTTGCCAAATGTCGGCCGTTGCATGCAGCCACCCTCGAATCGCGGAATAAGGCAAAAAAATGTGCAGAGTTCCTTCAACCATACAGGTGAGTCATCTGTTTTTTTAACAATTTTTTATTAAAAAATTACATGGGTTTACATTACCGTTACCTTTCCGATTCAAAAATCGTTGGACCGTGTCGCCTTGTAGAAAATGTATACATACTTAAGTTTAATTTTATTGGGGACATTTTGACAAATTTTGGGGCTAATTTTCAGGTGAATGAAGTACCTTAGCTTTTATTGTATTATAATTGTTTAATTAAATTTTTTGAGGTATAATATTGTGTAATTGTAGTTTTTATATGCCTACAACTTTTGTTTTCAGTGTGATATATTTTTAAGGAAAATGTAATTACGGCTGGCGGTTGTTGCATGGTCAAATAATTAAAACACTTTGTTCGAAGCTGTCTTATTGTCACTACACTCTTCCATTGTACTTGTTTTTCGTGAAAATTTGGAAAACACAATTAAAGTTATCTTTGGACTCCATATTGACAGTTTGAAGAGTTTTGACGCTAGCTGCTAGATGGCAAAAAGTGGAACTTAATTTTAATTAACAGACTAGGCAAGTTATGAAACGTCATCGGTCCAAGTCAATTGCCTAACTCTTTGATTAACTGGCTGAACATCTTTCAGGCCGCAAGTTAAACGGCTAGGCAGTTAATTGAACGGCTAATTAAGCTAGTTGGCAGCGACATATATAAAACTAAAAAGGTTTTTTATTTCAACCAAAACTGGCATTGTAGATTTCTCTAAGATTATAATTCTACAATTATTATTTAAATGATAAGCATAGATAACCTTAAATACAAGTTATTGCTTATTTAATCTTTAAATTACAGACAGCGACCAGAAACGTGTACTGCGCTTGCGAGGCGACTGGTCTCTGGCGCTTTGGGTGTGCGATTGAGCACCGCAAGACAGGAAAGAGATGAAGAAAGACGCCTTATTACTATTGCTAGAGGTATTTCTATTTTTTATTTTAATGTAGGGAATTAAACAAGTAGTGGAGGTCATAGCTGTTGGCATTTCATCATGATCGTAGAACAATGTCGGATTTGAAAAAAAACAAAATCCACTTTTTATCTTATTTGGATACTACAGTGACTAAATATTACGGCTACATTAAAAAAATCCATGTGTTTTAAATTTCAAATTAGTCAATCGGTAAAGTGACGGATTTGATAGAAGCATGTGATTTTACTAGAAAACTGTGTAATATAATGTTATAATTTTTATTTTGTTTCAAAACAAACTCTTTTGTTTGCTTGTATGCCAATTTTCATAATAACAGAATATGAATTAAAATAGTTATGACAAAAACTAACATGATTATTTTGAAATGGCTGCCCTGTAAAGTTTACTATTTGTCAGATCCGTCACTATTCTACGACTATGACGATTTAACCTAACATGTAAGGTTCATATGGATAATAGACCTTTTTCTTGGACCATTTGTTTGGTTCCTGGCTGAGTTCACAAGTGACTAGTTTCTATTGTGGGATAATTAAAAAGCCTTTTATTCGCATAATAAAGTATTTGGCTGATGAAATCGGGTTGGGTAGGTTAGAAAAGTCAAAATTAATAAACTCTTAGTATCCTCAAAGGATACTCTAAATCTCCAGAACTATTATCAGCAGCTTTAGAAAAGGTTTTCAAAATAAGTATACACTGGTCTAATGATGATATTCATATGGAAATCAATAACATTTTAGATTTGCTGATAATATTGATCTGCTGATAGTAAGAGTTTATTACTTTGACTTTTCTAACAGTTGCCATACTGTGAAATTAGGTCAAATATCAAATGACCCAGGAAGCATGCCTGCTCCTCAAGCTGATTTTCCAATCGTTAAATTAAATTTTTAATCCTTGTACTTTGATTGTAGTATCGAATTACTTATAACTGTAAGGTAGTAATAATTATGAAGAAATAAATAAATTTTGATATTACGATGTAGTATGTATTTAATGTAAGTTAGTATTTTACAGCGACATCTATGTAAATGTCTGTGAACCACGTGTTGTATTATAAGAATAGTAATCTTTATTTAAACACAGTCGTGAATCGTGAAACAGCGGACGTGTAACATTAGCCCCAAGGTGTTGATTGTTTTTTAGACACACAGTAAAAAAAGAATTACGAAAATAATTTTATTGAATTGCCCTTTTAAACTTTTTCAGAGAAGAAACGCAAAGCTGCCCTTCATAAAGAGGAAGCTTGGGATGGCTCGCTTGAAAATTCGTTGCAGACGTTAGACACCTGACCAAAATATATTGGGTAATGCAAAACAAAAAAAAATTTAACCTAATATTTTAAAGAGGTCAAAAAAATTTATTTACGAATAGAAAGCTATTATTTGGTAGTGACATATAACCCGAAGAATATATATATAAACTTCGACTTTTACGGTCGAATGAAAATGTTTCTTACGAATGCTGCCTTAACGATGACAGCATATTATGTCTAACTTTTATCTAATAAAATTCTCGTGTTACAATGTTCGTTCCCATACTCGGCGCGACCGATTCTTATAATTATTTTATGCATATTCAGTAAGTCTGAGAATCGGCTACCATCCTTTCAAACCCCTAAGTGATAAAGGGTCAAACCAAAAAAAAATATTTTTTTTTTATATGATACAGCATACAAAAATACAAACAACTCCTAATTTTCACCCCTCTACGATCAACCTCTATTTTTTATTATAGTAGATAGTTATTTTTATTGAACTAAAAAATGTTTCCTAGAAATCATATACATGGCAAAACAACGTTTGCCGGGTCAGCTAGTATAATATAAAAACAAGTGTGCCGTGTCTATCTGTCTGTCTGTTTATAAACTCAGAAACCACTGCATACTTTATTGCGTTATTACCAATATCTAGAATGATTCACGAAAATGGTTTAGATTAAATTTTTAAATGTTTATTGGTCCCGGTTGCCCGTGCCTGCGGGTCGCTAGTTTATGATAAATAAGGATGGGAGATATGTTACTACCGCACTCGTACCGCGTGTACAACGCAGCTATAATACTTCGTAGTATTTTTTTATTGTGAAAAAAAAATTATAAATTGAAACGTAAACGATAACGTTTAATTAAATTTAAATTTTTCAAATACGAAATTGATTTAAAAGTTAAATTTATTAGTCAGGCGAAAATTCTTATAACAAACTATGTACTATACTTCTAACTATAACATAATAACTAAACCTTTTTATTTCAGGTCAAGCAAGAACACCACGCCCACTCGGACTTAGTTAAATAAAGTTATTTTTATAAACAATGCATAGTTGCGGGGTTTTGATCGCCGGCTTAGTTATAATTAGTTGAATTTTATTGTCTTCAAGGGGGCGACTGCAAGCCATTAACTAAATGTTAGATTTAAGCAAGTTTTAAATGTTATCTTACATAAATTAAATTTAAAAAGAACCTTGGAATTACATTCACTTAAATTATAGACTTTTTATGCCATTAAACTCTGTTTATTCGTTGACCTAAATGTTTGCCATTTCATGAATTAATCACGACAAGAAATTAGCTAAAATGCGGTTTCAGAAGTGTCAATCGTCCTTTTAAACCTCTTATTACATGAATTTGGTTCAAAGTATATGAAAATGATAGCATTATAAACGGGCTGAAGTTTATCATTTGTTTCTTAAGTGGTGCCCCTTTGCGTTTGTATTAGCCTGATTAGTTTAATGCATAAAAATCTCAAATGTTTTGCTTGTGTATGCTATTTTAGTATTTGTTATCACAATTTGATATTAAACTTTTAAGTTGCGCTCAAATATTGAGATTGCTTTATATTATATAGATTTCTTATTTTAAAGTAAAAACGAATAGCGCAAGAAAAGTCGATATATTTGTTAAGACTCCGCGCTCCGTGGGCATATTTGGATCTAAATAAATGCATCAATGGTATAGAATACTTGTTAACTAAACAAATTGTGTAGAGGTCGATGTGTTCATCCTAAGGCAAAAGGCAAATTATTATTGGACACGCTTTAGTATGAAGATCTAAATTTACTCCATCGAGACTATTTGAATACTTGTGTGTGATATGTAGCAAAATATGACAATTATTGAAAATTATGTATTATTAATAATTTTACTTTCAATCAATTATTTTACGTTTGACAATGAGTGGAGTACTATTAATAAGTATATATGAATACATCTACGATACCCGTTTATAAACATAAAATTAAGGATTCCAGCAAATTGAACTTTAATTGTCTAATAATACGATCTAAATCAATAGTTGAATTAGTATTAGACATTTTATTACCATGTTGCTTTTAACTGTAGCTTAATTCTTAGGAACAAAGATCAGTTTAGCTTGCACAGCGGGTCTATAAATGTGTCCTTATTAAACTTAACTTTTCACCTTTCCGCATGTAACTTAAAATGTTAACATTTAATGTGTTATAAAAATATAATTTGGCAGAAAGAGATAAAATATTAGTAAATATTCAGTACTTTCAAAACTCTTAGCCACAACATATATAATGTATTTTCTACTGTATATGTAGCTATCTATTCTAAAATACATTATATAGGCAAAGTTCCAAAGATACTAGCACCATTCCCCCTTTGAAAAGCTAGACTAATTCGGTGACCGAGGTAGCTGCCAGCTCGGTGTCCTGTGATGTTAACTAACCTTTTTCTTTTTTTTTGTTATTAAGTCACCCATACTTGCCATTGTATTTTTTTAATAAAGGTTTGCCAACATGCATTACAGTAAAATCATACCATGTAGAAACAAAATAAAAACTAATTGCACACCTTGAAGTGGCAAACTCAGCAAGATTTATTCTAAAAATATTTGATTATAACAAAGTTTGAAATATAAAGAAACATATATGTTTAAGAGGTCAATATAAAAGCATGTTATATTAAAGTTTCGGAATGTTTCAATATTGATAATATGTCAGTATTATTCAACTCTTCTTATGTAACATATTTACATTTCATAGATAATACTAATTGGGAATTGGGGAACAAGCCCGTCAACAGAAGTTAGTTTTCAGTCAGAAATAGGCTTTTAAATATAAAATGTTGCATTAGCTCAAGTATTTCTTGCTAAGTCAAAAGTAAAATAATTTGTTTAATTATTTTACCAAATGTGTTGAATGCTTGGTGTGGTCAATTTCTAGTCTGCTTATTATAATGATCAAAACCTCCGCATATATTTTTAAGCAATAAATTGTCTATGAATAAAATAGTGTAGACTAAAATAAAATTGTCTATGGGTCTGTATAGACTCGTGTTCTTTTTATTTATTATGTGCACCGTTTTTATCTTGAACATTGTAGTAAATTTTCCAAATCTTTTGTCACTAATTAACTTTTTTAAAGGTATTTTCGAAGTGTATACTGTTGTATTGAAAATAATACCAAATTATACCAAAAGTACTTATTTCTGCAGTTTTTAATAAGATGTTTCCTTTGGAAATTTGTATCTGTATACGTGATCTGTTTTAACTCAGTGGTTCTTTTAATACACTGGGTTTGATTCCCAGGAAAAATCGGGCTTTAGTCAAGTATTCACTTTTAGCTATTTAACCACTGCCGTCCACTTGCTTTTAGAACTATTGGTTGTATTTCCAACGATACAAGTTTTTATTTATTTTTTCTATGTCTAATCTAAAGTTGTGATGTCTTATGACTTTGTGCTGTATCTGTACAAAAATTATAGAAACATTATTTTTGTAAACACTCCCAAGTTGGCATAATAAATAAATTGTGACTAATATTGTGTATACATTTTTTTCACCGTACCTATAAATAAACAAAACTATTATTTTTACAGTTAATATCAAGGTTTTATTTATAATCAAATTGTAATTTTAGGATTCAAAAAAGTATGATTGATTTAGTTTTTGTTGCAAATAAAGTCATTAAAATCGGCACATTGGCTTAGAAGAAAACTCCTGTGTACCTAACTTCCAAAGAATATTAATGTAAGGTATCAAACAAATTTTAAACCTACATTCTTTATATTGCAACAAGGCATTTCAATAGTCTAAAAAGTTACAAAATATTGTTAGGATATGTCTCAACTATTTTGTTCCATTGATAATTCCTATTGTTTCTCAGAACAATATCCGTGGCCGTAAACAATAAATACTTTCTTGAACAAAATAATGCCAGTATCTATTGACAGTCTCAGAAAGCACAACTCATGTAGCCAGCGATGCGACGGGCACTCATTTTACTTTATTTTGTTGCTGCTAATTCAGAAATGTACGGACATCAAGTTTTTACGGCAAGGCACACGAGGTCTTACCCACTCCACACAGGATATTATTATAGGCGCTCCAACTCTGAGCCCCGTGTGGTAATGTTTAATCCTAATGATTATAGTGCAATTTTACCAAGAAGTAAATTCCAAACATCAGATTATTTAACAAATTGTGATAACTTTAAAAGAAACATTGACGCCTCAAGTAAAATTTACTACGATAACGATATTGGGTACGAAAAAGCAAGAGTGAAATGCAACATCAACAGTGATTTTTTAACACAAAAGCCAACTTTGTCTTATGAAGAAAACAAAAGATTTAATAGGGACTCCGACTATCACGTTGATGATGATGACATAAGAACGGATACAAATATGTATGACGGTTGGCCATATTCGTACCGAAACCGGTATAACTATAATTTAAATTATGATCCCGAAAACGAAAAAGCAAAAGATAAACGTTATGTAAATGACATAATTGAAAGGGTTATACCCGTTCACGAAGATCATGAAGATGATATTCACGAAAAAGAACGGGAAAAGGAAGATATAAATCCAATGTATGGAAATCAAGCATTCTTTTCACATATACTTGAAGATTATTTTGATAGAACTAACGAGGAAGACCCACTTATATTTAAAGGACTAAATTACAATAAGGAATTCGATACAGCTCCCTACAAAGATATTCATGGAAGCAATAAACGTTTCAGGCGCTTAAAAACTTACGATACCCATAAAATGCCATATGTCTATAATTCAATTAGAGATAAAGTTAAGTATAACGATGAAGACAAATTAGCGGAAATAGGAGAAGAATACAACAAAATCGGGGATGAAAATGATAAATCTACAAAAGATGCAATAAATGAAAGTGATACAACGGCATATAATTATGACGGTCAAAACTATCGGGGTTTTAAAGATTTTATCGACTCTTTTGTTAATAAATTTGGAACAGAAGACCACGAGAAAAATGTTGATCTTAACATAAATAAAACGATAGATAAAGGAGAAAAAAAGAAAGGTTTTAGAAGAGTATACCACAAAGATGAATATCAGGAAGATAATGAATTTTACGATAATTCAAACAATAGAGCTGTTATGACTGAAAGTGGGGGATCTAAATTAAATAATGGCGGATCAGAAGCAATACTCGCATCCCGGGCTTCAGCAGTGTTAGGGGACGAAGCAAATGATATTAACAAAATAGGAAACAAGGCTTTTGCAAAATCTAGACACAGTGAAAGTATTTCTGACGGTAGAAATGGACAAAATCTCGGCCTACAGAAATTTAAACAAGTCGCAAAAAGTAATGCTTGGAAAAATAATGCCGATTACTATGACCACTTGTAATATTTAATTAAGTTGTTTTAAGCTAAGCTAAACTGTTTTAATATAATAAATGTTATTGTAAACATTTTGAATCCTTCTATAAATCAGACAGTGAGTCGAATTTATGCATACCTAATAATAAATTTAATTAGTTTCAGCGTAACTGTTAGGTACTATTTGCCAAAGGATTTAATAAGAATAGATTTTACAAAAAATATTGTTTATCCTTGCGTACGAACGATGAAGTTAGTAAATATATTTACACATTTAGGCCTACTTTCATCGAAGTCGAGAAGTTGTAGTCACTACTACGAGGATACTGACTGGACCTATCATATCGAGTCAGTAGGTGGTACTAGCCTAAACAGCCTTAGAACCAGAAGTATTTTGCCTAAGCGAAAAAAGTTATAGTAAAACGACGTAAAGTTGTTATGCGAAGTAACATAATTATTATATTACGTGGCCAACATGTGATTTAATTTATTTACGAAAATTATACATATACTTTAAGTTTTTCATAGTCAGTATAAAGAACTATAATGACGTAGCAGTGTTCACAACATAACAAAAAAAGTAATTTAGCACTGCAGCGACTATAGCCCAAGGCGGCACTCTTTCCGCACAGATTATCTTCTTTTTAGCGCTACACCGATTTTATATAAATTGAGACATCGCTGAAAATCGATTAAATTAAATTTTTTGTTAACTTAATAAAACGTACGAAAATAAACGACTTCAATCATTTAAACATTTATTTTCACTTTTGTAACGAAACTCGATACAATAAAATTGTTGTATAAATAAATGTACTTAATCTGTAATTTATATAAAAATGTATGGATAGAAAGTGCATTACGTTTGTCGCCATGAAATAATAATGTGCGTTCCCCAATTCCCTTTGTAGTTTCTTCGATCGAAAGCATGAAATTCTATCGGCCCCTAAGCGGGTTTTTGACCGGTTCGTCCAATGTTACTACTTCATCCTTTTTTGCATAAGGAATTTGTGGAAATATTGGAAGGTGGCTTAGTAATTTCGTCATCATATTTGAAGTTCTCTCACCGAGCTTCTCCACAAAGCTGCCTAAGTTCCACGGTGACCTTACAGTTCTGACGTAACTAGGACTAAGGAACTCCTTGCTGTCATCAATTTCATCACTTTCATCACTATCATCTCGTCCATGCGTTGTTTCTTCCAATACCTGAGTACTCGTAGAAAACTCTTGATCATAGTCTTCTTCTCTCATTTTCTCAGCTGCATTCCGGATTACTTTTACCGCTATTGGTTTCTTTGGAAAAGTAACTTTTCGTTGTATCAACGATCGTGGTAATTTTGGTTTTGGTGCGGTATCTGCCTTTGGGTTGCTTTTAGCCTTGTTCATTCTCGGGCGTTTATAATTATTTTTAATTCTTGGTTCTAGAGGCTTTCTTCCACTTACAAATTCGTCATGATTTATATCAAAATCATAGTCATTGATATTAAAATCTTCATCTTCGTGTTCAGCGGACTCTTGTTTCTCCATCCACTTGTATTTTGATTGATAATCTTCATCACTGCTTATTTCATGGAATTTAGGAATAGGTTTTTTTACCAATACCTTGTCTTTACTGCTTTTATTATTATTTGTTACGTTTTTAATTGGCTTTTTATCATCAACGGCTCTAATAGTTCGTTTGGTATTCAAATAGTTGTAATGAGCACCATTCTGATCTTTAGCAACAACGTCAGGTTTTACATCAGTCTTTCTATCGCAGGACTTATCGGTCGTTTTAAAATTAAGCTTAGCATAACTCATAGTTATTAAAATATTCGCAACCGTTAAGTACAATACTCGTATCTTCATTGTGAACTGGTGCTCAACTAGCGTCCAGATATTGTATCACGCATAAAGTAAACATCGCATGTTTTTAGTTATTGTATTACAAAGTTAAACAATGTATGCGTGAAAATATGTAGTGATTAATAAACTTTGTTTTGGCAACAAAGATTAATCGGAAATTCTCAAAAATGGTTCAGTGGTTTAAAACTTGAGATGACTTTTGTAAAATTAATTATCAATTGAATCTTTATCATCATTTTGTGCACGAAGTACAGTTTTATATTTATTTTTTGTCTTTACGTTATTGTAACACTAACGCGGAATGCGAAATTTATGTTATGGAGTGAATGAAATAAAGAAACAAATATTTATGACTCGCAATAGCATAATATTGTATTGTGTTTTTGTTTGCTTGTTTATAAATCTCACTCTATAAATAAATACAGGAAATGTCATATAAAATCGTTGAATCGTGTACTGTACGTTAGTTTATCATCATATCGCGATGGAGATCTATTTTGGAACTCTCTTAGTGTTCTTGTATTTTCAATGTATTTCTTCGTCACCAATGAACTATGTCTATTACGAAAATCCAAATTTGGGATACGTCGCTTCTTTAAGTGGATCCTCTCCTTATACCAAGACACGGCTTAACGGACCAAAAAAATTTTTCGTCGGTAATACCAATCAAAAATATATGAAGCTGGCGAATGAAGAAGCTATTAACTCTTTATTTAGCATAGGTAAACTATCGCCAAAAATGTTTGATCCAGTGATTGACACTAATAACGTAAACGCCCCCAAGCTTACTGAAGATGATACAAGGCAAACCAAACAACCAGAAATTATAAATAAAGACTTAAAATTTGTTGAAATTGATCAGACAAAAAAATCTAGAGACAGTGACGTCAATCATCAGAACTCGAAATTCAGAATGGCTCCTGATTCTAACATTAAAGAAGTTCAAAAACCTCATCATGAGGATAAACCTATGAATCAAAAAAAATTTTTTCGAATACAGATTAAAGCAAAATAAACGTAGAGCTAACTTCAAAACAGTTCCAAAGCTACAATATGACTTTAACCAACCACCTGTTAAAAAAACACAACTGCCAATTCAAAAGTATGGTGAGAAACCGTTACCCAAACCCAACAGAGACATGACGTATAAACAAAGTGATAAGAAATATAATGTTCAAGCAATGACAACGATTTTAGATGATATGACTCAAAAAGCTTTAGAACGCTATGAACAAAAGCAGGATAATCAAAAAAGAGACACGCAATCAACAATCAATGAAGAATATATGCAACCCACAATTAATCAGCCCTTCAGTAGAGACAATCGAGTGAAATTTCTTGATTCTAAGCACATCCCCGCACGAATTGGAAAGTATGAAGAAAGTTTGAGTGGAAGACCATATGCCTTGTTCTACAGGGGTTTAGAAAATCTTGACCATCGTGATTTTTATACAGGTTCCGTAGATAAGTCTGTTCATAATAATATTGTTGAATCTAAAACGCTCGTGAAAGATGTAACTTTAGATAGGGAGCGAAAACGAAAAGCAAGAAAAATATCAAACATTAAATTAAATCGGAAAAATTTAGATTCGAACTTAATATAGATCTTCTTAAATAATACGGGAAATGTTAATGCAAATGTTCCTTGATATTTTATTTTTAGGGGATCAAAATTTCTTAAGTTTGAAATTGCATACAGTATTTTATTGTATTAATATCTTATATTATTCTAAATAAAAGTTACGTCATTAAGCGAGATTATTTAAAGAAATGCCTATGTAGCGAAATAATTTCTTAACTTAATTTAATTATTAACTGATACATTTTTTGGATGTAATGAAATCTAAAATCAATGGACCGATTTAAAAATATTTTACCATTATAAAGCCACATTATTAGCGAGTAACATATGATATAATATATAACATTATTACAAATAGCTTAGCGGAACATCAATAATAAATTTTGCAAAAATGGGCTAAAAATCCTCTGCAAGATTAAAAGTAACATCCGTTGTGATGGATGGTCTTACGACAGCATTGTCTATCTTTTAAGGTAATCAATTTAAAGCATTATTTGTTTTTTTTTATAAACATGATATTAACCCATACCCAAATAAATATGCTAATCATCAAAAGTGTTTAATTTTAAACAATACTATTCTAGACATCATTGGATTAAAATGAATATCTTAGCAGATATTTAGAGTTTTGAAATAACTTCGAAACAAAATGTTGTTCACATACTATGCACGCATATTTAGGTATATTAAGTGTAGATAAGTCTAAAAATTTAACGCAGGTGAAACCGCAAGGAACATATTATTAGGTATTGTATTTAAAAACGATGTAATATTAAGTATATCTATAATAAAATAATCCGATACGGTCCGAAGATATCGTAATTAATATAACTGGAGCGTGACAGATGACTTCGGAATGCAGCTTTTGATAGGTACATCGCGCATTTTAAACTATGTATTTTCACCCACACACAGGACCTTGAAGAACCTTGAAGTATTATGGATAAATATAATATTACTTATTAAATAAGAGCAATCATAATCTATGTATACATGTTATAAGGATCGCCTTTTATGAAAGATATTTTCTATTTTTTAAAATGGTCCAATATCCATTGATATTGTTTTCTAATTCTAATCTAAGCTAGAATAATGTTCCATATTGTGTTCGTTTTAGTTTTGCTTTTACTCTGCAAGGACAGTTTTATCAAACTATTATTTACCCAAGACCTCCGATTGAGTTCTTTTGAATTAAATAGCTGGCGTAACCAACTGAGCTACCACTGAGAAACCAACCAGTTACTTATTAATAGTTTCTAACGGGTAAACGTGCAGACATGCACTGAACGAATAATATGCTTTTCAGTAACATTGACACAGAAGTCCATTGCCCAATTATTAGCGCAAGATGTCAATGTCCATTTTCTTGCTATATAAATATTTGTTGTGACCTTTACTATCATTTCTGCAAGAAACCAGTAACATGGTACGTCGCATTGTTCTATTATTGGTTATTGGTTATGGATCGTGCATGAAAATGCAGGAGACCGTAGAGAGGACAGTAATGTTTAGAACTTCAGGGTCTGACCTGCAACCAGCTGCCACTGGCTTCATTTATAAAAGAGGGACCAATGGAGAAGCGGTCGTTACCAAATTGGGGCAGAGTGAAGTCATGGAACAGTTATCAAAACTTTACAAGCCCCAAGAATTCGCTGGTTCTTCAAAAGACATTGGCTCATTTGAAAAACAAAATGCACCAACAAAACAGGATAAAATTATTCCCGTCAAAGAAGATACAGATGTTGACGGAATAGCTGATGATGAGTATAAAAAAATAATTGATGATTACGCCACAAATTTTGACGATTATTTGAAGGATTTGGGCACTTTTAAAGAATACAATAATAAAGAATTCGGGTTTGATGTCAATCATGATTACGATCCAAAAGGTTACAATGATTACGATACTAAAAAATATGAAAGTTACTACTTGACACGAGAAGACCCTTATGGTTATGGTAAGGGGTATAAGGACGAGGGGTATAAAAATGAATATAAAGTACCCCAGAATGTTGCATTTCGTTACAAAAACAATGAAGAAGATAACAAAAAAGAAAACAGCTTCTATGGAGATGAGTATAAGCATCACAGAGGAACACCAAGCGGTAATGGACACGAACAAACATCAAATAGAACAGATGAAAAAGATTCAGATGAAAATGATAGCACCTCATCAAATGAAGAAAGTACCACAAACTCCTACGCAGACTATGGAGCCAAAAGCGGACTTATTACTAGCAAAAGATATGACTACAAAGCCGACCAATAATCTAGGACTAATTACTGTATTGTTATTATTTTTCGTAGTTTTGTAAATATGTATGTAAATGTTGACAATATAACGTTAGACTAACACTACGATTTTCTTTCATAATTTGAAAATTTAATTACAAATTATTATTATAACCCGATTATAACTCCGCTGTGGAGTAACATTACGTATATATTAAATTCCTGTGGTTATTAAAAAATAAGAAAAAGAGACCTAGTTTCTTTATTTAAGCCAATGCACAACAATATTCTCCCGACAGTTAAAGGCGTTGAGAAATCTATATGTTAATCTACATAAAGCATCAATAAATTATATTTCAGCACCTATTATTAAGTAAGCTGTCCACTGAAGTATTGTCGAACCATTTCAACTTAGGGTCCTTCAAGAATAGAGCGTACCAATTCTTAAAAGGCCGGCCAGGCACTTTCGAGCGTTCTGGCAATGTGAGTGTCCATCGGCGGCGGCAGCTTAACATCATCAGCCTCCTGCCCGTTTGCCCCAGTTTAAAAAAAATAGTCCCATTTAAATGTGCATCTTATATCTATTAATGAATTATTATGATATACCCAATGTTTATTAAATTAATTAAATAACGTTTAGCTGTTTGACTGTGTTACCCATTTAATAAAAAATTTAAGTAGGTAGTAAGCTTTTTTTAAATTACATATTTACCCATGTCCATGTATACGCAATCTCTTATTCATAAATAATTAGTTAGTCAATAAGGGGTGCGCATACACTGCAATGAAAACAGTCGAACAGATCTAGTTTTTATGAAAAAGGAGGTAAAGTTCGTATACAATAATTTTAATGAGTACCTAGATAAAATGACGACCATTATTAAATGAGATACTTTACGAAAATAAATAAATATTAGGTAGCAAATAGGTATCTAATTAAATCAGGTCATTATTATATTAGGGTTTTACTATTTTAAACTTACTTATTAACAACCATTAATAGTGCGGCATACATTGTTTAGTCTAATAGATATAAATTTCTTTACATCTCATTATATAAAATGTTTTGTTTCTGACATTTCAGCTGTTTAGCGGGTAATTGTTGAAGGTATATTTTTATATCGAGTATGGTAAACAAAGATTTATTTCCGACACCGAAATATATAGTATTTACAATAATGTTAACCTACATTGTAATAATAATTAAAAATTACAAACTAAAACAAATTTAAAAAGTTTGGTCCCTGTGACAGTGTACCTTGGCAAAATTTCCTCGCTGTATTGCGATTGCGATTTATTCGTTGAGCGATGAAAGCACCAGCTCTGGTACCAAATACTATCTACCAGGCGGAAAGCTAAATATTTAATTAGGGCTGGTGCACTTGGACCCCACAGCCCAAGAGTTCAAGAGCCCAAAATCAAAGTTGGAGGAAAGACGTAAATTTGAGCCGTTTATTATTTTCCGCCTTCTCTGCGGCCGCGCTAGGTGCTTGTCCGAGGGAGGTATAATATATATAAATATGTTACGAGTACTTGTAAAAAATAACAAGTGGCTCTAAAGCCCTTGTTCTTGGTCTCAGATCTCTATATCTGTTTTAATTCCAAGATAAATAGCAAACTGTATAGGCCAGTAAACAGACTTCTATGCCACACACATCGTCACTTTCTGGGTTTTAGTTACCTCACATAAGTCACATACATAGAAAATTCCTTAGTGCACAATCGAAATCGATCTCACGATCTTAGAGTTTAGAGACTCTAACACCTAGCCAGGCTAAAACTGCATACTAGGTACATAACCATGTACGTGTATAGGTAGATTACCGTTTGAATATGCAATACACAAGACAATAATAAAAGTTCTCTATATAATTGTAATAATTGAAAACCACGTGAAAACCCAAATGTAATACCGTACATTATATATATCATACCTAATACACTTTTAAATCGACCACCGAAACAATGGCAACATTTTTTTATCATTTCTTTGTCACCTCTAACCTCGCGTCAATAAACTGTTACATGGCTATACGAACGGCACTCATGGTCTTTTCATATTGAACTATTCAGCGATTGCTCAAGATATAAATATTGAGCAATCGCGTTATGAAATTATTACAGCACAGGTTGTGGAACGATACACATCTCAACATGAAGCTACCACTTACAATTTTACTTGTGGCATCCATTGCGACAGCCATACAAATCGGCGTTCCCGCGGCTTCAAGTTATGTCTACAGAAACGACAATAATGGCCCAGCCAGTCTGCTACAATTAGGACATTTCGCGCAGCCCCAATTCCTTCCACAGTTGCAAGCACCTCTTGCTCCAGTAAAAGCTCTGGAGGCTTACGATTTAGCTCCCCTCCCGCTGCCGTACCTTGCAGCTAAACCCATTGTTATCGAGGATGCTGAGGAGGATTCTGATGAATCACAAGAAGATGGTCTAATTGGGCTTAGTCATGAAGGAGCTGGCGGTAGCGACTATGAAGAGAAACACCATAAAGCTCACGGTGAAAAGGGAACTAAGGGCTATCATTCTAAAGGGCACTTTGCAAAGGGACAAGCTGGTAGCTATGGAGAAGCTCACAATGAAGGACATCACAGCGAAGCAAGTGGAGAAAAAGGCGCCCATCACGACGAAACCGATGCTTATGGAAAACATCACAAGTCAGGTAAAAACTATAAGGGTGGAGATCACGGACACAAGAAATACCACAGCAAGGGTGAGGACATAACTGGATACCATAAAGTATTCAACAAAGATGAGTTCAAGAAAGATCATGACTTCTACGATGTAGCTGACAATAGCGGCCATTACAACAAACATGGTTCCGAGGAGAAACATTACAGCGAAGAAGATGGTGATCATGCGGAGGGTGGAAAGGGATCTTCAGGTTATGAAAAAGGAGATTTTGGTAAATCTGGTTACCATAACAAAGGACATGTAGATGATGGTGAATCGGCTCACGAAAGCAAGGAAGGTGAAGAGAGTCACTACAACCATAGCGAGGATTTCGGGAAAAAAGGCGGTAATAGTCACGAAAAAGAGTATGAATATGAAGACGTTGATCACGAAGATGATGAATAAATACTAGTTAATTTAAATTTGTTATGTTTGATACTAATGATGCTGTGATTTTTTAATTTTTAAAAGTAATAAAGAAGTTGATATGAATTGTGGTGTATTTTCTTAGTTTTTTAATACATTTTAAGAGGAGATGAGTAGTCTACTAACTTCAGTTGCCTAAGCCATCGCCTCGGTTGTATGAAAATAAATTAAGGTAATATTTTGTTTGAAAAAAGAAAAGAGTTTATTGCCTAAGTTCACTGTTGTATAAAAAAATGTGAGCCGTCACGGGACGCCTGGCAGATGTGAAACATCGACATTTTTTTGTAAAATTAATATGCAGAAAAGAACAAATTGTGATAGGAACTAAATATTTCATAATGATAAAATAAAATATTACTATTCTTTTTCGCCACGGCATGCGTCGCCACGCCATAAATCGGTTTTACGTGCGGCTATAGATGTTTCACATCAATTATTCAACGTTTTAAACTCTCTGTTATAAATTATCTCTACAAATTACTAAGAAGGCTTTTTTAGACAATACAAAAAAGGCACTCGGAAGTTTCTTCTACAATTAGTTTTCATAAATTGTCACTTAAATATTTTCACATTATAATAAGATCTCAACAGATTGGTTACAGGTCAACTCGTATTTAAAAATATCTAAAATCAAAATGAATAAAATATATTGATAAGTTTTTTTTATGTAATAATAGGCAAAGGGGCAGAAGGCCCATCTTAAGTGACACCGCCGCCCATGGACATTCACATTACCAGAAGGCTTGCAAGTGTGTAGCCAGCCTTTAAAAAAGTTTTGCATTTAAAGTTGCACAATGGAAAAAATACCTGTTAATGTTATTATTACTTTTATTTATATATTTATTATTGTTTATTTATATTATAACTTTCATATTCGTCAGTTATATATTGATCTCGGAGCTGACGAAACAAACTAACATAAGGACCCCGCGTGCCCCGTGCCAGTTCAAGACTCGCCGTGGTCTTTACAAATGTGTGGGCTCAATTCCAACATCCACGCTGTCCACTACCATTTGGTCCTTTAAAAACAGACCGTCCCAAGTCTTAAAATCCCGGTATCCTTAACGTCGGGTAAGCCTCCTGCCGTTTGTCCCTCTGAAAAAAACAAGATAAAACTAATTTTGTTGGTGGACTACCAAAAATTGGTGATTACTTCCTCACAACCTTGAATTATTATTTCGATTTCTAATAATTTGTTTATGGTTACAAAGAAACAATGCCGTCTCGAACAAGGTGAATTGATCGAATTAACTAGAACGTTCAATTACTTTACAAATAATGAAAGTTAACTGGTAATGTTAATTAAAATAGATTTTTAATATTTTTAAATTATTATAATATCTACTAATTGATATCAGTAGTCAAATACTACTGATTGTCCAAATAAATATTATTGCATAACAAGTATTATATAAGTACTTAGTAAGTAATATTTGAGAGATGTAATTATAATATTTAGGCATAAAAGGTTATAAAATGTTATAAAATGTTTGTAATTATATATATTAATCATTATAGTTTGTTTTATTAGGAAGTAAAAGGTCTTAAACTATGCTGTAGATCTTTTGGAATGTAGAGAAAGTAAATTATGAAAAATTTGACCGTCGATGTCATCTCGAAATCCTACCTTTAAATTTCTTTATTATATTTAAAATGCCCTAAAGAAACAAATAACTTAAACACAGACTGAAATCATAAATAAAATGTAAAGTACTACCAATGTTCGAGCCACTCAATTGTCGGATTTCCGGCCCCACTGAGTTCTGAGTTCTGGGCACTGGTTAAAGAAATTACAAACTCCGTAAAAACATAAGCACATCTGGAATACGTAATATAAAGTATCTTAGGTTATTTCTTTAAGATTCCGATTCTTAACTAAATCCTTGGTTAAAACAAATCGATACGCAATTGGACATATTGATTAACCAATCAATAGACCATAACGCCAATCTGAACATCTTAAAAAAACACCCTTGACCACTAAATAGCTATATAAACTAAACAATGGACATGTATGTCAGTGTCGCAAGTCATTTCAATTGCGAAAGTTATCGCAAAAAGCAAAATGCAAAAGAAAATAGTCGTGTTGACATTGATCTACTATTGGGTTGAAGCTACGCCCTTGAATGCCGATTCAGTTGATTTTACGGACATATCTAATTTGAAATACGACTCGAAAGATCTAGAAGACTATTTGAACTATCTTGAAGATGAACAAAGTAATAATAACGCTAAAAAGAAATCATCGAACAAAGGATCAAAAGTGAACTACAATATTGAGGATTTAAAAAAGTTTTTTAAAAGTCTTGGATTGAAAGATGATGGTTCCTATGATGATAGCGAAACGTACAGTCTTACTGAAGGCGCCGCAGCTAAAGCCGTGGGCATTACAGGTAAAGAGAATAGAACTTACAAAAAGGGATCCAAAACAAGAGGTTTTCATAGAGTTCATCACAAGGATGAATATAAGAAGGATAAAGAATTCTATGAAGACGACGAAGTTAGTGGTGCAATAGATAAAGTTGGCGCAAAAGATTTCGGCTACGACGTAGCAAAAGGCAATGGTTTTGATAAAGGACGTTTTCATCGCGTTCGGAAAACGGGCCTCTTTGGAAAACAAGGACTTTCAGATAAAGGAAAAGCTGAGAAAGATTTTAGTGCTTATGAGAAGAAATTCGACAATTATTTTGACAGTGATAAATAACTAATAACCTTATTCACATAGTAACCTTATAGCACATCGATAAAACCAATTAGTAGTTCACAGTTTGTTATACTTGTAGGAATAAATAAAACAATAAATTACGTCTGACGCATTTCATTGATTTGCAAACTTGATTTCCGTAATAATTTATGATACCCGTACAACATGCATTTATTACAAATAAGTAACACTGTTGCTGTTAGTCCTATATAGTGACTTGTACACATTAGAAGGGGCATCCATTATGGGAGCTATAAAGTTATGTATTTACGCTGGTAAGTAAAGTTTTGCTATTTGCCTTCATTGTCAGGTTTTGAAGATTATACAGAATTTATGTTGTCATTCAAGTATTATTTATAAAATTCCTTTTTTTAGCGTTTATTTTCGCTGCTTTCATTGAAGCTTCGCCGTATAAATATTTCCATAAGAACATTGATTCCGCTAACAGAGTAAGGAGACAAAATCCATTAGACGACATGGATCCCTTCTATTTAAGCTATGAATCAGATCCGTATACGTCAAGTGTCCAGAACTTTGGTTTAATGGTACCTCCACCAATAAACATTGAAGTTCCAGGTGCAAAGAAAGCTTATAGTTGCTCCTTAATAAATTGCGGCCCTGAAACCCAAACAGAAGCCGTTTGCGCCTGCAATTTTAATACTGGCAAAGTTGTCTCCTTTAAGAATCAGTGTGATGTAATTAAACACAACTGTAGATTTGATACAGGTAAGTTATAAAAGCAATTTAGATAGTCAAAGTATATACACAATTGGTAAAAAAAAAACAAATTCAATATAATAAAAAGGTATGGTACAAAATATTCTTACAAAAAGATTTTGGTCAGTTGCGTCCCGGAGCATTGAGTTAGATCTTTATTTAATTTAAATTTTTGTAATATATTTGAAAATATTGAATTATAAAAAACACATACACAAAAAATAACCAATTTATATCTTAAATATTATTTCCAGAATTTAGGGTCATTTTACAGGAGATATGCCCATGGGAGTTTCAGTCGAGACGAGACAACAAGCCGATGAATTTTGACTACACCAACTCAAAATACTATAATTGAATAAAACCTTAAAATAGCAGAACCTATTAGTTTCACCCGAGATAATATAGTCATAGCGTGATGTTATAATATATATACTGACTGGACTATCCATAACAAAATAATGAGAGTATGAAAGACTTGCTTTCATATTAAAATCTACCACTTCCAATGTACTAAAATACGATGTAAATAAACGAAATTAAACCTTAGTAAAATTTTGACAATACAGTATAAAGGTGATATATTTCTGTAGTATAGTTAAAAACCAATATCAGGGTACCTTCCTTGCCCTTAAAAGTCATTAATACTACTTGATAGTAGTCAATTGTTATGAAATCGTAAATGCAATGTTAAAAAGATTCTATACATTCGTTATATAGGTTTCACGAGTTTTATGATGAAATAATAGACATGCAATGAAAAACAAATATACTGAAAATTATGGCTATATTGGGATGGCGTCTCTGATAAGCTAAAATCCACCCAACCATTTTATTTAATCTAAGGAAAAATTAAAGATTCAATAATTTGAGGTTTGATTAAAACTTACTTCACATCTTTACAACATAAACAATTGAGTGTGAATATGATATTCTTAATTTAATATTTATGTAGATAGCATTAAAAGATATCAGCGTTTGTAGTTTGTAACGGAGTTAGGATGCGTCCCCATTGTAACGTCCATGTCCATCATGCGTCTGAGTAGCGCCTTCGCCGTATGTATATCTACCTAAACAGTCGCCATGTGAAATGATTTGTTTGAATATATATTATTCAGTTCTGATCTTAATTATCTTTAATGAATCATACCGATGTCAATTTGAAGATCTAAATAGCACAGCAACCTCCTTCAACAACATGCTATGTAGGTATGGAATATGGATGATTTAACTGACCATGAGCCGGATATATTACGTGATGAAGTAAGAGCAGCTGTCCACAACTTGAAAAATGCAAAACTACTGGAATGGATGGATAATATTATTATTATTAAAACATGCTCATCAATATTAAAGTTTTTATGCACTCTATATAAAGGATTTTTAACTATATTTTATTGAAATGGCATAATATTATTAATTAATGATAAGAATATGAAAGACATCGTTTTAGACGTCAAATGTCAGGTACCTTTGTTGCCGTCAATGTCTGTCTGACTTGTTTGATGTTTCGGTTCTGACTTCTATAGTCTTTGTTTTTCAATTGAATGAATCAAGTGTTTGTGTAAATGATTGTGAAACAAAGAATTTCCACAAGACGAAATAGATGAGGCTCGATATAGTTACATTTTTTAACATTACTCATGAGTACGGAAGAGACTCTGTTGAATCTCGACTTCGACAAACCAAGCACAGTTATTACGCCGCCCGATGACGGCGTGGTTTCTCTCTCGAGTAGTGCTGAAGACATTTGCTTAGTCCCTGAGATTGAATTTGAGGGCACCGTGGATTCTCCGGGTGTCAACCGTGAGTCGCAACCGCTTCTTGGCGGTCGCGGCGACATAGAAGTATCATTCAACCATTTTCCAGGTAAAAAACTTAAAATCATTTGGAACAACAACGATTATTGTATCGTTGATGTTTCTGCAATCAAAGGTGCGTTGTTAAATAAACAACGATGACTATCTCTACATGGCACTTAAAGGTCTTCGCTAATGCTTATGTGGCTTCGAGAATAAGTTAAAAACTGATTTGTAATAATTAAACCAGACAATCACGAAAGAACCCAATGTTACATTACCTTGACACAAAATACAATTTTTCTGTACATAAATTAAGTGTGAAAAAAATTTGATTTGATTAAATTAGTGTCTACTATTTTTTGTTAAGAACATGCAAACATCAACTTAGTAATGAGTAATATTAAGAAACATACTTAATTCAGTTAGTTCAGAATTGTGTGAATGTAGGCACAAGACATTCTGTCAATTTTCAGTGAACTGTAACAGCTGTAGTGTTTCAGGATTCTTGTTTTATAAATTAAAGTCATTATCATTGTTATGGAGTTTCCATTTCTATGCAGTAAGTGTTAATAAATGATTTATCATGGTATTTTATTATTACCAGTAGTTAATATATAAACATGATATAGAAACATGCTCCCATATGGTAACAACAGCATGTGTTTAATTTTAATAAAATTATTAACAGTATTTTAATAAAAGTATTAAGATGTGATAGAATTTATTTTTCACTGATGGTCATTCCACACACTAAGACTTATGTACTGTGACAGAATGCTAATTTTAAATATTATTTGTGTAATTTATTGTATACTATTTAAACAAATTTGTATGCAAATGAGATTTATATACTAGATACCTTTAGTAGGTTAATGTTATTGGTGTAATCTCATGAGAAATCAAATTTATATATTATTTAATAGATAACTTTAGAATACATGAAATTTCTGTAAGTTATCTACAGGTTTAACAAACTAATCAACTTTAGAAATCAAAATTATTCATTAATAATTCATTCAAGCAAGTATTATGAATTTAAATACACAGTAGTTGTCTAATGACAACAACTCAAATTTCAATAGTATTTCTTAATAAACTCCGGACATATAAATAAATGGGTAATGTAATAGATTACCAATTTAAATTGTTTATTTTATTCTCAATAACAATTCATGCCTTGCTTAAATTGTACAAATAACCTTGAATCTTTGTAAAAGTTCATTACTTAGTTCAATTAGGTATTGCTAATGAATAATTTTTGCATGTCAAATGTTAGGTGTTATCAGTGTTTATCACGTCTCCATACAATTCTTAAGTGAAATAATTTTTCCTATATTTTACCAACACAGTCATGGTTGTTAAGCATTCTAGTATATTAGCTAATGATTTTGTAAAAATATAAATCTATTTGTTTTATAGCTCTGAAACAACACACAACATATAAATAGGCTCTAACAAACTACAAAAAGAAGAAATTACTACATATTATGTTTTATATGATCCACTTATATGATCCATGATAAATAAGATTTGAATGTAACCAAAATTTTTTGCAGAAACAAATAAACAATGTAACTAAAACATATGAATAGAAATTACAATCTTAGAAAAACATATATTTCTTTTTAAAAAAATGGTTATAAATATTTATTTTCTTTTTAAACTATGGCCATATTGGTTCATGTGTCAGGTCAAGGGAAAACTTTCAAATCAGTTCATTTTTCTTCAAAAAATGAGATTACCAACTTTATAAGATGAATTTCATGATGTGCTCAAAATTATTCAATATTTATATTATATAACAAAAGAATTTACTATCAATAGACCAAAAAAATTAACAGTTTATAAGGAACTAGCATAGCACCTTACATATATTTTAAATAAATCAACCGAGTTAAAATTTTAATTTTTATCAGGTTGGAAATAAGCTTTTTAAATATTATTAATTTTTCCTATCGACGAAGATATACTTAAGACTTTGAATGTAGCTGTTATAATTGAAATTAAATTTGGAAATAAATAAAGCCCTAAGGTTATAAATATTGGAAGTTGATATCCTCAGGCCAAATGAGCAGGTCGTGCAGCGGTTGCGTGTGTGGTTTAAGGCTTAATCCGAAAGTCATCAGTTTACATGTCTAGCGGTTATTCAATATTACGTTAATTTAAGACAACTTAAATATCCAATTTCCATAATCCCTGAGGGTTTAATTTTTCTCATCTTTAAATATTGTTAATATTTTGAGATTAATATAAGCTTCTGTTCAATCCTACGTTACGTTCAAAAGTATAACTCTAGTTTTAGTTGATTTAGATTTATTTATATACATTAATTATGTTTGGCCCTAAAAATTAAGCACTTGTTTAAAAAAAACTTAACAACGATCTTATTATGGTCCCTTTTTTATGAATTTATGTTTGGACTATTGTGTGAGACACACCTACCAATGATACCAATTATGATATTCCCCATGGTGCTATTTTTATCGAATCTTGATAAGCAGTAAATAAGTTATTCATATGATAGGTATATGTATCCTGTGCATGTACAACACATCTCTTCCTATTTCAATTACCTGAGTCACCCGATACTTAGCAATTGGGCACCTGAATACAAACATAAGTTTACTGTTACCGTAGCTTGATTTCTCTTAAACGCTTGTTCTCAAGAGAAAATCGAGCGTAAAATATCATTTCTAATGGAAAGTAGACTTACGGTCTTATTCATAAACACATTGTAAACCTCGATTTGTTGATGAACGAGGAGTTTTTTTTTCTGTGTTTTTTATTATTTATGAAAAATGATTAAGTAACTACAGAATAGACTGAAAAGTGTCCCGTAACACTAGTTCGAAATTCGTATTTTTGCTTTCATTTTCATGTGTTTCATTGAAACATTATTTTCGCGAAATTTTAAAACGGTAAGAGATAACGCAGAAAGGAATAACAAACATATCGTTCATGTGGGATTGGTAATGTGCGTCATCAGTTTCGATTAATTTACTTCGCCATCGAGCGCTACCTCGTTAAAGATGAAAATATGCCTAAATGTGTATGTAAATAGATTCATTCAAAATTTTGTAGGAAATAAAGTAGATACATGTGACCTGCTATAATTATACAAAAAAATCTCGTCGTTTAGAAACATAACATTCTTCATTCTCAATGACATGACGTTATTATCTACGGTAAACGATAGACTAAAGTGCTGACAACAGATAGAATGTTATAATGATATTAAAAATGTTTTTTTTTACAGATGACCCTCAATTTAGCGAATTAGTATGGCAAGCCGAGGTAGCCATCGACAATGGAATATTCCCAGAGAGGATATATCAAGGTTCCAGCGGGTCGTACTTTGTCAAAAATCCTGGAGGAGTGAGTTTAAACCTTTATGGTTTCCTATACTTCCTAGAGTATTGATTGTTCAATCCATAGATTTACATCCTACGCTTAATATGCTGTTGCTTACTTATTATGTAACTTTTGTTCCAATTTAAACTCCGATAGTGGAAGATACTGATTTGAGAAAGAGATTTGCTGTGATAGGCTGTACACATTTATATAATTAATATTTAATTTTGTTTCGGTCATCTTAATTCATGTAATGAATTAATAATACATAATTGAGCAATGAATTAATTATAACAGAATCATACATTACTACTATATACTAGCTTTTAAAATTTAAATTTCATAATAAGCAAATTATCAACTTGAAATGTTATCTACTAAACAAGTATTGGGCCAAGGAAACGAATAATTGAATACTATTTAGCTTCACAAGCCGTCTTCGTGTACACAGACACAGGTCTGCGCAAAACTTGATCCCGAGGTCAATTCTTGGCGATTCAAATTTTTTCCCTCGCACTAAACAAAATGCTCAGTGGATCAGAAACATAAGACTTAGTACCTATATAAATTTATTTTTATATGCATTATGCATACGACGTTATACGCACATTCTAATTAATGCCTCCCACGGGGTTTTGTCTTAAAATAAGTAGTTCTAACATTTCACCCCTTGTTCTCGCACAGATTATTTATACATATATTTTACGCAAAATTGCAGCAGGCCATTGATATTTTGTAAAAGTCATTATTTGCTTGTTTGAGATATTCTTTGCTGTATGTCCTGAAACGAAACATAGCTTTCTGCTTTTAAAAATTCAAACTATATTATTATAGTTTGATAAGTGAAAAGCAAATATTATAATTACTTTGCGGGGTTAAGGAATCTTGGAGATTGGATTCCTTATTTGGTGTGAAGGAGACAGCGTAAGAGTGAACTATTTTTCATTTTAAAAATATAAAAAGCATGTTTCCGCCCGGGATCGAACCGGGGACCTTGTGCGTGTGAAGCACACGTGATAACCGCTACACTACGGAAACGATAGACGGCCTTTTGAAAACCTCTTACATTAAGTATAGAAGTTCCACAGAAGTTCTGTATTTGATTCAATTTTTTAAATTATCAATGCCATTAATGTAATAGTTGTTAATAATTAATTATCTATGACTTCCAATGCTAGTTTTTGTCAAGAATTAAATCCGGCGTTCATGACATTGTGGGTAACGAAGGCTGAGGCGTTTTTGCGAAATAAAAAATAATTCGGAACTTATATTTCATATGCTCTATCTTATTAATAAGAACATTTTTTTTATCAAGCTTTATAAAACTTATAGGCGTAATTTATTTTTCTATAATAAGCTCGATTATAATGTTGAGTGAAATTCTGAAAAAAAAAAAAAATATTAAACTTCAACGAATTTCAGAAAATAATCGGCGTTTTCAAACCGAAAGATGAAGAGCCATATGGAAGACTGAATCCCAAATGGACCAAATGGATGCACAAGTTATGCTGTCCGTGCTGTTTTGGGAGGTCATGCCTTATCCCCAATCAAGGGTACCTTTCAGAGGCTGGGGCAAGCCTTGTGGATTCCAAGATCGGTCTCAAGATCGTGCCTAAGACTAGGGTGAGTAAAATTAATTTTTATTTACATGAACGCATCTGAGCGCATTAGTCTGGAGTTATTATGTATATAATAATAACCCAGTGGTGCTTTATGGGTCTTGGGGTCAAATTGTATCAGTTTCTTTGATGATTTTTAGTCTGACACGTCATGTCGATTTTTCATATGAGACATGCTGGTTTCATTACAATGTTTGCCTTCTCCGTACGAGGGTGTCAGAGATGCGCACTTAGACTGAAGGTTAATTGTTGCCCGGGCATCGAATCTACGACCCTCAAGCCGAACGTCCACCGCCGGCTAAACTAAGTTAGTTTAGCTTAGCTCGCATAGTTAAGCCAGTTTTTCATACATGTGCATAGTTTGCAGTGGACGCGGTGGACGTTCGGCTTCAAAGTCGCTCGTTGAGTTATGTGAATAATTCACCTTTACTTCCTTTTAAGAAGTTTGTGAGATCGTCAAACCTTTTCAGACCGATATGACATTTCGTTAGATAAATGTTGGTGAAGCGCAGCCACTTAAGCCGGGTCCAGACGAGTGTAACGTGTAATGTAATCCACCGTGTAATGTAACACGAATTCTACGTGTGGACGGCACTACGAGCATTACATGTAACGCTCGCGCGGCGCTCGGGGTTGATCCATCGGCTGTCGGTTTTTCGCGCGAACACAAAGACGCTCGCAGTGCTCGTTTGGACGGCGTTCGTGGTTGTGTCGTATGTACGTTCATGATGTGGAGTGACGAACAATCGCTTGAACTTATTAGTTTGTATCAAGAAAAACCTGTTATTTGGGATCCAAAAAAACCGCAATACTATAAAAAAAATCTGAAACACGATGCTTGGAGTGATATTGCTCATTCATTGGAAAGAGATGTAGAAGAATGCAAAAACAAAATGATTAGTTTGCTTGCTTCACATCGAAGAGAAAAAGGAAAAGTTCAAAGTTCGGCATGTTCGTAGCAACTGAGTGGAAACAGCTTTTGAAATATTTTCGCGTTCACAATTCGCTTTGAGTTCGTGTGCCGTCCACACTGTTGATGCTAAATTACACGTAATCTTACATTACACGTTACACTCGTCTGGACCCGGCTTTAGACGAACGTGCAAGCTTATACTTTGTAATGCTTAACTAAGTAAATTGTGTAAAAGTGTTATCGTACTTTGAATTCATAATGAGAGAGGTCAATGAAAGATATCTTAATAAGTTAGCATTGAACTAATATTTTCTCGTTAGCAATATCACATTGTGTTCGTTTTTTCTATTTACATCTGGAATTCTTATTCTAATCCAGAAAATTATATAATACTAGCGAATCCGACGTTGCTCTGCTTTCACTTAAAAAAAAACATGTCATTTAAATTCAGAACCATTCTTGAATACATGCACATTTTTTTTATCAAAATCGGTCCAGCCGTTAGTTACAAATACACAGAAGAGTTATAACTTATAACTCTTCTGTGTGTATATATATATAAAGATATGTGTTGTGTGTTTTTTTGTCTTTACGTACAATAAGTTCGTTACCCTTTATCACATATATTATCTTTTCGGTATATTCTTTCGAAAGTCAAAATCATTTAATCATATAGGTAACAATGTACACTTATGAACGTCAAAAGTATTAATAAAATTGGCTCTACGGTGGAATTGTTGTAAATTATACTTTATTTAAACATATTTTATATGGATATATCGTTTTAATGTGTGTATTTGGTGTTGTTTAGTTTTTGTTTGTGGGCAACAGACCCTACGTCTACATACACGAATATATTGAATTCTAAAAGATTTTTTATTAATTATAATATCATTGAACTAAAATTAAACTATAAATACATCCTTAAACGCTGAAAAGACCTATGTTTGAGAATTTTTAATTAAAATTAATGCAAAATATATTTTATAAATTACAGATGGTGAAATTAGTATCAGAAACCTTCAATTATCTGCGAATCGACCGCGAGAGATCGCGACTGAAGCGTGCTATCACAGAGCAGTTCCCTAATCTACGATTTAATAGAATGGGTCTTCCCCCAAAGGTAAATTGCTCTTTTGGGGCGAAAATATTGTTTTATTCGTAGGTTCTTTCCACGGAAACCAAACATGGGACCACTGAATAAATTACGATGTGACATATGGGTTGTAAGACAAGAATGGCGAAAAAGCAAATTTATTTATATAAGTGATTATTTAGGTTTTTTTATGGAACTATTTCTCGTTTGTCCCCACGAGCTTATAATTTTATCTTAATTAGAATTAAGATAAAATTATACTAAATAATTATTATTTTATAATTAACATTAATAGACGCAAAGCTTTATATGTGCTAGTATTTTATATCACGTTAGTTTATAGTAAACTTTACTCCACATGTTTAAAAGAATAAAATCAATGTGAGAATTATTCGAAATACTAACTAATCAACCACTGATTATAGATCAAATGTTGTTCAAATGCTCACTTCTGAAAATATTTATTGGCCTGACCGCTGATGCAACGATAAATTACTGAATTATACCACTTTTTACGATAATAGTTAAAAATAATTGATGAGTTATAAAATTAAAACGGTACTAATAAAATTAATACTGACTTCAGTAGTGTTTTTGGGTCTAAAGCATCCCGGTTCCTCACGATGTTTGCCTTCACCGTACGAGCGAGTGTTAAATGCGCACACAGGCAGAAACTCCTTTGGTGCAAAATCAGGGTGTCGCAGATACGATTCACACACTAAATCCCAGAACACTGCACAACAGTCTAACGCGATTTGTAAATTACATAGTTATATTAAATCGTTATCTTGTAGGATTTTGCCTTTTATATGTATTAATTTTTGTGAAACCCATATTTTATACTTTTAATACATAGATAAATATCGCCTATCTTTAATTTTCAGGTGGGGTCATTCCAGTTATTCGTAGAAGGATTTAAGGATGCGGACTATTGGCTGCGACGGTTTGAGCAGGACCCACCGCAAGAACATGTTATGAAGAAGTTAGTGTTTTTTTAAATATATCTTTATATATATAATTCTTCTGTGAGTGTGTATGTCACTGAACTCCTCTTAAACGGCTGGACCGATTTGAATGATTTTTTATGTATACGTTTGGGTGGAGCCGTGGATGGTTTAGATTCACAAAACAGCCCGGCAGATGGCACTGCAGTCGGTACTTTCATACTTTGCTTAATATCCTAATCGCTTTAAATATCATGCAGGACAACGTCTGTGGGGTCCACTAGTGTACTATAATCCTTTGAAAAACCCAGTTCTCTAGGAAACAACACCATACCATGATTATTAATACTTGCTACTACTATCAAAACATATTTTAATTTTAAACCATGACCTGCGCTGATATGCCATGGTCATCTCATTGGTTACATTCTCTGGCCTTCTCGACTCTCGTTCGTTAATTTGTAATTAATATTTTCTTGCTATTTTAATATTTAAAGGACACAACGTCCCGGCTACATGCGAAACGCAATAGAATGAACTGATTCTTTAATATTGGCTTTTTAAACCGGTGATAAGACGTATTTGAAATTGTATTTTTTTATATTGCTACACAATAAATTTAACTGGCAAGTCACATGTTCCTGCACAACATCAAACGTATTTTTTTTCATAACATCTCTAAGGTTCTTATTCTATTACTTATCTTAAATCACAATCTCGAGCGCTGTCAAATATGTCAAACTTAGAAGAAATGGTTTGACAGCTCTAGAAACTAGATTTTGTTTGATGTTCTAGAATACGTGGCTAAGTTAGTAGTGAATCGTTTTCGGTTCATAGGCAAATGCGTAAATGTAATTTAAGTATTTTCTTAGTTAAATTACATACTTGAAGTGCCAATACATGTGCTATTTTAGATTTCAGTTACAATTCGAGCGTCTTGTCGTACTGGATTACATAATTCGTAACACGGATCGCGGGAATGACAATTGGTTGATCAAATATATGGCGCCATCTAACCGGAGTGAGCAGGATATGACGGAGCCTTCTGTACGTACTAAATATATTGGTTTTTCTTTCGGCTTTGATTAAGTAGTAAATGTACCAGTGAATTATGTGTTTAAAAGAGCCTATTTAAAAAATAATCTGCAGGAATCTGATGCGACGACGTATAAAGATTGTAATTTCAAAAGATTAGATTTTGGCTAAAGATGAAATAAAATTAATATATGTATAAAAAGTCAAGAATCTCCAAATCTCGCGTGACGTAATACTTGAAAGCTCCCTTATTTAAAATAATTAAATGTAAGAATATTATAAAAATAAGTTTTAAAAGTAATACTGATAGTCAGATGCCTTTTACCAATTTATCGAAGCAACGATTAATACCTATTAATAAATAATAATATCAATGTTATATGTTTTTATTTTAAATTTATGTTATTATTATTAATTACTTAAGATGTCATTTGGAACATGGTGTAATGGTTGCAGCTCCTTACAAACGTTGTGAAACAAAAAACATGGCGATTAAAAAGAGGGGCGGAGAGTTTGTTGCCAGTTTTTCTCTTCTGTGCTACGCCCTTGATTTGAGAACTGGCACTAAATGTAAAGTTAGAAGCATTTCATATACATTTCTTTTTTTTTGACGTTCATAAATACATTGTGTTACCTATATGATTAAATGACTTTTGACTTATTGACTTTAATAAATATATTTAGGAATGGAGTGGGGGTGGCATAGACGTCCGTATAGCGGCCATAGACAACGGACTAGCATTTCCATTCAAGCACCCGGACTCGTGGCGGGCCTATCCCTATCACTGGGCGTGGCTGCCGCAGGCCAAGAGGCCTTTTAGTACTGAGACCAAGTTAGTAAAGAATCTAATTGTTTATGATTAATTATCTCGATTAACGCCTTTATTGTTTAGTCCGGACCTTAGTTCCGGAATTTATATCAGAATAGACTGTTAAGAAAACAGGAACCAAACAAACAATATTTTCAGTATTATTATTTTTAATTGTAACTAAACGATGTTTTTGGAATATTTATTATAAGATAAAGCACACAAATTTTGAAAATATCATAATTGGCAATTATTTTACTAAAGCCTAACTTTATAAATTTTGTATGATCGTTTGATGCCATACACCTCTATATTGGTACCAAAAATTTCAACTTAGACTTATATTGCTACTAGTGTATTTAATAATATTCACACGAATTAAAATCGTACAGCCTCCATCCAGTGCATGGGCGTTCATTACTCTTATAAGCGACGCTGAAAACACAAAGATATAAAATACTATACCTTAACATAAAGTAGTATATGCTTCTACAATTTATGACTATTAAAAAACCATCTTAATAATAGTCGTTATGATCTAGCTAGCTAAAACTTTGTTTCTTTCGCGTTCAATGCTTTAAATGCCAATTGGACGCGAACTTCATGAATAGTGCTTAATAAAACATTTGTTATTATAAAAAATCTCCAAAAATTCATTGATTTTTTAAAATGTTCGCAGAGAGTTGGTGTTGCCATTGCTGTCTGACATGAACTTCGTTCAGGAACTTTGTGATGAATTAAATATACTTTTCAAGGTTGGTTACATAAAAATGCTACTATAATATTACTTATTATATTAAGTTATTGGTTTAAAACAGCCAAAAGAAAAAAAAAAGAAGAACTTGTATATCTGAAATTATTTTATACATATATATCTTAATATATATATTTCTTCTGTGCGTGTGTATGTGACTGAACTCCTCTCAAACGACTGGACCGATTTTGATGAAATTTTTTGTGTGTGTTCAAGGGGATCTGGGAATGGTTTAGATTCACAAATCAGCCCGGCAGATGGCACTGCAGTCGGTACTTTCATACTTTGCTTAATATCCTAATCGCTTTAAATATCATGCAGGACAACGTCTGTGGGGTCCACTAGTATATATATAATATATAATACTCCAAAAAAGAATTAATTTATATTTTGTAAGACGTTTATTACGTTACGGTAAAAACCAAACATTAAAAGTATCCATTTGTCCCAAAAGAACAAGATTTGACAGTACAAAAATCTAATAATATGTTCGGGTGTCTTGGGTTCGATTATCGGTGGAGGAGTTTCGAGTGATTTGACATAGAAGGCTAATTGGTAGCATTAATGTATATGCTACGTCCCATTGCGGGATTATGGGGCATGCATTTATGTCTGTCCGATTTCAGCAAGACAAAGGCTTCGACAAGCGTCTCTTCGAACGGCAGATGTCAGTGATGCGAGGTCAAGTACTGAACTTGACTCAGGCCTTGAAAGACAACAAGAGTCCCGTACAACTCGTACAGATGCCGGCCGTCATTGTTGAGAGGTAATTTTATTTAATAATTAAAGGAGAATGGTCTCCATACAAATTTGAACAAATGATCCCCAAACAGGTACATAAATCTGAGCCCCAGTGATTTTTTTAAAATGTGATTGTGCTCATATTATTATTCCATAGGTACTATTACTTAAAACAAAGCAAAAACAGTCGAGTTAAAAATAATTATTTGACTTTATGGGTTTTTGTTACTAGAATTTAAAACTATAAACTAATATAAAATATAAGATGTAATTAAATTATATATAAGGAATATTTTAAGGAATTTATAATTAAGTTTGTTATGGAAGAGCTGGGAACCCTGACACAGGTATTACTTACTTAAAATGGTTCCCAAATCTTACACATTGTAATGCATAAGTAAGTACCTTAAATGAATAAACAGATTTTTTTATGTTTTTTATTTATACAATTGGCTTAAAGGTATCATTGCTAGGCCATAAAATTTAAAAAAAAGAACTATAATGCACAGACTACTAAAGCATTTAATAGTCAACTTAGGGTTCGATTCACCATGCTCTAACCTGGCATGGGACTGTTCGTCCCATGACAGTTGTGAAATAATAAATAACTCTTTGTCAGTAATGCATTCTAGATCGACATGAATACGAAAATATCGTCTTATATTTATAGTTAGTGCAGCATTTAAACGTACGTTTGCTATGCTATGGTTAAAATATTGGTCATCTTATAATTATCAATGATTGAATAATAATCTCGATTAATTGACTGTTCATCAATCGTGGTTATAATAAATTTAAAGTATTTATATTGAGATTTTATGGAACGTTTGTTGTATCCGTTTGTTTTTTTTTTCAGATCTAAAAGTGGCACGACCCAATCTCGTTTCTTCGACTCGTTCCAACAACGCTTCCAGCAAAAATCACCATTCTTCTCTTGGTGGTGAAATATGGTATGTTTTTATAATAAGTAAGTCGATACTGTAAGTTCATTAATGATATTTAGACATTATAACAGCAATGTATAACTTATTAAGCTATTGCATAGATTTTATCGCGGACTTTGAGCGCGGCGAACGAATCAAAGAAAATTCCGTAACGAAAAAAACCTAACACACGATGACGTAATATAGGTGCGGCAAATACGCGTTAGAGTGAGACAGACTATATAGGCGTTATAGTCTGAGTCTGGTAGAGTGGTAGATTGAAATAATATCAAAGAAAAACAAATACTGCATAAATAAATAATTATAACTGCATAAGTTGATAAAAAAATGCTATGCAATAGCTTTACCGCGGCAGTCCCCGAGTGCCACACGTTTTTTTTATTTAAAACAGTAATGAAATGCATAATTTTGTCGTATTAATGAACCAATTTTGATGAGCTTTGACGTTAAAATTTTAATAAACCTTTTAAAATATAATGTTTTGTATATTACAATGTGATCAAATAATTTAGATAGTGTATTAAACTAATTATTTTTTTGCAGACACGTGAATACAGACGAACGATAATGTAGGATTTTGTATGTATGTAGTATTTTAATCTACTGAAGTTGAAACGATCATTCCAATTAACTATTTATAGGGTTTCGCAAATTTTGTGACAGAAAACTATTTTTTTAATCACTTATGGCTTTGAACTTTTTAATGATTTTTTGATGTAATGGCGTCTTGTTATGAACATTCTGTAGTTGTCATTTATACAAGTCCCCAATTGAATTGACTCGGAATAGTTTTATCAAAATTCCTGAGATAATCTTCGGTTTTTTTATGTCGGTTAACAATATAAAAAGAAAAATTATTCAACTTCAGTATTAGTGAAACTAATATAAATGTTTTTGCTTTATATAGTTAAGTTACTGTTAAACTAGCTGATGTTAAGGACTTCTTCAAAAAGTATTCCAAATTGATTTTTTTATCTAAGTGTTAATCATAAAAATAGCTATATAACTATATTTTATATTAATATAAGACTTAGCCATGCAGTCATTTAAATTTTTTGATAAAAAAATATAGTTCAGTAAATAATTTTATACGCTATGTCATTTCAATATAGTTTAAAAAAACTGTTAGCTTCAAGAACTTTTTGGTCATTGATTATTGATTAGCACATAAAAATTAAGTCGCAAGCATCAGCTAGTCGAATTATCCTTGTTATTAAAATCACCCTAACTTCATAAAAAATACATAAATTGTATATTTTCAGCGATGGCAACCAAGGTAATTCCTTAACTAATACAATTTCCATCAAAATGACACATGACAACCTAGTATGAAAATACTTTTATGTTATTAATAACCACATTTAATTCAATTAAAGGAAACATCTAGAATGTTTGATCAATGATGCTGAACGCTTTATAGTTTCGTGTAATATTGAATGCTAACTTTAAGTTCACACAACAGATGGCGTTTAAACAATTCGATAAAAATTAGTGTCTTTCATAATCCGGTCATTACTCGTCTCTTTCTGACAAATTTCATCTTACCTTTGATGAAAAGAGACAACTTTAAATCTGTAATAAGACAGATCCAGTTGAAGAAAGTTCAAATAATCGCTTATGTGGGACCATAAGGACCTTAATGAAGCAGATAACAGTGTAGTGTTGCCTTTTCAATCATATCGTCTGTAGAAACATATTCACGTTTACCAATAAATTTAAATGTATATACAGAAACTTGAAACGTTTTATTCTGATGGGGATATCCATTTATTATGACGTGTGTAAAAAGGAGTTATAGCAGTAAAACCTCGCATAATATGACAAGTGGAACGATTTTTGTTTTGCAAAATTTTGTATACCCATAACTTACATATAACATTAAAAAATATAGAATGCGACTGATTTAGCTCTAAAATAATATGTTTTGTAGGGGAAATGCCTTTTATTATTTTTGTTACCCATTTTGCTTATTTATTTAGAACAATTTTATCCCTTAATAGTGATATACTGTAATCTTCTAGAATACCATAATAATAGGTTTGTTAGATATTAAATAATCGGTGACTTATACAATCAAAGTGCCTCGTCTAACCAAGTCGTGAAAAGTAGCTCGAATTGTTGAAATCTGTTCATATATTTGACTTACGAATGGTTGTATTGAACGCGGTAATGAAAAATTACAAAAGCGATAATCTATAGTGAAACCTCTTCCTTGACTTATTTTTTTTAGTTTTGGTAACCTACTTTCTATCTACGAATATTCGTGAGTTAAATAAGAGAACCGATAATATACCAAAACTCGTGAAGTATTTGCAAATAGCTTGAGCAATAGCTTAGTGATTCATGATTTTAAGCTAATATAATGAGAATTTACATCTGTGAGACATGCATTTTAACTATTTATTAATATAAATGTACGATTTAACATCGCTGGTTTTCTGTTACATTACATACCTTAAAAATAGTCTTTGCGAGATGTTGTACGATAATTGTTAAAATCCTCAAAAAACCCGTATGAGAAAAATAATTAAACCCTAAGTCTGTTATTTCAATTGTCGAAATATATTAGTTGACAGCATTCAATATGGCTGACTTTGACAGACTTCGCTGGAAACTATTCAATCAAATAAAGCAATTTTCCCACTGTGTATTCTAGTGGGCGTTGTAAAATTTTGCATAATTAATATTTGGTAATTTATTGTATTTTATATATATACTACAATAAAATAAATAGTTCAAAAGTTACGATTTAATGTTTACTGGTCATTGTAAATAGCAGACTTGGTGCCTGGTACCACAGAATTGTTAACATCTTAAATTTCAAGACAATGTACATCGTTTTAAGAGAAAACAGCACATAATCAGTAGCTAACATAGTTCCTTGTTTAAGAACTTCTTTGTACCTCCACGCTACATATTTCTATTCATACCTATAAAAATAAAACTAAACCAGACCTTAAATTATCATCATATTTACAAGAACTATTCTTTAATTCTCTTTTCATAATCATTTTAAGGCGAAAAACGTGTATTTGCTTTAAGAGTAATGTTTTTTTTTTTAAATCTCTACTCTGAAAATCTTGAGACGCTGCTTAGGTTCACTGGTACCTAAGAGTAGATATGTGTCTGCGCAGGCGGCCAAGACAGTTATCACTACTATTAGCAATTGAAAACTGTCTATTATTAGAATTATCATTTAATTTTTCTATATCACCATATTATAATAGTTATTGTCAGTGTTGGAGGTGTGAAGACGTTATAGTATGTTGAAAATTAATAGTTTACAAATAGCTGAATTGTTTCGGTTAAGTACCGAGCCGTGACGTTTGGCCTTACAAAATTGTTGAATAAGTTTGCCCAATACTTATTAAGTTTCTTCCCAATGTATAGAAGAATTTGTAAATAGTTTTAACAATTTCGTTATATTGTCATATTTATAATATTTAATTGAAGAAAATATAATCATCATTGCAACTTGGTGTATTTATTCTCCATTTCCTACAAGTTCTTTTAAAAAGGTGATAAACTGCTAAATGAAAATTTGAATGAGTTTGATTGTTAATAAATTAGCCGTATATATAGTTATTTTTTCATTAAAAATGTACTTTAAAGTTATCCTGTTATAATGGATAGTTTTCTTTTTGACTTAATTAACATTTTTTAACAAGAAAAAATGGTTTTAGCCAGTGAGTTGTCTTTCTTGCCCATAAGCCTATTCCCGCCCTTTTCTTATTATGAGACAAAAGCATGGTATAAAACTACCCCCAAATTGATCATGTACATACATCAAATGGTAAACATATTGAAATGCTCGAGAAACAAACGTGGAAATAAAAAACTATTGTTTTTTTAAATAATATATTTAAGAGCTCAACATAAAGAATTGTGCGATAGAAACAAAAATTGATTCATATATTTTATTTCTCAAAAAAGACAACAAATGTCACTTACATGAGAATAATACTCTAGATAACATAACATTGTAGTCGTTCTTAAAATAATCACAATAAAATATAGCCGTATATGCAATAAATTTAAAAAATAAAAGTAAACAAAGAAATATGAATTAAAAGTAAGTAATAAGAAATGAATTTAAAAGTAATTTTGTTTAACATATTCACTTAGCTTCGATTTGAATGAATTGATAGAAGTAATATTTTTTATATCTGTGGGTAGTTTATTATACAGCTGTGCGCCTTCGTAGGTAAACATTTTTTTTGCCGTAGTTCGTACGTACTTTAGGTAATGCAAGATAACTCGTTCGACGCATACTTCGTACACGTGGCGGTTTGGAGAATGCTAAACTAGTATGGAGAGAACTTGTTATAAATTTTTTTACAAGAATACATGTGTGATAAATATAAAGTTGTTTTAGATTCATTATGTTTGTGTCTCGATATATATTTATGGTAGGTGCAAGATAATTATAGTGGAACAGTATTTTTATAATTTTATTTTGTAATACTTGAATATTTATTAATTTAGTTTTAGCGGCGCTGCCCCATACTTCAATTAAATAAAGTAGATGTGGCTTGACCAACGAGTTGTAGATGATGTAACGTACCTGACGTGGGATACACCGAGCAATGTGTCGAAGTGATCCCATAAGTGAACAGAGCTTAGATCTGGTGTTCTCAATTTGTGTATTCCACGTCAAACCGCTATCCATTCTAAGCCCGAGATATTTTTCTGTACTTTTTTCTTCTATGACCGTGTTATTTATTTTTAATGGATCATGAGGTAAAACTTTTTTATTTTTAGATTTAAATATAATGTAGCATGTTTTCGACGCGTTGACAGTGAGTAAATTATATTGAAACCAAGTGAAGAGTAGATTAAGGTCTTCTTGGGCTCTGCTGAAGATATCTTTGATTGAACTGCCAAAGTAAAATAAACACGTATCATCTGCATATAAAGTAAGGTGACCGTTTAATCCAATTTCATGCAAGTTATTTATATAAATAAGAAAGAGTAATGGACCCAAAATAGAACCCTGTGGA